AGGCGAGTATGCATCAACATCCATGTACAACTCCTTTGTTTTCCATGCTGTGTGCATTCTATCGTATAACAGTGCAGAGCCGCATGGATAGTGTCACAGGAGTATACACGAGAAGTGTGCCCTGTGCCTGTGCCCTTGCGCGCCTCGGAGGCAATTTGCCTCCTAATTTCCTTAAATAGTAAGTAACCTTCGGATTGCACATGCAATGTGTGCAACTTTTAATGTACACACAATTATTATGATCAAACAAAAAAAATTGTGTGTGTAATTTACTCAGATCTAGTATACATTTCAACAAAAATAGAGAGCTGATTAATAACAATTTGATGCCAAAAAACTCGATTTACCGGGAAAGTGTTGTGGGAGAGCACTGCACCCTCAGTGCCCTTCGGCTGACCACACCAAATGGTGAGAAGGAAATTTTATTCAATTTCCAACCAATTTCTATTTATTAACTATGCATTTTTTTTGATAAAATAAAATATGACTATATTAGTGAATTTCGCACACAAATTTTTTGTTTGATAATAATAATTGTCTGTACATTAAAAGTTGCACACATTACTTGTGCAATCCAAAGGTTGCTTACTATTTAAGGAAATTAGGAGGCAAATTGCCTCCGAGGCGCGCGAGGGCACAGGCACAGAGCACACTTGTTGTCGCCCCTCGTGTCACAGACCTGAAATGCAGTGAACCCTGCCTCACCCCCTCTGATGTGTCACTTGGAGTACGCTGATCACGTTTTACTCAAAGTCACCGTCGTGTTGTCTTTCTATTCAATCCTACTTTTCCAAAAACGCCTTCTGTTGTGCAATCTTTTGCTTCGAACTACGATTTCTTCCTCTTTTTAGCTGCATGAGTTATCCACCCCAGCCCTATACCAGCGGCTATGGACCGTCCATGCCCTACCCATCCCATTACAGTCCACCTCAAGGACCACCGCCATCCAATTATGGATACAAACCAATAGACCAGACTGGAGGCGGCGAGTATGGCCAGCGCTTCGAACCGAAGAAGAGGGTAAACGATATTTTCTTTTTGATCCTCTTTATCCTTCAGGTGCGTATGCGGCCATTCTTTTCTTCGTTTCACGTACAATGTTACATATGAACTATTTCAGCTTCTTGGGTTCGCAGCTATATCCGGAATTGCCATCCAAGCATGGGTGAGAAATGGGGGTCTCCGCGGAGGATTGGGAAATGGAACACAAGGCGGCACGGGGACAAGCGTAACGTTGGACAAGTACGCACGATATGGCCTCTTCCTACCCCCCTACACTAACGCTTCAGTCGAGGCATACAGCATATCTCCTGCTTCTTGTCACGGCCGCAGCTGTCTTCCTGTCTACATTGTATCTCATTCTAACGCGCGCCTTCACCTCCATTATCATGCATATCACTCTTGTTCTGTCCATTATCCTCAACATCGGAGTATGCGTCTACTACTGGGTGATTCGATATTACTGTGAGTGGCCCATTCAAATTTAAAATTAGAATAACCAATTTGCATGTGTTTAGCAGGTGCTATTGTCTTCACGATAATCGCTCTTCTCTCAGTTTTCTCATATTTCGGTGAGTGATTATAGTGTAAATGTCATTCAAGTTCCTATGCTCATTCACCATGATTCAGGATTCCGTTCTCGTATTCCCCTTGCATCGCTTCTCTTTCGAGTTGTCATGGACATATCCAAACACCATAAATCTGTTTTTGTGGTCGCCATGATCTCGTTGCTTGTTCAAGCTGCGTTGAGCATCTGGTATACTTTTACGGTCACGGCCACCTATACCCGTTGGACACCTCAGAGTCCTGCCTGCACCTCATCTTGTAGCTCAGGAACAGTGGCAGGTGCGATTCCACCACCTGGTGTATGACGCGGTATTGTTGATGCCCTATATAGGCCTGGTTTTCTTCGAGACGTTCAGTTTCCTCTGGACATCTATGGTAGTCGGCAATGTGGCGATTGCTACTCTCGCTGGTGGGGTTTATGGCTCATGGTATTATTTCGGTCCTAGAGAATATGGTCAGATGGTGAGTCAGCTACTGACTAGGTTGTCTGCAGAGACTGAAGTGAGTGCAGCCGAAGCATCCTAATCTGGCTTCTTTTGGGCGCGCTTCTACCCTTTCTTTGGGGTCCATTGCATTTGGGTCCTTGATCGTCACCCTTCTAGAGTTAATCAAGGTTTGCCAAGCATGATGATGATCTTTTCATCCTGACTAGGCATCAGATGTTGCTCCAAATGGCACGGAACAATGCGAATGCCGACGGACAACGTGAGTGACATACAGCTCTCTACATTTTGCATTATAATATTTCCCAGCGATTGAGGCTGCTTTGGCATGTTGTGCCGAGTGCTTCATCGGTATAATCGAGGGTGCGGTGCAGTACTTTAACCGGTATGCGTATATCGAGATCGGTGAGGACAGCAATGGGAAGATTTGCGACCGAACTGACTCGCAGCACTTAAGCGCTATATGGTAAACCGTACTTGGCAGCTGCGAAAGACACGTGGCGTCTGTTAGTGGACAGAGGCGCGTGTTCTTAGCAGTTAACCCTCATGCTCTGACATGATTTGAGTGCAGGTATCGATGCGCTCGTCAACGACTCTTTGGTCGGAATGAGTATGTAACAACACCATTGGAAGTGGAAACGCTCATCGGTTTTCAGCATTGACCTGGGGAGCGTATGCAATTGGTCTGCTATCCGCTTTGTTTGGTTACTTGTATCTTCGATGTCGGTCCATTCCTTCCCTCTGAAGGTTGAAGCTTATGATCCTCTTCAGACACAAATCCAACGTACAACGCTGACGGGCAGTACTCGCCTGTGGTCATTCTTTTCAGTTTCCTCATTGGGGTTACATGTGCCATGACTCTCAATTCCGCAATTGAAGCGGGTGTGTCCACAATGTGGGCCAGTCACTTGTTTCGCATTCTATCCCTAAGATTTCTTACGGCAGATTCGTCGGGCTGGGCGAGGACCCGCAGATTCTGGCTACTCGAGCCCCTCCATTATTTGAGGTAGGCTGGCATGTACAGCACTGTCCTGGGTCTGATGCGGTTTGCGAAACAGATGATCCGGGAAACTTATCCACAGGTTGTGCAAGGGATCCCTCGTGTATGACGGTCGAGCTGCTTTGCAAACGCGCGGTTGATCGCTTATGACGCTCTAAATGACCCTCGATAGCCAGAATAGATTGTCTAGAATATGGACTATCCTGTATGCTGTTCCAAAAGTCATGATAGTGAGGGACTGTCGCCCAACAACCATCCTTTAGCCGCCGCGCAAAGCGTCATTCCGACTCGGCGGTTTGTGTTTGCCACACAATTGAAATATGTTTCTTTGCCGTGTAATCTATCTAGTTACATTTCTCTCGGGGCTTTTAATACATATTGAAGCAGTTTCTTCATAGCGAACGAAGTTGACCGAGAAATGCCATCACGAAGGAACTTGGCTAGAAACGCTGGGCACTTCGTCAGGAATGGGTTCATACGGCCTACGACCAGCTGCCCATTTGTGTCCCGCGCGGGCGGCAAACCCAGTGTAAGCCAATCCCGCTGTGAGTAGCAAGGAAATGGTGATTGAGGTCACACATAGCCAGAACGAGACATCTAGGAGAGTTATTGCACACGATCAGCTTTCACAGAACGATTGATGAGCAGATGAGGACACACAGAGCTTCGTGTCAGGATCAGGGAACCGACGTTGTTCGGTTATGAACAAACGCAGCACAATAGCCATTGTAACAATTTGTAGTGATGCTATTGATTGGTGTGTCAGGACAGCGCTGCAACTGATTCTAGACGTCTGACTCACCGTGCACAAATGTCGCTGTCGTGACCCATTTCCAAGCGCCCCGTCTCCTTGATCTCGTGCTCAGGTGGGAGCTCACGATTATGAGGACAACAAGCCCTGCGAGGGCAAACACCAAGCTGAAGATGCTGACATAACCAGCAGTGGTCCACAGTACACAGAATGTCTCTCCCAACACTTCACAGGCCGAGCGAACGGGAAAGGGCTTGCATGTATACTGAATGCGCTTGCCAATATACGTATCAGAGCCTCCTACGATCTCCGTTGGTGCCGCGGTCGGGCTTGGCGCGTGGCTCGGAGGTGCTGGATGTGGGGCCGGTCCCGGGAAAGGTGTTGGATTCTCTGGGTTCGGCTTTGATGGAATGTTGCTGATAGTGGATTCACATCGTTGATATAGGCCATAGCGAACGTGTGACCCTGGGGGAAGATTGGAAGGGTTGTCTGCGGCAAGCCTAAGAACAACGTTATTCCAGCGGTCGTCCCATATATAGTCTGAGCTCACCAATCCGGAAGGACAATGGAAAGGGCGCTAAATACTAAAACGACGAGCAAGACGCCCGTGGCCACCAAATACGGTGTCTTTCGCATGATGGTCGACGTGTGGCAGAGAGTCTTGCAGGGAGCGTTCGGGGACGGCGTGAAGAATACACCTGGGCACGTGATGATGACGTATGTGTCTCTATCAACAACCGACCTATCCTCTTTCACTATGTTTCAGTCCAGCACCAAAGACAAAAGTTGGTTTTGAAAATACTGGTAATTTGAAACACATTGTAGAGAAATGAAAGTATTCAGCGACTGCGCCGATCCTCATCTGACCTTTCGCCAACCAACCATTCCAATCCCCACCCCACCCCTATCAATAACGCCGCTCCCGCAAACAGGACGCCAGTGTAGATAATAAGGGACTGGAACATCGAGCCTCCCACTTCAAACCCGGTGCTTCCCCCGGTGCCTCGCTGCGGGTGGAGCAGGGCTGTCGAGATCGGCGCGGAGAGGACGTTGCCTATCCCTCGTGAGAGAAGCAGGAAACCAAGCACAGTTGTGGATGAGACGGGGTCGTCTCCTGGATCCGATAATGAGGGCTGAGAGAAGCGAGCAAGGTGTTAACGAACGGGTAATAGGCCTCAGGAAACCGGTCCATAAACTGGACCACCCTCCAGCCATGATTCCGTAGGCTACACAATACAAGAAAAGGGTTGAGAGGGATGTTGCAAAGTAGCCCCAAATGATAAACGTGGTGATCGATACTGAGGACAGGGTGGTGAGCGCAAGCACCCAGGGGGAGAATCTGTCTGCGAGCATGCCGAGTGCGACACGGCTGAGCACAGAGACACCATTGACAAGAATGAGCGCCACGGAGCCTTGCTCATCAGTAAGGTTAAGGGCAGAGGCAAATGCTAAGACCACTCATCAGAAATTGTTCGTTTATTTTGATAAGAAAAAGTCACGTACTGGGCAGCCAAATGATAGGCACAAAATAGGCCAGTGCCTGCACAGTATTGGCGGCCATGAGGATCCACAATCCCCTGTTCCTGTACCACCCGCTTCGTCCCATCGCGGGTGTGCGTACAACTCTAGGATCTCGCAAACGCGGTTGGATTAAGAAGAGAGATGGAATGAGACTCAGCAGGACGGCCAGGGAAAGGTACCTGACCGCGAGCTGGGGACCATACGGTCCGATGAGATATGGGAGAGCGAGTGGCAAGAGGATCCCCCCCGCTGAAGTGCCGGCGAAGATAATTCCGTTTGCGGTGCCTCGTCGGGCCACAAACCACTCCGAGAGATAGGAGAGACAAGGAGTATAGAGTACCGCTGTTTGCTACAGTCATTTTTTTGAAGTGGCACCGGAGAGGATTGGAATGGGCACGCACAACCGCCGATGCCATACAGCACACCTTGCAGAAGAAGAAGGGAGAGGATATTGTCCGCATAACTGGAGACAAAAAGGCTTAAAAAGCACAGCAGGCTGCCAATCCAGAGGCACACTCTTCTAGCCCTAGGATATCTCGCGATCAAAGGATATATTACGGGCCATGGTTACATTTCAGTCCCGTTCTGCATAGCAAATGCCCTGCATACCAGAGCAGTACATCAGACCAGAACTGAGTGTCCCAACAAGCGGCAGAAGGTTTTGCGCTTTGATCGAGGCGAAGTTGGGGTCGGCCATATATGCTGTGAGGAACAGGCCCCAGGAAGTGGGAAAGGCCCAAGAGACGGTCTCTACTATGAACGCGCCTAGAAGCTTGGATGAGAGTCAGGTGCACGTGGACAAAAGTGAGGAAGATAACGTACATAGCTCCATGCACCCCAACCCCGGTCGACGGGGGCTAGGTTGGAGACGAGACGCTCCCCTGGAGTTTGAGTTTCTGAGGCTTCACTGGCGGATATGACGCGAGAAATTGCGTGGAGCTCTACATCTCCTGGTGCTTCCGGATGTGTAGTACCAAGAGTGGGCAGAGATACAGAAGAGATGGGGGAAAGAGGTAAACTTTCCTGTGAAATGGCACGAGCAGTCGACACAGATGGGAGAAAGTTTTCTTCAGCAAGTGAGTTAGCCGAAGGTGAAGATTTACTGTTGTTGGTCGCATGAATAGTCGGGGTGGATTGGGACTCTTGACCCAGTTCGATAGAGGTACCCATGGCCGGAGGATGTTAAAGCGCAATATTGCCAGTAAATTCCTACTCCTGTTCAACACATGACTCTCTTCCGTAATGCAGGGTTGCGGCTCCGGTTGCCCGATGAAAGCCGATGTGGGGTCCTGATGGTGGCACTGTTCCCGTCGCGTGATTCCACGGTTATAAGATGGTGACAGCTAAATTCAAAGGACGGTTTACGGTGCTATCAGAACTGTGGTAATCTCCTAGTGAGCCACAAGAGGTTGAGAGGCGTTGAGGGAAACTGTCGGTGGGATTGTTTGTTGAGTGAAGTGTGATGTGGAAAGGCTAGAGCCTTCCCTGTGGCTGCGCTTATATTGCTATTTATTGTACCACGTGTGTGCTGATAATTAGGGAAGGAAAAGGCGGAACAGAAATGGAGGCACGTTCACCGATCATCCCCCGTCCTGATTGCTCCTCGCCCTCCCCTCTCCTCTCCTCTTCCACAAACGTTCACCATCACCCCACGCGGACGACAAGAGGAGGAGAAGACGAGAGAAGTTGAAGGTAGGGAAGGCAGGCCTTCTCACTTTCGCTCATCATTCTCCTATTTAACACGACAGTCGAACGACTCCCATTCCCTCTTGACGACGCCTTTCATTCCCCTCCACCCGCGCCCAGCAGGCCAAGAAACTCACCACCTTCCGACACCCAGCAATGGCAGCTTCATCCTCTGCCATTCCGGAGCTTGACTCTCCCACTCCTTCCCTCTCGTCCTCTAGTTCAGCAGACGAAGGTTCCTACTCCTTCACCGCACACCCTCCCTCGACAATGGCCTCCGCTTCTGCACCAGACCCTCCCTCTCTCACAGCCCTCCTCCTCTCGCTTAGGGTCATGCTCCTGTCACACCTCGCTGATGTCGAGTCGAGAATCGCCAATTTTGACGCGTCAAGCCTGCCAAAACTCTTTGGTGGATCACCTTCTGACATTCTGGAGAATTCTCCAGCCGCAGAGGACAATATTGGACAAGATGGCGCGTTGAGGAAGTCGCGAAGGATGTCACGCACTGCAAGCGAGGAAATCTCGACCCTTCTTGAGTCAATTCGCGCCGATGTTGCCCGACATCTTCCCGCGTTGGATATCGATTTCGAGCTCCCCTCACTTCCAGACTTCGACCTCCCTACCCTACCAGCACTTCACCTCCCCGAGTCTCTGTTTGACACTATCCGAGCTCATTCCCCTTCCTTACCGAGCAATTTTATTCCCTCCTTGAAGCACCGGCTACAGTCGCTTGCCTCCCTTGCCGCGACGCCGCCTCAGCTCCAGACGCTCCTCAGCTATGCGGAGAAGGTCCCTCTGGCAATGGACGAGTTCGAGAGCTCCAGCGAGGAAGAATTGCTTTCCAAACGCGAGGGTAGGGCCAAGGGAGAGGAAGGGGTAAGCGCAACTTCCGACGAGGAAGACGTGCACGAGCAGGTACCGCTCATCGTAGGGGGCAGCAAGACAACACGGGCAGAAGTACGGAGGGCATTGGTGAGATCGATCAACGGGGATAGGCTGATTCGGTTTGAGGACTTGCCGCATAAATGGAAGAACAATGAGTTCATCCACACGGGCTATCGGTGAGTTGCTCCAATACTATGTGCGTTTCCTTTCGAGCTAAGCCGACAGGTTCATTCCTTTCTCTCGATGGCCCCTCCTTGCGGCGTCTCTATTCCAATGGCACAACGAGACGATCAACATCCTCTCTCACCTTTTGCCTACTGTGCTTTTCCCTCTCATCTCCCTCGTTCCTATCCCCAACCTCCCCTTGCCGACCTATTTCTGGCCCTCTTGGCTCGAGATGCCCGACGTGACCATCGACGTCCTTCCGTACTGGTATTTCTGGAGTGCGGCCGCTTGCTGCCTCGCGTGCTCCGTCATATGGCATACCATGGCCGGCTGCTCGGACATGCATGTCTGTGAGTGGGGCGCGCGAGTGGATTATGTAGGCATTGGCTGGCTCATCTCTGCCTCCATCACCTCTGCGATCTACTATGGCTTCTACTGCGACCCACACACCGCCGCTATCTACGCGGCCTTCTCCATCCTCACCGGCGCGCTGGGCACGGTCCTCCCTTTCATGCACTGGTTCAATCAGCGCAAGAACAAGAAATGGCGCATCGCCTTCTTCGTGACCTGTGCCCTCTCCGCTCTCCTCTTCTTTGCCCATCTCTCTTTGGAGCACGGCATCCACGCTACTGGAGAGTTCTACGCACCCATAGTCCCGAGCGTGGCGGCGTACACCTTCGGCCTCTGCTTCTACGCCTGGCACTTCCCCGAGTGCGCGTTCCCAGGCAGGTTCGACTACATCGGCGCGAGCCACCAGATATGGCACATTTCCATTGTTGTACGTCTTTGTTTGTCTTCTTCATGAGAAACTCTGTTCACAGGAACCCTGCATAGGCTGCAATCTGGCTCCACTATCGCGCCATTGCGAGCTGGCATGTTGGTGCACTAGAGTACGCGTGCGCCGCTCCCTAGGAAACCGGAGTCCATCAACGGCGAACTTCCGACAGCTTTGTAGAAGAGACGAGGCGATGATGTGTCTGATCTACTCAGCCGGTTCGGCGAAGATCATACGATGCCGAGTCTCCTTCCGGCTATTGATGTTGAAGCTGTGGACTGGACTGGACTGGACTGGACTGTAGACTAAGTCGAAAGACCATCCGCGTAGATTAAATCGGTGACCGCTCCATTAGAATGCGGCTCGGAGTGGTGAACACTTTCATATTCTGATCCTCTCCCCCCCCCTTTTTTTCCACCTTATCACCCCTCTTCCTTCTCCATTCCACAGACAGCCCTAAAGCGCTGCTCAAAGATACCCAACTATAGACATGTAGGTTCGGATTTGATGTACCGTTGTGGGAGTAGACGTAGAGTTATTCTTAATATAATGGGATAGAGAGTATTGCGTACAGACTAATGTGCTAACAGCTTGATGGAGCGATCGTGTTTAGCGAAGGGAAGTCGTGCATTAGCGTGTTTCCAACGCCGGAGAGCAAATGTGGAACACAGGGTACAAACGAAGCCCCCACAGTATAGCCCTATACGCTGAACGCTTCACATCTCTATTGTTATGTACCGCAAGGAAACAGGTATAACGGCGGAAAATAAGCATGATCGGCGAAAAAAGAGGATTGCCCCATTTCAAATAGCCAAACATGGAAATCGCTTCAAAAGTTTCGATAACTCCCTCATACTCTTATCCCGAAGCGGTATAACGCACCCCCAAAAACCGCGGCAATAAGTGCCGTCCAAGCGAGCACAAAGCTCGTCGTAGCATCGGGCCTGCGTCCACCCACAAACTCCATCTCATCCCACTTGGGGAACATCATCATCCAGTAAAAGGCGAGACCAGATTTGGGCCACACAGTGTGGATCTTTCCACTCGCGGTCTTGTACCAGGATTGAACCTTATCCATGCCGTAGACTGTATCCTGGAGTTCTTTCTGCACCCAGGAGTTGAATCGCGCGTCGGCCTGAGGTGTGGGTTCAACGTAGGACGCCTTGACTTGCAGCATGTGCTGGATCACTTTGCAGACGAAACGCACTTGGCACTCCACCATGAAAATGACGCTTATTACGGAAGTGAATTTGTGACTATCACAATGCTTGTAAGAGACTTACGATTGGAATCCACTGGCACTGTTCGGACCGCCAAGCATGTACAAGTTCGGGAATTGGGGGACAAGAGAGCAATAGTAGGCCTCGGCACCGCCCTTCTTGTCCCAAACTTCCTTGAGGTCGGCGCCATTACGGCCCCTAATAACCATGGAAGTAAGGAAAGTGACAGTGTCGAAGCCGGTGGCTAGAACAATCACATCGAGCTTGCGCGTCTCGCCGTTCTTGAGAATCACACCGTACTCTGTGACTTGAGTGATTCCATTGTTGTATACGAGCTGGACATTGGGACGATGGAGGGACTCCAAGTAACCAGGATCATAGATCATGCGCTTGGCGCCGAGCGAGAACTTTGGGATGAGAAAGTCCATGTATTTTTCTGGGGCTGTTTGCCTTATGTATGCCGCTGAATTTTTCTCCGTCTTTGTCCGCAGCTTAGTGCCGTTACGATGGAACATTGGCGAGGTCATATCGATCTTGGAAAAAATGTCAGGCCACCAGGTAAATCTGTTAGTATCAGGGGCCACTCACAACTAGAAGCAGGATCCAGCGCGCGAGACGATTCGCAAGTGGTACATTGCGGTAGACCCACTTTATCCAGGCCGAGAAGGGTTCATTGTGTCTGCGCAGATACCATTGCGGCGTCCTGACGAAATTTATGACTTCGGTGGACGGATCGGCCGAAAGCGCAGGGACGAGCTGAGCAGCTGAGCATCCATTGCCGATTACTCCCACACGTTTGCCCCTAAGATCAATGGAGTGATTCCATCTGGAGGTGTGGAAGACGGGTCCTCGGAAGGTGTCAATTCCTGGAAGGGAGTCGGTCTGCATATTCGGAATGGAAAAGCCACCGATGCCAGCAATGATGATGTCTGCAACGACATCTATACTTTCATCGTTGAGACCATTGCAGAACGTCAGAGTCCATTGGTTTGCCCTGTCGCTCCAGATGGCACGCTTGCACTCGAGGTGATAACGTGTATGCTTGTCGAGACCTTGCTCCGAGTGAAGCTTCGCCCAGTATGCCTGGATCTCGCTCCGACCGGAGTAGTGACTGGACCAGCTTGGATTGAGAGTGCTTGCGCTGGAGTAATCTACGGAGTCAAGTGAGTAAATACTCATAGAGGGGACAACGACGTACATTGGGAAGGCACGTCACAAGCCGCGCCGGGATAGGTGTTTTCCTATAGATGCATTAGAGCACTGCACTACGACAAGCGAGCGACTCAAGGCTCACAAGCCAAACACCTCCTGGACCTCCGTTTCGCTCAAAGATAGTAAAGCTATTGAGGCCAAGTTGCTCTCTCACGTGGAGCGCTGCAGTGATCCCAGAGGCACCGCAGCCGATGATTGCGATGTGGGGATAGCCAGTGGTCGACATAGTACAACGAACGAGTAATTTACGTTGCTGAGAAGAGTTGGCTTTTGACTAGCTGGACTTGGTCGAGAAGAGGTTTCCAGGTGGACGGCGAGCTAGATAGATACACGACAAAGCATTTTAAATACGATTATTCACGGCCAAGCCGGGTATGCCGAGGGCAAGGCCCAGTGCCGTGAGTCTGGACCAGATGACGTTCTTGAAACTCTTTCTTCAACCTTCAATCCAATGACGAATCGCAGGTGGGACTCATCAGATTCGACGGCCAAAAAAAAGGCCAAGGACGTCGCAAGCGACGCCGTTCAGCCAAATATGGCTCACAAAGACACCAGCTCTCGCCATACACACCACTTCAGCATCGTGCTTCCCTAGCGCTCGGTAGTGATATCGGGAGCTCATCCCCTGGAACGGAATGCTAATCTTCGCGCCTTTTGTTATCATTCTTCTGGCCGAGTTCAGCCGCAGTAACATGCTCCACAATGAGCATGTACATGACACTGTTCAAGTAAGGACAGGACAGTCATAGCATTGCCCGATAACCGGGCGCCTGATTCCTGAATGCTGAAACCGAAATAGAGTCACCAGTGATTGATAGGACCGCTCGGCAAACTGAAGAGCGAGGATTCATCTGGAGCCAAGCGTACGCAGATGAATGAAATTACGCTAGAGACCTTCCCAGCCAGCACATTAAGGCAACTCCTTGGATTCCCCGTCCCAACTCCAGACAGGGGTTTCCCAGGGAATCAGTTACAATGATGTGGGGAATCGCTGATGGTTGCCGTGTAGTCGGAAAAGCCAGCAAAGAGTACAACACGCGGAGAAAAGGGGAAAGGTAGGACACCCGATTCGCAGCAGACACAGTTAGGAAGCGACCCATGCTCCGGGCGAAAAGGTATGACATGTAGAACGACGAAGAGTGAAAGCCTGCGGGCGTCGCTGCGCGACGGGCTTGACGGCTCGAGGCGGGCAGAGGTGGTGGATTCCCGAGTTGATCGTTGGTTCCGTTCAATCAGATAAACCAGCGCTTGAGTTTAAAAGTACTGAATGGGAAAGGAGGCATAAGCGGACCCTAAGGCCGGAGCCGCGGCCCCCTTATTGGGAAAATTCTTCTGGGTACGGACAACATCAACGCTTTCAGGTAGTAATCCCAGTCATTTATGTGACGATGCACACCGAACACACAGCAACCCTTAGCGGGAGTGGCAAATATATCCTATACTCTTCGAATTGCATTTCAGAGTCCGGAGGATCAGTCTAATGTACATGTCAACGTCCCTACCCTCTTGGTGTTGTTGGGCAACTGGTTATGGTGGCGAGCGCCAGTGGCTTCCACGACTCGAGAATAGAGTTCGGTGATATTGGTTGATGGCGAGGCTGGTGAGGTGATTGTTCGGCGTCAATAAGAACCTGAATGAAAGCAGCACAGTGAGAAGAAAAAGACCAGCTGAACAAGAGAGAAAGTGTCAGTTTCCGAGCTTGCCGAGAATCGATCCGCAACTGGACGAGACCAGGACATCAAGTAATGAAGGATGAATCGGGCGGTGTCAGAGGTCGAAGGTGCTTGAAGAGCGATCGGTTGGCGATTCGGCGAGTGTCGGACATACTTTTTTTGGGGGAGGGAAGTTGTGTGGGGCGGAGGGATGGCGGAGGGCAAGTGAGAACGAAGCAGGACTACATAGCGGGTGGTGGAGAGAGATGAGACTGAATGCTGAGACAGAGAGTAGTACAGTGGATCAGAATGGGCGGGTTGAGAAGACATATTATTACAGGTGAATGGCGGATGCTGACAGTCGGAAATCGGAGTTGAAAAGCCACGTCGGAAGTCGGAGTTCTTCATGCCACGATGCCGACGGCACCGCAGCTGTCGCAATAGCTCCAAAGGGATCGGTTGCCGTTCGGTTTCTTGCATGAAAGTTGAAGTTTCGGGATACGTTCACAACTGCAGGATCTGCATTCTGGTCAGAGAAAATACCAGTTTTGCCTCACAGCAAGGTCTCACGAAGTCGGAGAGATGAGTGGCCTTAACAGCTGAACAGACTTTTCGGGGTATACTTGGTCGGAAGGTGTGACTGGGACGGATTCGAAGAAGGGAGATTGGACGAGGGGAATGTCGATGGGAGGGCTGCTCTCGAATGATTTGAGAGGTGTATAAATTTGGAGATGTGGATAAGAGGCTACAATGGGCCAGTCAGCGTGTGCATACATGCAACAATCGGGGGTGTACATACGAAGAACAGGGGCATGATGAGTGACAGGCGAGCTATCCGCGGAGACTGGCGTCATAGCTTCCGCATCCATGTCTACGTCCATTGTTTCTTCCATTTGGAGGCATTGTGGCAGAACACTGAACAAGACTGAGGCACTCAGATCGACCTTTGCAGTCTGCGCCACATGGTCAGTTCATATAATGCTATCGATATATGCAGCTTGTGAACCTTGTTGGGACGTTCGACTTCATCATCTGTGCTCTTTCGCTTCAGGGAAGGCACCATGTCGGCGCAAGAATCAAATGTTAAGGGAAGCAGAAAGCAACAGAACTGGGTAACAAGCCAAGTAAGCTAGTTAAGCGGATGTTGGTGGGGGGCAGAAGAAAGAGTTAGGGCCCTTATTTGTGTTTGTGCGAGGGAGGGGATGACTTTATACGCACGGGAGCTAAAGGAAATCTCCGAGGCGATGGGTGATCGAAACCCACGCGGAGGAATGGCTGAACCGGAAGCGAGAGACACTCTGGCGGAAGTTGTTGGGCCACATGGTAGTAATTCATTGCCACTAACAGACAACCGGCGCGTGACGGGTTGGACAACATCCACGGCGGAGAAGACTGTACCAACATTCATTATTCGCTGCACTACGTATTCTTGGTAGCTTTGGTATCTCTCAAGCGGCAGATAACCATGAACAACTTTCGGGATTACGTTGATGATCCCCGGCTCATGCTTCAGCACCTGCCACCTCCTTTGCAAACCGCCGCAGAATACGCGCCGCACGTCATCCGATGGCTCATCAACTACCTCATCTCCCCGATCATATACCACTTCCAGAATCTGGGATACCAGCTCACCCGCCTGACAAGTACTCCGCCTTCCGAACTTCAAACGCAAGACATATTCTTCCCCCTTTTATCACTCATCCTCATCTATTTTGCGGTGACTTCTGCGCTCCACACTGCAAGATACGCTTTTCATATGGGATCATGGCTGCTCAAGTGGGGAACGTTAATTGGAATTGTTGCTGTAGCATGGGCGTGGCTCTCGGCGGATCCGAGCGCAGTGGGGCACGAGCAGCATGGGTACGGTTACAGTTGGGGTAGAGGTACAAGTACGATCCCTTCGTTGGTCGACCGCGTTTGGAAGATGGTTAATGGTGAGCAGCAGCGTGAATGGTTGGTAAAGGAGCTCCCAGAAGTCGACTGGAGCGGCTGGGTGCCAGAGTGGGTCGCCCTTGACGGGGGATTCCACTGGATTGAGGTTATTGATGGGCTTGGAGCGGAGAATGTGAGGAAAGCAGCGGAAGAGTGGTGGAAGGAGCAAATGGATAGCAAGCCCTCTGGATCGAAGGGGAAAAAAAAGACGAGCTCGTGGCGACTAACAAAGGAGAAGAAGCAGAAGACTTCGACAGTACGATGAACGAAGCCCGATACCTTTTTCTATTTTTGGGTTTGGTGTCATACGGTAGGATAGTCGCATTTATTGTTCCAGAAGCAAGCAGTCCACTTTGTACGTCCAGTCGGGTTACTTAATATCAACGGTCCAGGTTCTGGAACTTCCCTTCGTTTCTCATGTGGTGATCCCCAAGGATCACTGGAGGACGACAAAGCTAAGTAGATATGTCGATAACGACAGGTTTTTGATATAAACATACACATCCACAAAGATATCACCCCATTATCTCGCACACCTCATGGCATCCCGCATCTCGCTAACCTAAAGATGATTCACGCCGATGTCGGGAGGGAGGCCGGCTTGTTCTGCGCCAAAGAGCGCCGGTAACTACGAACATGTGAGCAACAACGGTTCCGTGACGCCAGAAGGAATACGCACTCCCAGACACGGTACAGCTGGTACATCCCAGTACTTCCAACAAAGAAGTTGACCTACACAACATGCATCAGAATGCCACGTCTTCGCCCCGCAAACAAGAGGACGTACAGCAGCAAGACTGTAGTTGACGGGTATAATCACGAACGAGTACCGCACCCAGATGAATCCCGTGGCAGCGAGCGCTGTGTGTGTATAATGAATAATGAGATATCATGCTAATGTGAAAACGGCACGACGCACCAATGTTCTGCGGTATGCTCAGCTTGTCGGCAGGGCGCTGGAGGTCTTTAAGGCCGGCAGCGACGAGGCACCACTTCATCATCGGTGCCCAAAAAAAGACTGTACATCCTCCATCAAATATGTCCATCTACCAATAGGTATTACAAACCAGTCTTGGGACCTGGGCGAGCGGGTCAGAACGAGCAGATGATGGAGGTGAGGAAGCGCACCTGCGGGGTGGTTCCAGAACGCCTGTAGGCGAGACGCAGCAGCTCCTGCAGCCGGTCCAGACATGTTGTTCAACCTGCTCGAGGTAAAAAGAGAGGGCAACAACAAGGAGATGGTGTAGGCTGAAGAGATGAGGACAAGAGCGCGTTGAACTCACAGGCGTCGCCGACGAGCTGGACGGGGACCTGATGCGGGCGCTGGGGGACAGACGGGCGCATTTTCGTATATCCCGCAACGCCGATGTGGCTGAGTCAGGCCAATCACGTCAGCCTCAAGACAACGGATTGTATTGATTGCTGGTATCATCGATGAGTGGATTGTCAGATGTAATTACACATGCGTTCCTTACCAAAAGGGGTGGTGCATGGTGGACACACGCTGAATTTGTGTTCACAAACAACCGTCCTGACTAAAACTTGCGGTTCATTTGAACGATCAATTCACCCTCTCTGGGCCACATATATTGCCGTTCTAAATGATACAAACCATCTGCCGCCTCCGTATACTGCAGCCACAAACATTTCCCTTTACCCACCTTCGATCTCGGCGTAAAGGTTCTCTATCCACTTCATCGCCTGGATAGATTCTCCATCCGGTTGTTTGCCTGCGCATATGAAGGTCGAATGCGTGCGAGTACTGTCTAGAGAACGCCGAATGCCGAAGTTGGTGATTATTGGTGGCGACCTGATCGCTGGCAGTGGCTGAAATTTCATATATGGGCTGCCAACGTTATCTGCTTTTTTATCCAAAGTCGCCTGGAAGGTATTTACGCACGAAGACGACAATATAAATATAGGACGGTGCTGAGTCGGAATCGAGTCCACAGCCAATAGACGGTCGTTCGACATTTATTTGCGAGCGCCAGCGATAGGCTTTGCCTTCGGTGGGGCAGCGATTGGTAAGTCCGTTTGCGGTTGGCGCGTCTCTTCTGTGGCGAATCCGGGTATCCTGATGCCCAGTTGCCTCTCTATTTTGTATGAGCTCTCCCATGATTGCATGACACATCTGAGAGCGGCCAGACTCACCCAAATACAGCTGCACATCCTTCACTCCCAGTACATCAGCACTCCTGTGCTTCGCCAACCTACAGCCAAACTCGGTGGTATCCTTAATGAAATCGAACGTCGCGTCGATTAGCAGCTCCTCCGTGTCCTTTTCGAGCACCGCGTCGGGATCGATCTGAATCGCGAGTTGCTGAATTTGTTGACGTAGCCATTCTCTCTCATCGTATTCGGGCGCCGGGACGCCATTGGGATAGTATGCATTGTACGATGCAGCGGTAGGGGTTTCTGGTTGTGGTTAGCACCGAGACGAGAAGGGAAAGAAGCAGCGCACGAGGGACAACAGAAGTAGCAACACTCTGCGAGCGTTGTGGTGTTGGGCGACCGTTCGTCCACTGTCTCTGCATCAGTATTCTGTTGGTGCACTGAATCAAACTCGCGTACTCCATTCGCCGCGCTCATCGCCGCCTGAGGCTGTTGCGGTGCCGGCTGGCTGCCGCTCTTCATTAGTGCCTCCAACTGTTGAAACTGGCTTTGGGTGAGCCTTCCTTCATGCGCGAGCGTGACCAAGCCAGGCATGTGAGATCTCAGCGCTTCAGCTATCTGACGGGCTGCTTCAGGTTTGGAGGCAGCGAATGCCAGTGCATTGTCCAGCGCTTTGAGGAGATCACCAGCGCTGCCGGATGGCTGGCTCTGTGAGGGAGCGGGAGTAGCCGGCTTTGGCTGGGAGGATGGCGCGGAAGGCGTTGTTGACATTGTGCTGTCTATTATGGTTGTTGTCAATGTTCAAGAGACTGATAATCAAGTGGCAGTGCAAACTGGTGAGCGTGACTGGACCGGAAGTATCAGGTTTCAATCACGTGCCCGATCCCTCATAGTCAGAGATGGCGTAAACCCGACCTGTACCTTACACACACTTTCTAACCTGTATCCCCTGGCATTATGCATACCTTGATTGCCTTTGCGCTCTCAGCACTTGGGGTAATCGCTTCCCCTCTCCAGCAGAAACTCTTTTTTGCGCCATCACAGTCAGAACACGACGTGCTGCCCCATCTCCCCCTCCCCAAACATCCAGCATATGACCCCAGCATCCGCCCATTGGTGCTATGGCATGGCTTAGGAGATTCTTATGCCTCTCCAGGGATGGTGGAATTTATGGACATACTTCGGAAGACCCATGAGGGGATGTTTGTGTATAGTGTGAGGATTAAGGATGACGTGGAGAAGGATCAGAAGGCGGGTTGGGTACGTTCGTTTCACGTTATTCCATTCCTGCATTCCCGCCTCCACCTCAAATTATACACATTGTTCAAGGCGAGCGATAGGCATGTGTGAGATCAGTCACTGATGCCGAAATAGTTTGGAGATGTGAACGAACAGCTCGAGCAGGTCTGCGAACAACTGCTCACCATCCCTGAGCTGCAAGAGGGGTTTGACGCGATGGGATTTTCGCAAGGTCCGCTGTCTTTGTCTCTATATCTCACCTACATACCGCTGACGTGACTCGTAGGGGGGCAATTCCTCCGTGCCTACGTTCAGAATTGCAACTCGCCTCGCGTTCACAACCTCATCACCTTTGGTGGTCAGCACATGGGCATTGCAGACATCCCTATGTGCAAACCTGGTGATGTTTGGTGCTTCCTGGCAAGGAGCGCAGTGAAGAGGGGGGTATACAGCAGTTATGCACAGCATAATCTCGTTCAGGTGAGCATATTCTGCATTGGGAGGTAGTGAACTGATTTGGCATTCCGCATCTAGGCGCAATATTTCCGCGATCCAGCGCAATACGACGCCTATCTTTCCTCTAACCGCTTCCTCCCCCTGCTTAATTCCGAGCTTGGTCCCCACACGCCACCAACCTTCCCTCTAACCACGCTTAATTCGCTCGTCCTGATCCGCTTTACCGAGGAGCAAACCGTCAATCCGCCCGTGTCCTCCCACTTTGGAAGCAACCCCCCCGACAACGCGACCGAGGAGATCCCAATGAGGGAGCAGGAGCTGTACAAGCAAGACTGGATCGGCTTGAGAGAGCTGGACGAAAGAGGCGGAGTGGTGATGTTGATGTGCAAGGGGCAGCATATGCAGCTTGAGAGAGAGTGCTGGGAACCGATCGTCCTTCGCTGGACGGGAGGGAAGAGGGAGGTGTAAACGCGCATGGCTTGCTGCAGAAGGTGATGTACCCTTACCGCTATTTTCAATGCTCTTCCATGAATATTCATAATGACATTGTAATTATATGGCAACCTATTGTTCTTGGCACGGCTGAGATAGATTCATTGAATCTGTCCGGCGGGCGGAAAGCGAAGATGATTAGGCGAGCCTTCATGATTTGACTGATACTTTATTCCCAGCGGGAGAGCGGGGAAGTGTGTGAGTGGGAATTCCGGACTGATGTAACCTGACATGAGACAAGTTTCAGGAAGTTATCTGCCGCATGGTCTTTCTTTTCCCAGAACTTGACTCCAAAAAAGCGGCAGGCCAGAAGGAGAAAACTGACAGGAGGAAGCAGCTCACAATCATAAGCTCGAGGGGTGAAGCTCAAGAGCCTTTTCAAGGAAAGAGTGACCCAAAAGGATGAGCGTCCATCAAAAGAGCCATCATGTCTAACTGCCTCATATAGAAAAATCATATGACTCGGCGGCCTCAACCCGTTCGGAATTTATGGTCTTCTCAAACTGAATTTCATACAAGATCGCGGTAGACATCAACAGGTTTCGCCAGCGCCGCAAAAACTGTTTTTAGAATTGTGGAGGTCTTCCGCCTTTTCCTGCTAAAAGATAGCCCTTCAAAATTCTCCCGCACGCGACAACCCTATCAGCCTTATGACATCCGCCTCTATACATTCCAACTGTCGACATCCAACGCGTTCAAGCTGCTTCTCTTTCTCCATTCAGCTGCAATTCAGTTTTCGTGATCGGACGGCCAATCGCAAACTGCACCGCAAAGAATTGGTCAAGTGCTCGACCTGACCATGGTTTTTTCGGAGAAACTTTGGAGATACCGGGCACGTCGTTCGCGTGCTCCAGTTGGACATGATGGTCGGAGGTGAATTGGCTCTCTGGTTGATTCATCCATACGTGGATGAGTAACGTGGGAGGCCCTTGCTAGCATCTTTGCTCTTGCTGATGGGCCAGTGAACTCTTGGCAACATGTAAGGTCTCTCTGCAGTGGTTGACCATTTGCAAGACACAGAGTATGCTCTGTAACTACGTGCTATTGCCTGCTTATCTTCAACATATTGTGTCTGCTACTCCCAGCATCAAGCTGGATCTACAAACTGGCCCTCCACTGCGCCTCCACTCTCGTCCTGGTGGCTGAAATTTTCCATCCTCAGCATCGTCTAAAAATAGGAATGAAGGGAACCAGCTTACGAAGACTCAAAAGAAGGAGACCAAGACAGGCTGATGCTGATCGGGCCGCATTGTGGAGCCCCGCACTGGGATCGGAGATTGATGCTTCTCCGACCGTCATATCCTTCACTTGCTTCTTTCAACGAAGCATGTGATCTGCACTCCCATCAGTGAGATTTATTGTTCCTGAAGCGTATCCTGCGGAGTACCTCCTCCACCAAGTCAGAATGTTTAAAGCTCGCTGCTCCCCCCAACTTCCGTGTCTTCACTGGCAACACCATGACCACGCCAACCAATGGCGAGAAGGCCGCTCTTGAACTCTCTCCGCCTCTTGATGCCAGCCTGAACGAGAAGCAAGCTGTTTCTGCCGTGGACGTTCTCCATCTGGAGCATGTGTATGACAATCCCATTGACGCCAACGCGCGGGTTCACCCCGTGCGCAACGCAGCGTACGAGGCTGCCGTCAAGCAAGGACGGCTGAATCCCTGGTCGAAGGACTCGCTCATTCTTTACTTCTGTTGCTTCATTTCCTTCTTGTGCAGCTGCGCAAATGGATACGACAGCTCGCTCATGACAGCTATCAATATCATGCCTTACTACCAGGCAAGGTTCAATGGGGATGTTGTTGGCTCCGGAACCGCGCTGATTTTCTCCATGTGTGCGTATATTCTCTTACGCAAGTTATGATTTCTAACACTTGAATGCATAGACACAATTGGACAATTGGTGTCTCCCTGGATTGCAGGTCCACTTGCGGATCGCCTTGGCCGGCGTGGTGGCATGTTCATCGGCGGTGTAGGCATTATCATTGGCATGATAGTGATTGTTTCGGCCGAGGCCAAACCGCAGTTCTTAGCTGGGCGCTTCTTGCTTGGGTTCTTTGTCGTCATCATGGCAACTGCTGCACCCTCATATTGTGTTGAGGTTTGTCCGCCACATTGGAGGGGTAGGATGACAGGCGCATACAACGTAAGTCTTTCCACCTACACCTTTCATGAGCTGGAGCTGATGCCAGAGAAGTGTGGCTGGTTTGGGGGCTCCATCCCTGCGGCAGGCATCACACTAGGAACAGCTGGAATCAACAGCGATCTTTCCTGGCGCCTCCCTCTCATCTTCCAAGCAGTACCCTCCATGGTGGTCATCTGTGCCGTCTGGTTTCTCCCCGAATCGCCGAGATGGCTCCTGGCGAACGGGCATGAACAGAAGGCGCTCGATTTTCTTATTCGCTTCCATGGTAATGGCGATCCAAAGAATCCGATTGTCGAACTCGAGTGGACGGAGTTCAAAGAGAACATCAAGATGGACGCGTCGGACAAACGCTGGTGGGATTATTCTGAGCTGTTCAATACCCCTAGCGCCAGATGGAGAAGTTTCATGGTAATCTTGATGGGCACATTTGGTCAGTTTTCGGGGAATGGGCTCGGCTATTTTAATACCCAGATCTACGCGGCTGTCGGATACGACTCGTACATGCAATTTGTTCTCAACCTAGCAAACTCACTCGTCTCGGCGTTCGGTGCGATCTGTGGCGTGTCGTTGGCGGATCGCATGCCGAGACGACCAGTCCTGATATGGGGCACTCTGATTTGTGCAATCTGTTTGGGGATTAACGGAGCCCTCTCTTGGAAATGGGCACACAATGCGACTCTGGGGATTACCGATCTTAGTGTCGGCAAGGGCGCGGTTGCTTCGTATTGTACGCCTATCTATAAATATCTTTGACTGCTTAAGATTCTGACTTGAACATGACTCAGTCTTGTTCGGATTGGTCTATGGTTTCACCTATTCACCACTTCAAGCTCTGTATCCTGTTGAGTGTCTGCAGAATACAGCACGGGCTAAGGGGGTGCGTATTTTATAGAAATACATATCCTCGTGCTTACTGGAAAGTTCACTAGATGTCTATGTACTTCGTCGTTGTGGGAATCATGCTTTTTATCAATCTGTACTGCACGCCCATTGCCTTGCAGAACATCTCGTATAACGTGCGCAGTTTTTCTTCACCGCCGGATTGTCCTCTGATCACCAAGAGCAGTACGTTTTCATCTTCGTGGGCTGGGATACGATCGAGTCTATCCTTTGGTTCTTCTTCTGCGTTGAAACGATGGGCAGGACTCTAGAGGAATTAGAGGAAATTTTCTCTACGCCGTGGCCGCCACGTGCTGGGAAGAAGCTCTATAAGATCGCAGAGCGGGCAGACGGGCAGGTCGCCATTGTGGACGATGCGTGATTTGAGCACACAACTCCTTATAGGGTTTGGTCGTGCGTGATGTTGCAGGTATAGCTAGTAACATCGACGAGATTTGAATGATCGGCGAGAGGGAGAAATGTAAAACTTCAAACTGTTATGATGTCCTTCAATTTATGGCGCATGAGCCCTGAACACTCGGCACGAGCGGAGTATATGAGTAGCGCGCGCAGCGGAGGCAAAAGACCCTGTCTTCGCCCAATATAGCAATTGCTCCAGAGTCTGAACGTATGGGCTTACACCGAAGCACAGAGTATGATATAATATAATACAGTGAAAAATATGATAATATCACCCTACCACTAACCCTAACCCTAACCCTAACCCCACCCTAACCTTAACCAACCCTAACCTGCTAGATGGGATCCTAACCAGTACCCTAACACTACGCAGGGGAGGAATTGCCTTTTTCGGAAATTACGGAGGTAAATTGCCCCCGTCCGCGCGAACACGCATAAAGCTCTTTTCTTTTTAGGGAATTATAGACGCAGTTTGCCTCCGCTGCGCGCGTCCTACACCTACATGCTACTCATCTCGTGTGCGCTCGCACGAGCGTGTGGAGGACACTTGACCTGACCTCAAGAGTGGAGGAACTCGCAGACGACCACACGCAGTCGCCGTCAATGGAGCGCATTCTGCTCTTCCATCTACTGCTTTCCTCTTAGGTAGCTAGACGCCCAGCACTCAAGGTAGTCCCACTCATCACTCCAACAAGGCCAACATGTTCGGCGGCTCGGACTTCAAGCCCAAATCCATCTTCTTCCACACGACAATCATGGGTTCTCAAAACCAAGGAGATCGCATGCAGATCGATCTCAACGTGCCGTGTGACGTGGAAGCGCTTCGGGCGGATAGGGAAGTACAGGGACGGTTTATTGCGGAGAGTTTGCAGAAGGTGGAAGGGGAGATGAAGTATGCTGGGGAATGGACATGTTTTGCATGTGGTGCATCTCTCTTGTGGCGTACATCTCTTCTTGCGTATGACTAATGCGTCGCGCAGGCAAACAAGCTCACGAACTCGTGCATCACCCCATGTCGTGGCTGCAGGCCCAACCGGGGTTCGTGATGGACTACGTGCACATGGTGTGTTCTCGCGAGGAGCCAAAATGCGCGGGGGTGATTGAGGAGAGTAACAAGGAGCTTACGACGGAGATGGGGATGGAGCCTGGGGCTGCAGGGGGAGAGAGTGGAGACATACCCCAAGAAGCGCCTGGCGCTGTGGCCCAAGAGCCAAAGGCGGAGGGGAAAGAGAAGGAGGTAGAGAAGGGCAATGACTCGCAGCACCCGAGTTCCGCCCCCCCAGCAGGAGGATGTGCTGTCTGCCACAAGCAGGGCAAGACCCTCCAATGCAGTCGGTGCAAGACCATCAGATACTGTTCCCCCGAGTGCCAAAAGACGGATTATTCGCGGCACAAGGGTGTCTGCCGGTGGGTAGACAATGTCGAGCGATCATTCGCTTCTGAAAAGAAGGAGGAGGGGGAGAACAAGACTGGGGGCGAGGATTGGCCCGCCGGAATCCCGAGGCCATTCGATCCTCCTGCGCCGGCGGAACATGATCACAGTAATTGCTAAAATATTCAGACGAGGGTTGATAGAATGTACATTCCAGAGAATACGAACATGAAGTATAGTATAACAGAATTGCTTGACAATAACTTCCTTCCTCTTCGTCACCACCGGCTGGTCATCCCAGTCTCTGCTTGCCCACCCCCGCAGCCGGGCCCTGATCCAGCACGGTATCCCTTCCCACGCTCCTGAACATATAATCGATTCCATGCCAAATCTTATCCGCCGTGTTCCGCTGCTCAAAGTCCTTCCCCAAGCTGCGTTCACTCTTGAGGAGAACGGAGATGATGACCGCCGCTGGGAGACATGCGCCCTGCTCGATCCCCTCTGGAGAGACGACGATCTCAACATTCTTGTACGGATCGCGGATGCCCGCCAGCATGGAGGTAGTACCATGCAACCTGATACCGAGGGCGGGGCCAGCACGGTAGACGTCGAATACCGAGCCTTGGTAGTGCACTATGAATAGGATGCCGAACGTGTTGCTTCGGGTCATGAATTTCTGTAGCGGGGGGAATGATCAGGGTCAGTGCTAAGATGAAGAGGCGTTCGCACCTTGAGTGATACAGTTTTGCCCTTGAAGTCTAGGTTCAACTGGGGCTCCGAGTCTTTGTCATGACTCCACAAGACATCGGCAAGCGGCTTGCCCTCTGCACCGCGTATGGAAGTAAGGATGCCTCCCTGCGAGCTCTCGACATGAAAGACCTCCTTGGAAGAGTTCGCCTGTAATATGGAACTGTTGAGGACGTCCTTTGATGTAAAGATGAACTGGGTAGCGTAGTTCGGGGGTGCGCTTTCGGCGCTTATTGTGCTGGTATCGGAGTAGGGCGGCGCCTCAGAGAGAAAGGAATTGCCAGAGTCTTGTGGTGGGTCCTCGAGAGGAGGTAGTACGAATGGTGTTGGAGTTGTGTCCATATTTTCCTTTGTCATATTGTTAGTGGGCAACAAACACAACAATATATATACCTTTAATGAAGCTGTCCATATAAGGACATGCAATGTCAGCCCCATATATGCACGTTCTTTCTCTTGCCACGTGCAGCAGCACAGCGCGCAGTAAAGCCCTTCGGCTCCGCGGCCACGTGATGATTACAATCTCGCAATTCGACAATGACAATAAGACCCTTTATTCCTTCCTCTCAATGATTTCCTTCAATGCCTCCATCCAAGGCGCCCACCTTGGGTCCGGCTTGCCTTTCTCCGGCTCCCAAATCGGATTAGTACACACATAGCCAACACTGATTCCACTGTCCAGATCCGCAAATGCGAGTCTCCCACCCGCACCTGGATGTCCGACCAATGAGGGCCCGAGCATTGGGCACGCCGGTCGACAGAGCTGGAAGCCCAATGCCATCCTCGACCGCGGTAGGGGGAGGAGGTTGAACGGGTGGGGAAATGTGAGGTCATCCGTCTGCGCGACCATGGCAGTACGCACAGTGGCGTGATCCAACAACTGCGGATGGCTGTCCACAGACCCGAGCAAGGATGCGTACAGCTTTGCCAGACTGCGCGCATCCCCTATTCCGTTCGCGGCAGGTATCTCGCATGCATGACCCTGGCGGGAGTTCATAAATGGGCGCATGTCCTTCTCCATCATCATTACAGCCCCAAGAGCAGCCCCCAGCGGTATGGCAGACATGTCGAACGGGGGTTGACTAGGGGCCACTGGCGCTGGTAATTCAGGAATGACACTTCCCGGAGCGGGGAGCAGAGCTGTCTTCTCGGTCCAAGGGACGACGCGTGGTTCGAGTGCTTCAGGCAGCCCAATCCACAGATCGAGCCCACGTGATTGCGCGATCTCTTCTCGGAAATATTGCCCAACCGTCCTCCCCGTGATGCGCCGCACGACTTCTCCAACCAGGTGGCCATATGTGAACGCATGGTAAAAGAAGGCGGTTCCCGGTTCCCAGAAAGGCATCATATCCTCGATGACGTGAATTATCTTCTCCGAATCCGTGACATCTGTAATCGTAATGTTCGCTTCTGCGGGTAGAGCGGCCAGGCCGGAAGTGTGGTTCAGGAACATCCTGGTGGTGATCTTCTCTTTTGCATTCTTGGCGAACTCGGGCCAGTACTTCGACACAGGCGCATCGACATCAAGCAGACCGCGTTGGATAAGCAGATGTGCAACGATCGCTGTCAGGCCCTTCGTAGCTGACATGAATACGACCAGTCCATCTTCGGGGAATGTCTGTCCGCGTACAGGGTCGGAGCCGGTCCAGAGATCAACGACTTTCACACCGTGGTCATAGATCGCCAGTTGGGCGCCGCCGATGTCGCCAGACTGGCCAAGACCGAACGTCTGGCGAATAGATTCGAATCCAGGTGAAACGGTGCCGTGCACTTCAAGCGAGGACATGTTGTTCAAGTCTGTGTTCAGTTGCGAAGTCCTTAAAGGAAGAAGGAATGGAACGTGATGTCCTGCGGCCCGGCATTATATAGTCCAATGCTTATGGCAGGGCCATGGGTGACATGTTGACCTCCGGCACCCGAAAGGAAAGGCAGGGTACATAGCGGGGGTCAAGGAAGATACAGACAAGGTAATGCAGCTTACTCAGGTTGGCCTGAGCCGGAATCCAACGTTGTTGCGGATATATGCAAAGGCCGAAATGATCAGGGGAGGAGAGTGGGAACGCAGGGTACCGTCAACAACAACTAACTCTAATATTCTGATTTGTGGCTGTATAGCATTTTTAGGGGGCCTCAGAGCTGCCTTATGTCATAATAACCCGCATAATTCATTTCAAGTTTCTACCAAAAGACAGCCCTTTTGGATGACAGATATTTCTGTCCCCTCACATTATTTTTGCCTCTTCTACATAGAAAAAAAACAACCCAATCGCGGGGCGAGCAGGCTGGGGAAGAGCACGGACCCCAAAGGATCTCGACAAGGTCACGTTATTTTGTGGGCGACGCGTACGCGTTCGGCATGGGAGGTTCCCAAGAGCACATGGCAAGGGTCTTCAACGTTAACGTCTTCAACCCAGTCACTTCTCCTGCAACGAGAACCAGAAAAGGCTATCGTGGCACAGTCGTTGTATGCTTCCCATCTCAGTTCGCAAGCCTCGTCTCCCTGCTATTAAGTATCACCGTGGATTTAAGAAGGTCACGACGAGTCAGCACGGACAGCATACGCCGACGCAGCAAGCATGTCCGCCATCAACATTCGACTTCAATCGAACGAGCTGGACTATAATTTGGGTTCGTCCTGGAGGTGATTTCGTCAAACACACACCGTTCGAAACGAGTACCCATCGACGATCATGGCCGTCTCAGGCTTCGTAACTCCAGAGTTCCAACAAGTGCTCAGTGCCTTTGCCGAAGGACAGAAGAACGATGCAGGCGGCGCTCAACTGGCAGTCTATCACAAAGGCGTCAAAGTAGTCGACATCTGGACCGGCAACGACCCGGTTCGCCAGCGCCCTTTTGACGGCGAGGGCTATGTTATGTTCATGTCATCAACTAAGGGCCTGACGGCGATCGCGGCACATGTGCTCGTCCAGCGTGGACTGCTCGATATCAATGCGCCTGTTAGCAAGTACTGGCCCGAATTCGCTCAGAACGGAAAGGAGAACATTACGGTTAGCATGCTCCTCTCGCATACTGCTGGCCTCGGCGCAGTTCCTGCGGAGTGTGAGATGAAGATGCCGGACCTCGCCGACTGGAACAAGAACACTCACTGGCTCGAAGAGATGGCTCCCTTATGGGAGCCGGGTACCAAGCTCATGTACCACCCTGTGACCTTCGGCTTCCTTGTCGGCGAGGTGGTGCGTCGCATCAGTGGCAAGACAGTCGGCACGTTCCTTCGTGAGGAGATCGCCAAACCATGCGGACTCGACCTGTGGATTGGATTGCCAGCGGAGCTCGAGCCGTGCGTTATTCCCATGATGAAGAAGACATTGCCCCAGTCGGCTGGTTCCGCTGCCCGGGCTGGACCTCCTATCCTGCCAGCCGGTGGTACCCAACTCGATTCATCGGAGTCCGCCATAATGGGAGCATACAAGATTGTCTTCGATTTCGACGGGCTCACCGCCTTCCTGGACACGCCGAGGGCCCACGAAGCAGAGATACCTGCTGCGAACGGTATCGGGGATGTGCGCATTATCGCTAAGCTGTATGCGCATGTCATCGGGGACGTCGATGGCAAGCCTCGTATCCTCAGCGAGGAGATCGTCAAGGCTGCCTCCGTTCCACAGACGGATGGCCTAGAGGTTCCTTCCCCGTTCAGTAAGATCATGCCTTCCACCATGTTCCGTTTCGCACTTGGATTCGAGAAGCCCCGTCCTGCCGTCCCTATGCTTGGCGAGAGTAGCTTCGGCCATTCAGGGGCGGGGGGTCGACTTGCTTTTGCAGACATCGACTCTGGCCTTGCTGTAGGCTACTTGTGCAACAACCCAACTTGGGAACCGCCAAATGGACCTGATCCGAGGTGGGTCCCCTGGTTGAAGGCCCTGAAGGATATTGTCAAGCAATGAGAGGAATTGCACGGTGATAACAAGAGCAAGTACTCGAAAGTAGTTGTTGCTCAGAATAAGAGTGGTTATCCAGCATTGAACGGCAAAACCTTGCCCCTTTAGGCGGTTGAGTGTTCTGTGAGGAATTGCCGAGATGCAATAAATATTCATATCATTGCCAGGGGTACGTGGAAACCTCACTATGAACAAAATTCGCGAGGGCTCAAAACAAATAGACACGCCTATATTTGTTCCATGAGATACCAGAGGCGGTCAGGAAAGAACACATCCATGTGAAAGCGTCGTTAAAGTGCGCGAGCTCTGTAAGCCTTCTGCGAACAAACTTGGGGATGACTCGCGTTTGAACCTAAAATAACTACAATCATGCCGGACAACATGGAGAAATTTCCTCAGTCTTCTATATTCACAGTGATTTATTTCGTAACAGTAGATCCCTGCTTACCAAGAGTATTCCTTCCACGCGTTCGTCCATCATGTCTCCGGATTACGTGATGTGCCCGTGAGAGCGCAACATCGAGGATGACTTCAAAGATACCAGCCATGACACCTGTCCATTGGGAGCGATCCGAAGTGTGGAAATCCAAGCAGATGGAGGTAACATACGGGTTCGATGCGTTGTGGGGTATAAGACAGCCATTTTGCGAACACGGGCTCCTCACTCTCAAAGATTCAGCAACTTGAAATGACTGTCTTCGGTACTGTCGCTCCAGGCTTCGAGTCGATCCGTGACGCCTTTGAGGCCGGTCAAAGTATCGACGCCGGTGGTGCCCAACTAGTTGCCTATCAACATGGTGTCAAAGTGGTCGACCTTTGGACCGGAGACGACCCGGTTCGGGGAAAACCATTCGATGGAGACGATTTCATTCTCTGCATGTCAGTTACAAAGGGCCTAACGACTACTGTGGCCCATCGACTCATCGAACGAGGCATTCTTAGTATTAACGCACCTGTCTGCAAGTATTGGCCCGAGTTCGCCCAAAACGGGAAAGAGAACATTACTGTGCAAATGATCCTCAATCATACGTCCGGCTGTTCCACCTGGCCGCTGGAAGCCGACATCAGTTTCACCAACATGGTTGACTGGAACCGAATGATACATGCCTTGGAGAAGATGGCACCGTTCTGGGAACCCGGAACTGCGGTGCTTTACGCTGCCTGGACATACGGGCTCCTCATTGGAGAAGTCATTCAACGTGCTACTGGAAAGACAGTCGGAACGATCTTCCGTGAAGAAATCGCCGAACCTCTGGGTCTCAATCTCTGGATCGGATTGCCTGAGGATCAAGAGCCTCACGTCATTCCATGGATGCCGAAGACGCCTCCCAAGCTTGCACTAGGCGAGAACAATGCAGTCGCAGACAATCTTGCTCCGCACGTCGATTGGTCGAACCCTCTCATCGCTTCGTACATTTCATGGCTGGATTCACCTGGCCTCTTCACTTTTGTGAACTCTCGTGAAGCGCATGCGGCTGAGCTCCCTTCCTTGAATGTAATCGGAGATGCCCGTAGCTTAGCCAAGCTGTACGCGAACATCATCGGCGAGGTCGTGGGGAAACCGCCCCTCCTCCAACCAGACACTCTCGAGCGTGCCATTGCCCCCGAGACGGAAACAATGGCTGTTGCTGGTCCGCTACAAGGCGTTTTCGAACCCGGTCGGTTCCAATTCGGCCTTGGCTACGAGAGATCTCGCGCAGGAAGTCCAATGTTGGGAGAGGGAGCTTCGGGCATAGTGGATTTGGCGGTCGTCTTGGTTTTGCGAATGTCAAGTCTGGCATCTCAGTGGGTTACATCTGCAACAACAATGTGTGGACCGGAGCAGCTCCCGATCCAAGGTGGATGCCATGGCTGAAAGCATTCAACGAGATTTCCACGAGCAAATAGAAACAAAGGTAGAAGATCGTTAGAATAGAATATATTGCGACCCAGTATGCCTTCTTTTTTTTGAAGTAGAATTTTGAAGCATCACAAAACAAGAGAACCTCATCGGGCAAGTCGGAGAGTAAGACGGAGTAATTTCCTCCGATGTCCCCTCTTCGGAGACAAAGTTCCTACAATGCCCCTCCGGAGGCAATTGGCCTAAATGCCCCTCTTCTTCACATGTGCTGCATATTTGCGCGTCGTCTTTGTGGCAGTGACAAGAAACTCATAAATGAGAGAGTTTAGGGGTCTTCCAGTAATATTTACATATGGTGTTATCAAGAAATTAGAATATATACTCCTAAGTACAGGTGTTATTTGAGGTTTATAATAACAGCAATGTACCAAAATGACTGAGATAGATTTCGCTCTTTGATTAGGCAATTTTTTTTGTACTATAACATCGAAAACTTGTGGGGCCCCTGAATTATTTAAAAACTATGATTTTCTTTCTCACTACCCCAATGACGACGGGAAGACGCAGCACATGTGAAGAACAGAGGGCATTTAGGGCAACTGCCTCCGGAGGGGCATTGTAGGAACTTTATCTCCGAAGAGGGGGCATCGGAGGAAATCACTCGAATAAGACGACACTGCCACACGGGCAACATGTCAATTACGTACATGTCTTTGCTTTCCTAGAGACGGCGGGAGGACGCGCGCAAGTCCTTTGCAAGGCGACTGCAGCTCCATATCCAATCGTCCGTCGAACGAGAAGATAGCAGAGTAACCAACAACGGAACACCGCTGCGGGGGACATTGTTCAGCTCTTCCCAGACAAGATGACCGTCTTCGGAACTGTCGCTCCAGGCTTTGAGTCGATCCGCGACGCTTTTGAGGCTGGTCAAAGTATCGACGCCGGCGGTGCCCAACTTGCCGCCTATCAGCATGGCATTAAAGTCGTCGATCTGTGGACCGGAGACGATCCCGTTCGCGGAAAACTGTTCGATGGCCACGACTTCGTTCTCTTCATGTCGTCCACGAAAGGTCTCGTGATAACCGTCACCCATCGGCTTATCGAAAGAGGCATTCTCGATCTTGATGCGCCTGTCTGTAAGTATTGGCCCGAGTTCGCCCAGAACGGCAAAGAACACATTACCTTGAAGATGATCCTCAACCATACGTCAGGTTGTTCTGCATGGCCGCTGGAAGCCAACATCGGCATACCGGATATGAATGATTGGAATCGAATGATACGTGCCTTGGAGAGGATGGCTCCGTTCTGGGATCCCGGAACTGAAGTCCTTTACGCTGCGTGGACATTCGGATTCCTCATAGGAGAGATTATTCGACGCGCTACAGGAAAGACGGTTGGAACGATATTTCACGAAGAAATTGCCCAGCCTCTGGGTCTCAATCTCTGGATTGGGTTGCGGGAGGAGAAGGAGCCTCGAGTTATCCCATGGATGCCCAAGACACTTCCCAAGCTTGCCCCCGGCGCGGCCGTCGAGAGCCTCGAAGCGACTGCCATGGACGTCGATTGGTCTAACCCTCTAATCGCCTCGTATCTTCCCTTTGATGAATCAGTTCTTCATACATTCCTCAACTCTCGTGAGGCACACGCCGTCGAAATTCCATCTGTAAATAGAATTGGCGATGCCAGGAGTTTAGCCAAGCTGTACGCGCATATCATCGGAGAGGTCGAGGGCAAAACGCCTCTGCTCAAACCAGACACCCTCAAGCGTGCTATCGCATCCCAAATTGATGGCATCCCGGTGGCTAGTCCCCTGCAAGCCCTCTTACCACCTGGAAGCTTAGAGTTTGGCCTCGGTTATGAGCGGTTTAGACCGGGAAATCCCATGCTGGGAGAGGGAAGCTTTCAGCACAGTGGATTTGGTGGCCGCCATGCGTTTGCCAATGTCAAATCCGGCATTACCGTGGGGTATGTCTGCAACAATAATGTGTGGAACGGAATGACTCCTGATCCGAGATGGATGCCGTGGCTAAATGCCTTGAGCAAGATTACTTAGCATGGATCGGAATGGAAGTCGGAGAAGTCCTTAAACGTAGTCTGGCATGTCCAATTTCAAGCAATGCGATATGAGCGACAGTGACAGTTCAGTTCAGGTGGTGTCTTAGCCGGAGCCGAAGACTGGCGAGGTCTACGGAATGCAAACGCGTTTCTCTAATGCTCACAGTACATATTGACTCGCCACGATCAAGTAACAAGACGTGAAACCTTGCACAGCATCCCGGCGGCCGCAGTCTAATCAAGATACACAGATGTATGCGAGTCACAACATTGAGAGGGTCGATCGGACCTGCCCTCTGTGCGATGGACTTGCTCTGGCAATCGATCCTCGATCGAATGAAGAACCTGTTTCTCATTCATTCCAGATTGTCTCAGGACCTACAAGCTGTCCATCCCCTGTTAACTGGGGAAGGACGGGGCGCACAACCGCCAGAACTCGAAACCCTCTGCATATCCTCCACCAGTTCATGGAAGCCCCTCGATAGAATGAACATGTATGCGCACCACTATGTGGAAGTCCCTCACACTAATCGAGATTAATAGCATTTCCCCTGTTACCTGAGTTGGACTTCTAACAAGCCGATATGGGTTACCGGTGCCTACGCGTACCAAGTCGATTGTTAATGGAACTTGGAATGCTACTTGCGTTTGAATGAGCGATGACCTATACAGGGGATACGGTACTTTCTCCATTGTGAAGTGATGCTGAGTGGACTGGCTAATATTTGGACGAACTATCCACGCACCGCCCGGATTACATAACACGCTGCGTGGGAACGCAAACATAAAGGTATGACTGTCTCGTTCCATTATTACCATCTATCATAATAGGGACATAGTGTGGAAAATCCACAAGACGCAAACGTCAGATGGAGCTTGCGGATTTCGGAAATATAAGAAGCCGCTCTCGTGAACTTATCATCCCACTTTCAATTATACAACAACCTTCACACTCGACTTTCAACCCAGATGACCGTCTTCGGAACTGTCGCTCCAGGCTTTGAGTCGATCCGCGACGCTTTTGAGGCTGGTCAAAGTATCGATGCCGGCGGTGCACAACTTGCCGCCTATCAGCATGGTATTAAGGTCGTTGATCTTTGGACCGGAGACGATCCCGTTCGAGGAAAACCATTTGATGGCGACGATTTCGTCCTCTTCATGTCTGTCACCAAGGGTTTGACGAGTACCGTTGCCCATCGTCTTATCGAACGGGGTCTTCTCGATATTGATGCGCCTGTCTGCAAGTATTGGCCAGAGTTCGCTCAAAATGGGAAAGAGAAGATCACCTTGAAGATGATTCTCAATCACACGTCTGGTTGCTCTGCGCTGCCATTGGAAGCTAAGATCGGAGTCCTCGAGATGACCGACTGGAATAGGGTAATCCACACCTTGGAGGAGATGGCACCGTTCTGGGAGCCGGGCACCCAAGTACTTTACGCCGCCTGGACATACGGCTTCCTCATCGGAGAGGTCATTCGACGCGCCACCGGAAAGACAGTCGGAACGATCTTCCGCGAAGAAATTGCCGAGCCATTAGGTCTGAACTTGTGGATCGGATTGCCAGAGGAGAAAGAGACTCGGGTCATTCCATGGATGGAGAAGACACCCCCTAAGTTTCCGCCCGGCAAGGCCGAAGAGAGCCTAGATGTGACTCCTCCGGACCTCGACTGGTCGAACCCAGTGGTCGCTTCTTACCTACCCTCGCTCGATCCACCGGCTCTTCATGAATTTGCCAACTCTCGCATATCTCATGCCGTCGAGATTCCATCTGTTAGTGGAATTGGTGATGCCAGAAGTTTAGCCAAGCTGTACGCGCATATCATCGGGGAGGTCGAGGGCAAACCGCCTCTGCTCAAACCAGACACCCTCAAGCGCGCTATCGCGTCCTCGATCGACGGTATTCCAGCTGCTGGTCCACTTCGCGGCGTGTTGCCACCTGGAAGCCTACAATTTGGCCTTGGTTTTGAGAGATCTCGACCAGGTGATCCTATGTTGGGAGAGGGCAGCTTCGGGCAGGGCGGAGTTGGCGGTCGTCTTGCTTTTGCCAACGTCAAATCCGGCATAACCGTTGGTTATGTGTGCAATAACAATATGTGGACCGGAATGTCTAAGGTGGATGCCGTGGCTGAAAGCGTTCGGCGAGATTGCCAGTAACTGAAATCGGAGACCTTGAATATGTGGAATGTATGCTGTCACGTGTGTAATGACACGCGTCGCGTTGATGGCCATGAGAAAAATCACTTATCAGACCGACTTATTCTCGCCTGGATTGCACGAGTCACCAATCTGCCTCTCCCCTCTTCATCCGATAGACCGTCCATGTTCGGATCCACGCCGCGGGTTGCGCTAGCTGTCGAAGCTATTAATGGGTACAGCGGGTCACCGACGAAATCAGTGCCTCAATATCATGCGTTGGCAGCCCCACATCACGTAACCAATGGAGCGGTGACTAGCATGGATGAGATGAATGACTAGCACGTATGAGACGAATGACTAGATCTTTACCGATAACCAGGTACGCCCTCCTCGGACTAATCTCGCACCATGCCGATCAGTCAATTTAGAAGTCTGAATGACTATAGCAGGACCCGGACTACGATCGGCGCTGAAACGTGTACCAGCATACCCGTCACGAGTGGACAGATGGTTAAATACCCACCCTGCTTGGTCGCTACCCCCCCATTCCCACCTCTATCCGCATAACATGACTGTGTACGGCGAAGTCGCACCTGGGTTCGAACCTGTTCATCTTGCATTTGCCAAAGGCCAAGCGCTTGACCCTGGTGGGGCTCAACTGGCCGTTTACCAAGGTGGTGTCAAGGTCGTCGATCTCTGGACCGGTAACGATCCGATTCGGGGACGGGCGTACGATGCCAACGGCTTCGGTATACTTATGTCAGCAACAAAGGCATTGACCGCAACCGTGGTGCATCTGCTTTCCGAGCGAGGCGACATCGACATCGACGCTCCGGTATGCAACTACTGGACGGAGTTCGCCCAGAACGGCAAGAGCAACATCACGATTAAGATGGTCCTAATGCATACGTCTGGCTGCTGTGCGTTCCCCGTCGAGTCCGGCATAGTTGTCCGTGAGGTGCTGGATTTGCCACGAGTCATTCGCTGTCTAGAAGAGATGGCGCCATTTTGGGAACCTGGAACACGAATGTTGTACGCGCCATACACATACGGCTTCATCCTGGGTGAAGTTGTGCATCGGATCACGGGCAAGACGATTGGCACGGTCTTTAGAGAGGAGATCGCTTCTCCCCTTGATCTTAATCTCTGGATTGGTGGATTTCCGGAAGACAAGGAAGCTGCCTTCGTCCCGAGCATGCCGCGAATCCCGCAGTTTGCATCGCCTGACAAATCAGGTACGGGGTCGAACCCGGTGCCTTCCCAGCCCGTTCTCGACATGAGCAACCCCCTCGTGGCAGCGTATGTGGCTCCGCTCAGCACTACCGACACGCCAGCCTTCCTTAACACGCGTGAAGCACATGTTGCGGAGATCCCGGCAGCGAACGGGATCGGAGATGCACGAAGCCTCGCGAAGTTCTACGCGCATCTTATTGGCGAAGTAGATGGCAAGCCGCGGATTCTCAAGAAGGAAACCTTGCAACGTGTGACGAAGACGCAGACGGACGGAATACCTACGGCCAGCCCCTTTGAACTGCTGTATAAGCTGGACAGCTTTCGCATTGCCCTTGGTTACGAGAAGAGATGTCAAAGTGGCCAGCCAATGATTGGGGAAAGCAGTTTCGGCCACGCGGGGTCAGGCGGTCGATTGGGATTTGCAGACATCGAGTCTGATTTAGCGGTCGCATACATTTGTAATAACCCGCTATGGACCTTTGGGACCCCGGATTCCAGATGGATGCCCTGGATGGAAGAGCTCCAGAAGATAGCGTTGGAAGGCACAAAGTAACCGCAAGTTTGTTGATTCCAGAACTTTTATAGCAGGTGCACAGTTGTCGAGTTTGATGTTTTAAAAAGTCCTAAATTCATATTATTAGAAAATGCAGGCCGGCGACTTGGCTCTGAAGCATGTCGGGCCGATAGTCTGATCCAACCAGAGCCTCGCTCAGAAAGGCAAAAAGTTATATAACGATATCATTGAATTCAGTTAAGTGCTGCGTTCAGGGTTCTTGTCTGATCTCTGAAGAACTGCTTGGCTACAATGGCCTCTGGAGCTAGCATTAGTCCATGAGGCACTCCAGGATATAGCTCCATCTGGCAGTCCACCCCGTTCTCCCGTAACTTCACAACATATGCAATCCCCTCGTCCCGCAGTAAGTCCCTTCCGGCGACTGCGACATGAACAGCCGGGTGATGTGAGGGAATTGAGGATAGAAGGACGGAGCAGAACGGATCGGAAGATAGAGGGCCGCCGTACATGCTCCACATCTTTTTGATCTCGTCGAGCTTGCGTTTTAAGGACGGGTCTGCCGTGGCCACTTGTTGCTTCAAAGGCTCAGGGAAATAATCAGGATCGCATGTGATGGGCTGAGGTGTGACATAAGTGCTATAGGACAACTCGCTGAATAACCCAGGGCTTACAACCACCAACATCGCAAATAAAATTCGCGAAGGATTGTGTTCGGCGCAGTCACGAAGGCAGACGGCAGCAGCCAGGTTCGCACCCGCGGAACATCCCCATAAGCCTATCTTCTGGGGGTTGATGTTGTACTTTTCTGCATGGTCGATCACCCAGGAGATCGTATGATAACAGTCTTCCAGTGGTATCGGAAACTTGTGTTCGGGAGCTAAGCAGTGGTCGACATTGAAGACCACAGCGCGAAGTTCCGAAGCAAAGTATTCGGCTACCTCTGCATTTCATCAACAAAGCCCAGCACTCCCTTGGACAAGTGAAATGATTACCATGATCCCCAGCAGCGTCACCATGAATCCACCCACCGCTGCATGCCGTTAGTGACTACATGGATGAAAGAACGGGCTCGCTCACTGACCCATGATAAAATACTAGTGCTGGCCAAACCCCACGCGCCTCCGTCGAAGGCAGCTCAGGACTATGTACACGGATAGAGTAATCTCCGCCTTGACTTCCACATCTTCGTATCCAACCTTGACCTCCGTCCGAAACCTCTTTGCCAGTGGTTTTCGTGAAGTTCGAGTTCTTATCACCCAGTTCCTCATGCCTTCGACGTCTGTACCAGACGATGCATCAGCATGCACTGACTTCATCTTGGCGACCTCTGCAACGTAATTTTGGTCCTCCCAATCAATCATGTTTGAAAGCTGCCCAGTGTGAGGTTTTGTCGAACAGCCTGCAGTTGTCAATATCAGTGTTAGATTTCAAGACACTTGACGCCTCTTGAGTTTTTCACTTCTCGAGCACTGCATTGATTGTCGTTTGCGGTAGACCTGGTCGCCGCCAGGCTTAAGCAACACAGACATCCAAGAGCATGCTCGTGTCTATAAAGTGCGGGTCCCCAGAAAGTTCACTTTGCGCCAAGTAGATGAAGATGGAGTTATACGATGTCGTTAGAGTACTACACAGAATCTGACATACGGAGTGTTTGCCACTGATAGAAGAAAGAGATCGATTAGCATCAGGGGCGATGCCTGAAGTGACTTGGTCCCGTTCGGCGCTTTTCTCGGCAGAATCACTTCTGCCCCTCGGTCAAATTGTATTTTCTACCACGAATGACGGTTGTTGATCAGTCCTCTGGGGCCCATGTCGGTCGGATCCACATCGCTAAAGATTGCCGTGCACTCTCCGAGTCGAATTAATGGACGGTACCGATAGGACTGCCACAGACTATCCCGTCTTCCTCTCTACCCCGCACCGTTGGATCCTTCGGCGGCATGGTCGGCGCCTCACAATTCAAGCCATTGCTTTGATGTTGTTCCATATTTGCCTGGAACACGTTGAAGTGTTGCGGGTGGAATGATCTAGTGCTGGTTGTCTGCTCCGTGGACTCCTACGCGGTTCCTGGAGCCCTTTCATCAAATGATCTGCATAAAGTCAGGACAGTTGGTGTATTACAGGTTCCAATTCTGCACGAGGCTGTCTCCCATTTGCTGACACTTCTCACGCGTAGCCTGAGGGGAAATTATGTCGGAGAGTGTGCACAAACACTCCGCTTCGGAGGATGGACATGTCGTTGAAGAATCCAGCAAGGTGGATGTTGGGAAGCAACTCCATCACCCCAAGAGTAGGGCAAGGTTTTTCGCGTCGAGCCCTACTGAACACGGCTCTTTGCTACTCAGATTGGTTGAACCTTCGCGTCATAGTGAATGGTAATGCCCTTGTCTCCGTGTTTGAAAATGTTTCTGACCTTCTGAGACAGCCGTCATCATCGGCTTGTCTCTGGGCCTATATGGCTACGACAACGTCTTCGTCGTAAGTTCAGTATCACTTGAAAGAGTCTTTTATTATCTCTCACCTTGCGAAGGGCCCACTGGTAACGCTCCCTTTATTTGTTCTCAAGTGTCAAGGCCCGGGCGTGGATGGACTCCCTGTGTTTGACGTATGTTTCACATTGAACCTTTGAGAAAACATGTAATTAACTGCATGCTGAGGCTCGAAACTTAACGTACGTCCTACATTTTCGTTACCTACTTTTCAAAACTCACTCGCACTTAGCTTGATGGTCACGGTGCCTCTAGTGGGTGCAGCATTGGGCTCTTTCGGAGTAGTTCCAATCCAAGGTCCTATTGGGCGCAAAGGTGCATTCCTCGCCGCATACGGCTTGTGTTGCATCCCTGGAAGCTTCTTGCAGCTATTTGCCCCTAATCTTGGGCGATGATCGTTGGTCCGTTGGTAGTCTGTTTGAGAATGTTGAGCTCACGCGTGGGCAGGTCGGGCATGGAATTGTAAATCAAATGCTCTTGGTTCAGGCTCAGGATGGGATGACTAACATACTAGAAGATTTCGGGATCAGTATACTGACCAACGTTGCCCCAATTTGGCTGTCTGAACTGATGTGAGTGGAATGTGTTCCGGTGGCCGGGAGTTGTCAAACGTAACCCTATCGGATACAGGCCTGCACATGTTCGCGGTCGCGTAAGTGGTGGATTTGTGTTCAACATGGTCGCTCTAAACTTGCATCTGTCTCCAGTCTGTCGGATTTGCGGTAGCTGGGATCGGAATTGTTGGTGTTATGGCTGCCGTCATCGTCTGGGGCACGGAGCAAATCTCAGACGAGGTTGGGATGTCACATAACCTGGCTCGCGACTCTGCTGAACATACATGCTACAGAGACAGTATCAAATTCCACTGGCCATTCAGGCAGGAGTACCCTGTGTTCTCTGCCTACTGACACTGCTCGCTTCCGAATCCCCAGTGTGGCTGCTTTCAAAAGACCGAAACGAGCTGGCAAGGAAGAACATGTTGTCTCTCCGAAATCACAATGTTCAAGTCACTGACGCCGAGCTCGCGCTTCAGTCCATCGCTCTCAAGCAAAAAGATGAAGCACGTGCCACGACGCGATGGATGGACATCTTGAACAAGCATAACTTCGAACGCACGCTTATGAGCGGCTACCCCACTAGTGCTGGTCAGGCGAGCGGAGCAGCCCTGGTTGGCACATACGGAACCGTTCTTTTGGTCGAGGCCGGCATTACGAATGCCTACGAAGTTACGATCATTGTCACGGTCGTGCAGTTTGTAGGCTCTTGTGTGGCTCCGTATCTCTATGATCGGCTTGGCCGCCGACCTGTTGCACTGAGCGTTTACGCACTGATAACGATTCTCTCCGCCGTTCTTGGAGGACTTGCATATACCGATCTCCTTGAAACCTCACAACGGAACGCTTTTGCTGCACTGACGATCATTCTTGCGTTCGTCAACGCCATCACCAGCGCGCTGGGGTTCCTCGTAGCGACGGAGGTTCCCACAGCATCGCTGCGAGAGCCCACCATGACCTGGGCCACCTTTTGGGGCTATGTGACCTCTGTCTGCACGACATTCATCATTCCACAAATCATCAGCGCCGGCGCGTGAGTACTCCCCGTCGATCGAGCGTGGCTAGAGGAGCTAATCACTGCATAGTGGAGACCTCGGTCCCAAGGCTTACTTGATATTCATGGGCACCACTATCGTCATCGAAGGTATCCTGTACTTCTTCCTGTAAGAAGGGGCTTTTTTCGGGGAAGCAGGCCGCGCACTCAATTATACAGACCGGAACGGCGAACCGGACATTGGCTGAGATCGACGAGCTATACGAAACGAAACTTCCGAAGAGGAAGTGGTCGGGTATGTCATTATCTTGAGATGATCCGCTTGCACGCTCAACGGTTGACACAGGCTATGAATGCGATGTCGTGAATTATGAAGCGGCGAGGCAGAGTGAAGACGTTGAGCATGGAGCTTGAGTTAGGGGATTGTCTTATCTCTTGAAGAGGACGTAAAATGATTCAATCGATCTGAGCATATTCTCATTTCACTCCTCATCTCGGAAGCGGACGTGAGTGGTGGTATATTTAACGGTACGCCGATTGACAAGAATTTCGCTATGTCACCCACCAAAGGGAGACTATGCATGCGCTCGCCTCAAAGCTTCTTCATAGTCCTATGAGTCATCAAGAACCAAGACGGAGGAGCGTTCTGCAGGTGGAAGGGCTCGTGCAATCGGGTATGAATGGATATTCACAGACGAGTAATGTGAAACAGACCCTGCTCATTTCAAAACCAAACCAAATTAGTAATGTCCTATATTCTGATGAAATGTATGTGTCAAACACAAGACTGCTGCGCTCATGCAGTGCGTCCATGCTAGAAATACAGCGGCGCACATCACTTACCTATTTAGTACATCCATCCTCAATTAGATAATTTGCAAGTGCTTCTTACGTAGGCACTAGAGGCCGAGAAGGGAAGCCAACGCGCCTTGGAACTGGACGTCCTCCTCCACGCGCATGTCCATGGACATGGACATTCCGGGTTGTATGCACCAGCCGCTCTCTCTACTTGTACCCGCATTCAGAGGCATGCTATGGTGGCTTTGAGCATGCATGTGTTCTCGTGGATGCTGGGAGAACGCCATTCCGCTTAGGCCTCCCAGAGCTCCCAGCCCGTTCAGCTCAACTCCAAGGGGCATGCCCTGCAGTAATAGCGGCATTTGTGTCTGAATATGCGACTGAGGGTGAAGGGCATTCCAACGGTTGAGTATGGAGTCATGCCACGACGTAGAAGGTGCGTCAAGTGTGACACTGACGGGCGGAGAAAAGTTCGACAGTTGCGGAGGCGCGGGAAGTTGGGAGGGCAAGTGCACGTTACGCACAGGAACGGCTGGCGTTGCTTGAAAAGATGTAACGATAGGCGATGGAGCAAGCGACTGATGTTGTTGCGCCTGCGCCGGCGCCTGGGGATGTGTGACAGGTGAAACAAGATCGACCTGCTCAAGTGTCGACGTAGCTTCTGTTGATGCTGCGGTTGGCGCGGTGGCTACACTGGTTGCCGTCATATCATATGTGTCTTGTTGCTGTTGCTGATGGTCTTCAGGAAAATAACTGAAGCTTGAACTTCCCACTGGCGATTCCTCCCCAGGTCGAACGGATATTTCAGAATTATCATCGTTGGCGTGTGGGAGTGGCAGAGGTTGGATGCCAAGCGGCACATCCCCGAAGAATTTGGCAAGACAGCCATTTAACATCGGAAGATAGTTTCTTTCCATATCATTATCCGCAACAGCCACAATCAAATCCCGGAGCACCGAGTCGAACATGCCAGACCCCGATTCACCAATTTGGTTTGAGAGGTTCCATATGGTCCTTGTGATGGCGGTGACTTTCCCCAAGCCAACAATCCGCAGCTGACCCGGAGGAAGCTGGCCGACCGACTCAAGGACGTTGGCGCCCATTTGCTGTAGGATCATCGCTAGGCCGGTTATTGCGAGCGGATTCGTCTGGCAGCTGTCGAACAGGGATGGAAGGCGTGAGGCGAGCATCCACTGCCGAGTGATGGCGACATCCGCGTTCTGCGTTGGATACACAGGGCCACGACCATCGCGATCGCGAAAAAAGATGCTGGGAATGAGGTTGCTCGAACCTGTGCCTGAAGGCCAGGCTGCGGGGGATGCACCGATGGCGATGATTTCGTTGACGTCCGTCGCTGCGTGCAGCTGAGTCATCAGCACGAGAAGGTCCACAGCCTCGCGGTCGAGGCGCTCCATGTCCTCTTTCTCCATGATTCCTGGGCGCAGAAGGTCCGGGAGCTGGTGGCTTTCACAACTATTGACAGGGAGTCGTAGCGCCTCGGCCGAATGAACGATATTCGCTGGGCGACGAGCGAGCCGTCGTTTATTAGCACCACCGTAGATGCTCACGCTAGCGTTCTCCGTCACGAAGACCACATATTCGATACGGATGCGCCGGATGCGCTCTGCCTCTGCCTCATGTTTTGCCATCCTGCCAAGGTCGGGCTTGCTGGGCTCCACGTTATCGAGCAAATCGATAGCTTCCGTTAGGTAATGGAAAGCGTGCTTATGCTTGCTGATGACGTTGTACGCAACGAACAAGAAGAGGTTGACAACGACGGTATCGAGGGTAGGATTATCCACATAGTCATATTCGGTGCGGACGCCTTCCGTTGTCTTGACATAATCGAGAAGTCGCGCATCTCCGCGGGTAGGAGCAGAGCGCAGTCGGCAGGCCTCGTTATAAGCTTGAAGTCCGCGTAGGAGGGCGTGGAAGTCCGCGTTGCTTTCGTGTTCGCCTCGTTTTGCCCGGGTCAGAAGAGCGGATCGGTCAAGTACAGGGAAGGCGGCGTATCCGAACTTGACATACTCATCGATTGTTTGGAGTGGGAAGAGCGGCGGGTAAGGGCGACGAGGTCCGTAGGCGGGTGGACAAAAATCAGGGCACGGAGGCGGAGGCGAGGCGAACGAGGTAGCGTTGGCGAAAGGAATAGGAAAAGAGGTCAAGGCAAGGTCCACGGGAGAGGAAGAACAGGTTGAGGAGCCAGTGTCGACCAATTCCGGGCTTGAATGCTCAAGATGAACAGGTGCTGAGGTCAGAGAACCGCTAGGCTTCTGGTTCTCCCGAAGAGCGGATAGGCGCCTTTGTGGCCAATAAGCTCCACGTATGAATATCGGGGATAGTAACCAGAAACATACTTTCCGCTGGCTGGGCCCCTTTTCCTCGGGGGTGCATCGTACGTACACAGTAGACCAGTCTTGACACAGCGGGAGCATGCCTGTCCAATTGTCTTGTGTGCCAGAAGAGAAGAACACTGGATAGGATAAGTCGCGAGGTCTTATGTACCAAGACCATACGCACCTTGAGCTTGCGAATCCTGCAAGCGTCACAGGCTCGCTCTGCAGTTGAGCTTGTGGGCTTGTCCTTCATACCCGATTCCCCGTACGACGTGGACGAAAGAATGCCTGGAGGGGCAAGTGTGCAGATCCAGTTGGTGGTAGTTAAAAAAGGGATGGGGTTGCCTTTACTCGCTTTAGCCAAGTTGGGAGATATATAGTGCCCTGGTGGGGTCGGGAGAGAAGAATATTGTCGTGTCACTGGCGCCATCTGGGCGCAAGAAGCACCCCTTGTCAGCCGCCCGGTCAGGCGCTGGCTCACTCAGGGTGTACCCATCCAGAAAGGACGAAAGCCCATCAACCGACAACCTGAGAAAGGTTGTTCTTCTGCGGAAGGGGTTCACGTGTATGCACGTGCACGGATACTGGATAATCGATGGAGTCGAGAACGATGCACCGCCGATCAGAGACGTCGATAGAGACGACTCAATTACCGGTACTGCCATCCCTTGAGCAACGGCAGGGCTGTCACAGAGCGTGCAAAACACGAACCTGTCCGTCAGAATTGCTAGCAGTTTTGATCCTTTCTTTGCATCGGGAAGGTGCGCTATTGGCCAGCAAGGCCGCGTACCGGAGATGACGCAAGACCGTTCGTCGACGGCTGAGACATGCCTGCATCTTCGAAGGGCGGCCGCCGGTGCCAAACCCCGCCGGGAGGCTGATCATCGAATCCTGAATCGTACCAGGGACGATTTTCAGTTGACCTTTTGCGCAAGATGCTGTATTCGTACCTGAGTACAGGAGGCGCCCGCTTCCGCCTATTCTCCTGGTTGCTGCGTCCAAAAAAAAATTGCCTGAATGGGTTGCATATTGAACGCACCTAGTTTCACGTTTGACGAGCTTCGTTGTGAATATGAATGTGACGAGCACAAGGTACGCTGCATATCAAGTCATTGCCTTGCCTTTAGCTTTCAGGTACGACGGATCACACTCACTGGGGAAACTGCTCCTTTTCACTGCAGCGGTATATCAACTCCCATCAAGTCGAATGACTGTACTAGTAAAATAGCCTCATGCGGTTGCCATGGGTCGTCTAATGATGGCCTGTGCTGGTGAGGAGACTTAGTATGAAGACACCCGGGGAGGGGGGTACACACGCATCTCTCACTCTGTTCGACATCACGACAGGATTCTTCTAGGGGAGGCCCGGTGTCGTTTCGAATATTGTCGCGTCCGTTCGTGTAGTAGTGGGAAGGCACTGATTCAATACGAGCATGTCCAGTGTCTAGCCCGTGGGTTGCCATGAGGTATAGTGTATACCTAACCTGCTGGCGCTTAACGGGCGTAAGGCGGAAAAGCAACCGGGGCATGAAATGGACTCACGTAAGAAACGTCGGGTGCTCCAATGCCCGTGCGGAAAAGCGCGACGGCGCATGTGGTCGTTACCAGTAGTGCATGGAGTGTGTTCGAAAGTGTGTCACTGGTCTTCGCGGGCACGCGGTGTGCAGAGGGACAGTCAGCGCTAGGCCGAATGTTAGCTCATACGTCAGCGGGGCAGTGGGAACACGGACGGATATGGAGGATGGACTCGCTGGGGGAAAAGGGAGGAAGGATAGAGCATGAGGAGTGGGTGTATGCGCGTGGTCGGATGTGTTCGATTCTGAAGGGGGAGGGGGAGGAAAGGGGGGGTGGATGGTAGGTGGGTTGGAGTGGGGTAAGGTAATCGTTCAAGGCCTAGATGGGGGGCTATCCAAGCTCGTTCTCGTGAGCCTTATATGGGCGTGTTTATGTCTTTTTGGCTCGAGACATACACGTCGGTCTTGGATTTACAGATCGGAGCGCGACGCGGTCGTGTTGAAACATCACGTGTGCGTTCCGGATCGTCACGCGAAACCCGTTGGAACAGAGACTGGGATATGCTGAACAAGCAGATGAACATTAGGAGTTACAGGAACGAAATTACAACAACGGCGGCGTGGGGTTAGTACCCGAGGCCGGAATGACCACTCCAATGGATCCTTTCCCGCTTCCCCTCAAGCCGCTCCTCGATAACCCTTACAACAACTTCTGCCTGCACGGGAATAGCGTTGCCGTGGAAGCCCTCTGGATAATTGAAGTCTGGAATGTTTGGCGGGCCGACGACAGTGTCGTTCTGTATGCCGAAATAGGCCTTGCCCAGTACACCAGCAGTCCATTCGTAGTCTCTCGCGTAGCCACCAGGATAGAACATCTCGATGACTGTCGACAAAGGGTGTGGCGGCATGAGCAGCTGATGCGTAAGCCCATTGCCGTGAACGCCGAGCATCACCTGTCAGAATATATTAGTAAATGTTACACATTACAGTACTGGAAACGTACGACAGTGCGCGCAGCTCGCCGTAGTTGTTCTTCCCGGCTGAGTTCCTCGGCGTGTACCACATCCAGAACCCATCCCTTGCGATGACACATGTCTTCCAATGCCTGTACAAGTCGTTGGTGATCTGCTTCGATCAGGCGTCTCCTGCTGCGCTGCCTCGAGATGTACGTGATGACCGGTGCGTCTGGTTCGCCGTCGACCAGAGGTGGATCCATTGCCCTTAAGCCCATGTCGAGGACGCGATGAGGCACGCCTGCGAACGCGCCGACACGCCGACGGGCGTTCTCGTACCAGTACTTGTTCCGGCCTTCACCACCAGTGCCGTATTGCCCACCCCCGATCATCCATGGTCCAGCAGGAGTACGCGAAGTTGGCCCTGTCTGATCACCTCGAAAAGCTGCAGATCGGTCGATGAAGAGCGCTGCCGGGAAGCGGAACGCCTAAGAAGTCGGTCAGTGGATCCAAGAAATCCGAAATTCATGCGCGTATATTTACCTTATATGGTGTTCTGACGAGATCCGCAAACTGGTCGAACGTGGGCTTGAACATAGGTGTGATGGATGGCCACATGGCAGGCTGTGAAACATGCTCATCAGCTGTGTTTCCATCAATCTGGTCTCGACTCACCAAAAAGAACTGATTGAAACGCGGCGAATCCCTGTGCAGCCAAGCCATCAACTATCAGCGCCATGCCCCACTCTCCAAAAGTAGCAAGTGAACTGACGTAAAACCTGCCTCATCGCAGTGTACGAAGATGATCCTATCCGGGCTCGGGGCTAATACACTCCCATCTGGCTGGGGCATAGGATCGAAGTTGGTGAGCATTCGTTCGGTGCCGAAGAGAAGTTCGGCAGCAACGTGGTAATAGTGCTTGAGGAATTGGTCGGGGTCATTGCAGATAAGCTGAGACTATGTTAGCTCAATGTGATCCATGAAAAGGGGAATCTACACACCGACAAGCCTTCTACATCCCACACTCGCTCACCCCAACGCTTCCTCGCTTCGTCTACTGTTATCACCTGCATCTCCTTGTCTGTCGGCTCTCTCAGATGTCCATTCTCGTGGTCCCCGGGTAAACCCGTCGCCGTGATCAGCCGTCGCTGGGGCCAGTAGCCTTCATCGAAGCCCCCTTCGTCGGAAACGATGAAGAACGTCCCGTTAGAAAGATATAGGTTTGTGAAGAAGGTCCATCCTGGGGCGTGGGCGAGTAGGGTAGAGGCAGTCACACCTTTCGTGCGAGGTGGCGCAACAAAAAGTCGACCAGGTGGTGCAAACTCGCTCGGGGGTGTCAGGGTGAATCCTTCAGGAAGGACTGCTTCGTCCGAGGCACCACGAAAGTAAGGAGGTCCGTGAATTGGTGGTGGTAAGAAGGAAGCTGGTCGGAGCCCATAGAGATGCGAGAAGAGGAGGAGGGAGGATGCGCCCAGGAGCGCGACGAGGGCGTCGCGTCCAGTGAAGCGGAGGCGTGACTTGGAGGCGAGGACAGGCAGCATCAAGCGACGAGAGAGCACTGCCAACTGGAGGGCAGTGGGGGAGTGGTGAAATGCTCGCTATCGAGCCACAGTTTCGCAGGGAGAGAAGAGGGAAGAGATGTTGATGACGCGAGCGATGGGGAGGCTCGAGGAGATGAGGGTGGGCGGGATGGGAATGAATTGAAACGTGTGGCACGCGGGGTAATAGTCACTGATGAGTGGGCGGCTTGTCGAACAGTACGTCGACCTTTTCCTTCCAGATCGATGTCGTTCTCCCTTCTGTAGTTGACGTCCAAGATCAGAGTAGACCGTAGACAGTTGAACGCCTGCCAACCCCTCCACTGTCCACAGATTAGGGAGCTCGCTGTCGTTAACCGTCCAGTCCTCTTCTCCATCGTTCCCCGCTTCATGTCCTTCATGTGCAGCATACCGTTCTGTTCCAGCCGCATCGGACTAATTTGCCTCCGCTTGTCAGAAGGGTTTACCGGGTGGGCTGACAAAGAAAAAGGGGCCGGGCCAATGAACCCGTCTGCCGTAACATCTCGCGGCGCGTGCCTTGACACCCGAACGAACCGACGGCCGATGGAGGTGGGAAAGTTTATGACATGCAGCGGGAGAATGTTGTGTGATGAAGAGGAATGGTAATTTCCCGCAAGACCGCTATATATGCAATTCGCTGTGCACGAAAATCACTTTCACATTGGAATGAAGTGCGACATGGGTAATGTATGCGGACGATAGAACAAATCCATTGATGTGTACATGCAAGAGGAGAAATACAGCGTGAAAACCAGAGATATGTATCGCAGATAAAATGCACTAGAATACATGCTATGCAAAACCATCAAAGCAGGATGTCGCAAGCGGAAAGAAAGCTATTAGTAATACGGTCCATTGAAAAAAAAATCAAGTGCTTCAATACACCAAGAAACCCACTCGACAGGAAGATACCCAATTTCAGGTCGGCGGAGGGACATGTAGCGGATTGTGCGTTGGACGTGTGTGCTGTCATACATGGCAGTAAGGGATGCGAGGAGAGGAGGTGGGGGCTTCAGATACTGCCGTTTCGAGCCTTGCGAACGGCCGTATTCGAATGTTGATCTGTCAGAGTGTTAACGCGGGAGCGGCTAGCTGTCCTGAGATTTACTCACGCAAGGCAAAGTAACAACCCAATAGTCAAAAGAATGAGACGAAAGATGCTCCAGAATCGGACTGGCCTAGATACAGGCGCAATAAGAGACTTCTTTTCCACAGAAACAGCAATGGAAGATTGAGCATTCTGCACAGTATTGGCGGCGGTGACGCTTTGGTTGACATAGTCTGCAATTCGTGCTTTCTCTTTTTCCTCGTACTGATCAACAAGTGCTTGGAGATGCTCCGCCTTCTGCACCGCGCGCAATAGGGCGTTCTTGTCAATGTATACCGAATTCAAGGCATCCGCTCGTGTTGGCCCAACAAGCTCCGGATTGGATAAGTCGGTAACACCGCCCAAAACACCGTTGGTTGGTACCACAGATCGGTTCAGAGACCCTAGGGAGACCGAGCGTGCAGCAATCATGGATGACAGTTTCGTCTGAGATATGGCAGCGCTTGAATCTTGAGGTTGTACACGAGACTCACGCGCTTCACCAAGTAGGGAAGGCGATGGCATCCCAGAAACGCGTTCGACTGCCGTGTCAGTTTTCAAACGATGACTGGTCTCCGGAGAAGTATTTGCCAAGTTTCTGGACTTAGACGGTGACCCCTTCAGCGGCGCCTCTATGCCCCGGGAGAGTGTTTTCATGCGGCTCTGCTGCTCTTGGCGTGAAGGCGTCACGGCGCTTGCTACAGAAATGATGCTATTCAGGGGTGTCACTTTCTCCCAGTCTCGATCATCATTTGCATTTCGACGACTAGGACGAAGCAGCGGACCCTCCAATGATGCAGTCATATCCTCAGGGATCTCTTCTGGCATTGTCCTCATGTGCGACTTGGCCTGATTGATGAGAGTACGGGGGCCGTCGGAAGAATCCGACATGTAGGGCGCTATTTCATCGTATGGAGGTCGCTTAACTGCGGAGGAGGCAGACCTCTGCGTGCTTGGCATGGCGGGCAGTTGTGGAAGGTCTGGCGGGATGGGTGAAGCTTCGAACCCTGTCTGCCGAGAACCGGACGTCTTCGAAGGAGTCGACTTGTGCAGGCTCGCGATGACCGTGCTTGAAGACTTCCCCTTTCCCTTGGTGGAATGCTCGTCGGAAGAGGAATGAGCGTCCTCGCGCCACAAGAATCGGCCAGGTCTCGGTTTGCTCCCTTGATTGTCCTCCTGGGTGACTGTGCGATGACTGGCATTCGACGAGTCTTGCTCTTCCATCAACGGAGCTTGGGGTAGACTGTGAACCTCGGATGTCATGGGAAGTATATACGTTCTGGTCTTTTCCATGGCAAAACGGCTTGTGACGCTAGAAGACCCAGGTGTGCTCTGAACTGGAGTAAAAGGAGATTAGCCGCATCCCTGAAGTACATGATACATGAACATACCGTCCTCTGATACCACGTCCCAGGACTCTGTCGGAGACATAGCGTTGGTTGCCCCTATGTGCTCGGTCGTTTTATCATGGTTTGGACTGAGTAGCCGCCCAACACGCCTCAGCAACGTTTCTTCTTCCCTCAGGGACCGACTCCGAGCACTGCCACTTGATGATTGATTCGATAATCGAGCTTCGTTGCGGGGTAGTTGGTGCTCTTCACTTTCCTCCTTAGAGGGCGGACGGTTGCTCGGGCCCGCAAACTTCTCTTCGTTATCCTCTGATCTCCAGTTAAGGACGGGACTCGGTGTCTTCCTAATAGCCGATGACTCTCGTAGTCGCTTGAGCCGTTGTTCATCAGATCTCAGATTTAGCTTTGTCCTCTGTTTAATGGGACTGCTCGTGCTAGGTGCACCGTCCGCAGGCGTATTCCCGCCCTCAAGCAGCGAGCTCATGGATAGAGAGAGCGACACGTCGCTTCCGAGGCTGGGATGGTGTGCATGACCGCTGAAATGAGGAACGGGCGTTGAGGAGTCCAGTAAATCAGACAGAGGTCCACGGCGCAAAACTGGTGAGGGTACAGAAATCTCGGGGGATGGTGAACGACCAGGACGAGGTTGCTGTAACTGTCGCTCCGCCACTTGCAGCCAATTGAGCCGATCAAGGTCATGCAAGGTTTTTCTGGGTAGCTTTTCTTCCTCTGAGAAGTCCGACGCGTGCAGGGACAGGCCGGGAGAGCTGCGGCCTGAGGACTGCCCATCTTCGGCCGGATTGATCTCACGAGCACTCAGGGGCTTGGAGATGTTGAGATGCGATGTTGGGTGATCAATCTCGATGTCATCGTCGGCTCTTCCCTGGCGACCACTTTGGTCGAACTTTCCTACACGAGTGGGCGTGCTAGATCTTGAGGATGTACTCCTGTCACCTAGGCGAGTTGATTTGCTCCTGCCAGCCGCACCATACGCTTGTTGACGGGGCGTAGATTCATGACCAGATAATGTTGAAACACTGGACGATTGTTGTAGATGAGGGAGATGCCGTAGTGGATTTGAGCTTTCGGCGTCGCTCTTTTGGTCAGATGGCGAATCACGAGCAGAGCCGCTTGCAAGATATGTCGCCCGGTTCTGGTATTGTATGGCCTCGGGACGAGAAGGGAGAACTTAATGTCCGTCAGAAGTTGTGCATGACGAAGAAAAACAACGCGACAACTTGCTTTTATTCTCAAGTTTGTCACCCTTGGGTAACCTTGCACTCTGCGCCGTTTCTTCTGTGGAAGTTGTTGATAGTGCTGCCCCTCGGTCCCGTAACTCCTTAAATGAGAATCGGGGTATCGGCTTCTCCTCTTCATCTTAGTTACATTCAGATGATATTCGGGTAGAACAGTATATTTGACCTACCAGGCTCTGTGCTGGCAGATGTGCTCGAACTACCCTGCGGCTTGATAGTAATACGAGACCGTAATTTGTCCAGCGTCGAAATAAGCCCATTTGTGTAATCCAACTCCTTGGTTCTTCTGGCGTCCGCCAGTTCGCGCTCTGCTCGTGCGTCTGCAGCAGACGAAGTGGTAGCTACTTCGTCCGCTGAGAACTCCGACACCTCGTTAGATCCAGCAGCGTAACTGCGTGATCGGAGAGGGGGCATTGACATGGGTGTGGGGAGGGTTCCGCGCGGTACTTGCGACTGTAGTTCCTTGAGCTGAACCGGGGTGATCCTCGGTACATGTGTGAAGCGAGAGGGTGCAGGGGTCGCAAGACCAACACGGGTCGAATTGGTGCCTAATATGGTGGGGTTTGGTGGTGATGCGAGTATCGACATATTCGACGTTGAGAATTGTGGTTACAATCTGGGGCGTGGGAGATGGGGAACAGGGTGGAAACTGGGGTACAGTCTTCTCGGAGTCCGACAAGTACTAGAGCTCCTGAGCAAAACGGGACGATCTCGCGGGTCGCGCTAAGGCCGAGGCTATTCCAGTTGGTATTCGTCGTCTATTGTCCAATTCAATAAGATGGTAGGGTATATCAATCCAAATACGCAGCACTTGAAATATAAGCAAAGGCCAAAAAGATGATATGGGTGTGGGAGGCGCTTATTGGGAGAAGTGGGACGGCGTATTGTTGTTGCTGGTAGAGTGGCGAAAGACGCGTCGCAGTCAGGGGTCCTGCAGACCCGAATCACACTTATTGTTATGTCCCTGAGGAAAACGCTTCTCATTTCTTAAATGGTAAAGGTAATATCTACTGAACAAAGTAATTTACAACAGACGATCCTTTTCACATGACTTTTGGAAATTAAACGACAACGGTCATACCGGGGATTGTGCAAGTAGTGATGCCTACTTCCCAGGGCTAGAAGCGTTTTTCGAAAGGAGGTAATGAAAGAAGCAGTTTGTACTTGGTTTGTGAGTTGCTATGTTGCCCATATGTAACAGTATGGTTCGACGGGAAAAGTGTGATCGTAAAGAGTCGTCAATATGCAACCAGTGCGTAAAGATGCAGAGAGGAGGCGAAATAATGCTGATGTTGTTGGCCTAGGCTGTTGGACTCGACGTGTCGGCCTAAGCTTCCGATGCAACCGGCGACACAACTTGGGAATGGAGGTGTCTTGGGCTAGCTTCACTCCCAGATGTGAAATCGAAAAACTGGCTCATGGCCTTCTCACTGTCGCCGTCAGCCATAGCGAATTCGTGCCTGGGCGATCCACAGTCACCTCTGCTGCTTCTAGCGAAGCTGCGGATGGGGCTGATCATGTCTGGATTTGGGATGCAGGGAGGCATGAAAGGAACGAATGTGAACGTGGCGATGTCGCCGACGTGGTTTTCGTACTCTGGGCCATCCACAAATTCAGCAGCAAACGTGCTTACGAGAGCGAACGCGTCGGTGGAATTGTTTATGTTCGATTTAGGGCTGGCGTCTTCGTTGTTCTCATCGCGCTCCATGTTGTTCTTTGAAGAGGTAGGCTGGGATGAAGGCGGTACATACTCCAAGGAAGACCCACCCATCCAAGCAGCCAGGTCAGCTGACGCCCCAGCGAACAGGCCGGCCGTAATCTCAAAGTCCTTATTCAAGTATTCGAAACCGCTCCCGGAAGCAACGTTGAGTGCCCGCTGCTGAGCGGCAAACACGTCCTCGAGCATGTCTTGGGCACCAGTGACGACGGCGTCGCAGTTATTTGTCGTGTTGCTCGGAGCTGCAGAGTACGATGGCTCGCGAGAGCGACCACCTTGGCCGGTTTCAGACACGCGGCGTTTGTGTCCTAGTTGAGGAGGCATCGCGGCGGTAAACGCATTCTCATCGGAGTCCTCATGAACAGTCTGGAAGCGAGCCTGGCGAGGGGAGATGATGCCTCTTCCAATGTCCTGCTACTCAATGTCAACAACTGTGCGGGATCGATCGCCAGCAACGCGCTCACCTCCTCGGGCGCCGACGAGCTCCGTGTGCCGAAGTCAAAGCGTCTATCGACTTCGTCAGATTGCGGGCTCACACCCCATATCATACGCTCCTTTGCGATGCTGTTACTCAATGGAGATGGGGTCACTGGTAAGGTCGCCTGCCAATGTTTGATGGGTTCCGAGTTGAAGACGGCAGGCGAATGAGGTCTGGCGCGCTTAGGTGGCATCGTGTTAGGGGGTGTATAAGGAGGCGGTGGAACTCTCTGCCGGTATTCCATTGAGTCGTACAAGTTGACAGACTCATCGTATATTTGGGCGCGGGAAGGAAGGCCAGCAACCGGTCTCCGGTTCTGCCCAGTATGGGACGATGACATGTTCTGGGAAATCGGGGTCTGTCTGGGTGTTGTCGATGGGAAGGACAGCGGTGAGTTGAAGACCGAGAGCTCCGTAAATGGCGTCTGTGTAACTTCTGGAAACTGCAAGCCCAACCCGTTCTGCTCCTAGATGAAGGCGTCAATCAAGCGAACTCTGACAGTAGGATGGAACGTACCACGAGAGGAGAAATGGATGGCACTGCCTTTGCTTGGCGCACGGGAGTGCTTATGAGCTTAGGCATCTCGATCCGCTGGCTGACCCCTGGTGTTCCTAGGCGAGAGGGGATCTGACCGCCGTTGAAGTTGTTCCAGCCCACAGACATCGGCATCGGGCCAGGCTCCTTCGAACTGTTGCAGATAACAAAGGGATCGAGTGGTGAGCGAGATGGGGCTTTATGTGTAGCAGTCTTCGCTCCAAGAAAGCCTGTTGACTTCAGCGGTGTTGACGTATAGCTGTAGGGGGAAGCAGACGCGTAATCGCTTGAGACGGTTGTGTCCAGACGCAAGTCCGGAAGTCCGTTTTCGTCGTTTTGCTTTCTCCGTTCTCGCTTTAGGGCCGCCCACTTCTTCTTCGACACCTTGGCCAGCTTACACTCCTGTTCGTCCCGTTCGCGTCTCGCCGCTGCCTCGTCTTTCTGCCGTTGGAGCCCTTCGATTCGTTGTCTGGTTTTCTCAGCCTTAATCCGCTCCGCTTCTTGCGGTCGCGTCGGCTGGTACTTGTAATCGGGGTGATCCTGTTCATGTTCGTACTTGAGTTGAAGGTAGGTGTAAAAATACGGCCGACGCTCGGCATGGGTCATTTGGAAGTTCCATACCCACGCAGCCATTCGAGAGATGTCCTTCTCCGGAATAGGATGGCGGGGACGACCAGTCTTCGGGTCGAGCACGTTCTTGTAGGTCTTGGTGAAGTGCGTGCGGAAGACGAAGAACATGTTTGATACGCGCTTGACATGACCAGCGCTCTCATCATCGTCGCCTGTAGGACGAGGGAACATGTCAAGGAGACCCTCGTACCCTAGCAACGAGGAATTGCTGTCGTAGGGTGAGAACTCGAACTCATACTTGCTTGCATCGAAGGTGAGGTCTTTCTTGGCCGGGCGAGCAGGCGGCATGGTCATCTTGCTCCAATCTCTAGGATTTCTCTCGTTCCGCATCGAACCAAAGTATTTGTGGCGAGGCGCTAGCGGGACCGGAGAATCCGGATAGTCGCTGTGACATGATTCCTTCAAGTTTATCAGCGAGGTGAGTGAAGCGCAGAGGGTATTGGATAAATAACCCACCTCTGCATCGCTGTTGCGTCTGTAGGGCATAACTGTAAAAGAACCCGAAGGGAGTAAGATGTGGTAAATGATGAACTGCGGCGAAACTGGTAGAGTTGGGGTTTGACCAGAATGTGGTGGAAGGCGTTGCAGTGCCACTACCGTCACAAGAGTCAATGACCACGATGTGAGGGAGAATGGTATCGAGCAATCGTATGAAGGGAGGGTATTGTCGATTGATACTCGTGGGAGTGGGATGCGGGAGGAGGTGCGGGAGTGGGGAAGGCCCTCTTTTATCTGTGCAAGGTCGGAGTTGCATCACTCGCCGAGAAGCATCATTCGCGGCATCGATCATCACTATGTAGAGCGTACTGGGTCCCTCTTTTGTTCTTTCGTTTGCCCTGAATGCATGAATTGCCGCCCGTGACTTCTGTCAGCTAACTCTTACTCTGTCTTCTCGTTACGCTGAATTCAAATCGGCCCCCCTGTGACAGCGCTAAACGCGATAATGTGTAAAGCCAATGCAGTGCGCATGACAGCGAAGTCAGCCTACCTTTGTCTTTATCTACAACAGATTCTTGCGAGCGCTTCGCTGGCCCAATAATTTCCATAAGTAAAGAGGAACAAAAGAAGGTGATCATGCATATAGCAGGACAATCGTTGACAGCTCGTTGACATGTCGTTGTCCAGATGCGCTTTTTTGTTCCCGCTTGCCTTATTCGGCACGAACAAAAGGGCTCCTTGGTGCAAACTGGGTGGCTGTGCATGTACTCCGAGTCAGATCATCCTTTTGTTCTTTCTGTTCTCTGTCTCGCTAGTCCCCATCCCTTGATCTGGCGTTGTTCAACAATTCTTCAAACAGCCATCATTACAATGGTTGTCAACAACAATATTATCAATGTCAATGCCCCAAAAGGACACTCTTGGTAAATCACCTCTCTCGATCCAGAACCGCCCCTTCCCCTAGAAGGGCCCTGTCGATACGCCCTGGGCATTCTCAGGCTACAACCGAGACATGACATGTTTATTCGAACGGCGAGCCTATTTACGATATGCAATACTCGCGGCGTGGGTTGATGGGTTATAGGTGAGTCAAAATATGGCACGTATGTGATTTCGTCAAAATTTTCTTGTTCGGATGCTTTCAAGAAGGTTTGGGCTAGGGTCAAACAACCATGTACGTCCGTTTGTCTCCGGCACTCTTACACGGACCTACGGATGTGTTCTTCATATGATACTCTGATATTGTCAGGCCATAAACCTCTCAGTCATCGGTGTGGTTGTGCTATAGATGCAAAAGGTGAGTCCACAGCTTGTTTATCGTCTAAAGGCCCGGGCGATGCACATGGTGACAAACAGAACGTGCAAATATCCCCGCTTAGGTTGCATAATGGCACTTTCGGCATGCAGTTCCGCGTATCGCATGACCAGGAATATCCAAGAAGAAAGAACCCTTGGCCTTTCTCCTGCGTTCAAACAAAGTGATATATCCATAAGGCCCTCTAACGCCGCGGGACTTGGGGGGGTTGGGTCCCAATAAAAACTGTCCCTCCAGGCTCGCTCCTTTTGTCCCTGGGATCCCCATCGCCTCAAACTCGGGCACCCCAAGGCACGAGATTTTGCACGTCCACCTTGTGCTGTCGTCTCTGGTATTCGTATCCCACCACCATCGATTAGATGGTACTTGATATCATGTCTACCAATACGTCCTATCCTCCCAATGTAAGTCATCCAGTCTCTCTATCAAACAAACACGCCTTCACACTGGTCGGTGTATAGGGCGGGAACGACAGCAGTGGACCGACTGCTGGGACTCGCACCTCGAACCAACAGACCACGTTGGGCGTTAAATCAGCTCGTAAGCGCAGGGATGATCACTTCGATCCCAGCAACTACAACTGGGAGTTCCGTCCTCCTGGCCTGCATGATGTCCAGAGACTCGTTGACATCGTCAACAATAACAACTCTGAGGAGGACAGTGACAGTGATGAAGACGACTTGCTTGAAGAGATTCATATCAAACGCATCCCCAACAAGTTCTTTGTCTATCGTAGTCACTTCCTTCGCGCATATCGAAATGTCGTCGATCCTTCTTCCGGTCAGGAAGTTCGCCCTGTGCCGCAGAGGTATATCTCCAAACTCGCGGGACACGTTTGGAAACAAGTATTGACCGAGGCCGAGCGCGAACCCTACCATCTGGCTTATCTCCAGCTCAAGAGAGAGTTCGAGGCCGCACATCCGGACTATCACTATCGTCCCAGAACCAGATTGCAGCGAGAGTCTGAGAAGGACCTGCAGAACCAGAAACGCGCAGAGGAAACGGAGCTCAAGCGGCTGGAGAAGAGGGAGCGAGAAGAGAAAGAAAATCGTCTTCGGATTTCCAAGGGATACAGTCATCGAGCCTGGCGTAAATTGAAGGCGGACGTTCGAAGCGGCAAGATCCCAGATCCGTGTGCAGATGTTGGCGGCTGCATAACGCAAGACAAAATAAAGAAACCTGTGATCGAGCATCAACCTGAGGACAACAGCTTGATCTTACCAAACGTATCTGGTCCCGTCGTTCCCGAACACTCGGAACATCTGGTATTACCAACCGTGCATCTTCTCACGTCAAATGTTGGGATGCGCGCATCAATGGCGTGGAAGATGACCGAAAAGACAGACAACCACGCGGAGCACTACGATTCTCACGAGGAATATGATACGGAAGAAGAAGACCAAGACATGGAATATGCCAGTGATGAACCAGTTGAAGAGCCTTATCGCAAGCCCGCTCCTGTACGCGCGGACTATGAAGTGCAAGAGATCCCAGCGCCTCTCCCTCTCCCCAGCACGTGTTTCGCCGAATCGTCTACCAGGGGACGATGGCCCGATGCGCAAGAAATCCCTCCTCCGAGGAGACTGTTTTATCCGAGACAACCGACCGCGTTCAACAACATTGGGCCAGTGCGATCGCTGTTGCCGGAGGTCATAAGCAGCATGAACTTGAAACAGTTGGAGGACGCGCTGATCGCCACTAGCCTCCCGGAACTACTGGAACCGCTGGAGCCGGTTCAGGCGCCACCCCCCGTGAGGCCTGTGCGCCCCGCTATCGAGTTCGGTCGCGTCAATCCCGCTCAGCTCGTTTTCTCTACTGGATCTGAGACATCTTCCGCCAAGCGCCGGATGGTGATGTATGATACTGAACCCGAGCCAAGGTCGATCCGCGACGAGCCTGACGACCCGGTCAGAGGGCCAGTCGACATCGACTGCGACGGCGAAGAGAACACTGAGTTCGAGGTCGACGTTGTCAGGGATCCGATTGACTTCGACATGGATGAACGGATGGCCCCTCCCACCGGTGATGAGGATCCGTACCAAGTCTTCCCGCCGCCTTGCAGGACGAACTGCCCTCCTGGGTCTGGCCAATGGATCCCCGGTGGAGAGTCGCTTGACCGCAGCCACGTTGCGTCGAACTCTAAGGCGCCTTTGATTGAAACCTCTGTTACCAACCAGCATGCGATGTCCGTCGAACCTATGATGCAGGAGGATCCTACACCCGTGAAGGGAAAAGGAAAACGCCGCCTCTCCGAAGGGGAGGAAGGACGCTCCCGTCAGCCAAGCATCGCCGTCGGTCACATGGCTTCTCCTCGCACCCCACGCTCCAGGCAGCCAAGCATCGTCGTCGGACTAGTTAACGGCGCGATCGAGTTGATCTCTCAGGAAGAGCTAGAGCGTCTTGAAGACCTAGAGCGCCTTGAAGAGCTAGAGCGCCTTGAACGTGATGAAGATCAGGTCGTCCACTCCCGTGGGAGCACCTCTGGCAGCAGCGGGAGTACGAGTACGAGTACGAGTACGAGCCCTCTCTCCGAACCGAGCGAGGCGATCACCGAACTGCTCAGCGCGTCGAGCTTCGACACTCCCGTCACGAGCGCAGATGCGGAAGAAGCCTATACCGTACCCAACGACGACGGGAAACATTTCCAGGCCTATCACTGGTTTGGCCAGCCCCTGGACGCCGTGCTGGATGGTGCTGCTGGGGTGGACGCGCGCGGACCTAGGATGTCATTTTCGGACTTGATTACGCCTTTGCCCGACCATCTGACGCAGGAGGGGCTGATGCTGCAGAATATGCAGAATCAGATCAACCAGGTGGTAGAGCAGGGTGACGATGCGCACTATAACAGCTGGACGATGAGTTTGGAGGACGTGGGATTTGACTACTGACGGATAACCTTGGAACTGGGAAATCTAACAAGTCTTGGAAATCTTGGAACTGGGTTGGTATGAGCTCGAGAAATCACCGCTTTGTCACGAGAATAGTGTTCGAATTCGTAGTATAGTACGGTTTGCCTGGAACGTTTCGAATGTATATATGTTTGGCGGACCCCTCCGCAACAGACCGTCGAACTGTGAGAAAGCAGTTGGATGCACAGTTCGTTCCTCCAGGGGCAAACCGATACCGCTTAGCAAACCCTAGTGTCGAAGTGTATGCCTTCCTTGTTCTATTGAAACCAAGAGGGACTCAGTCGTCGGCATATGCCGCTGCTGAAGTGGTCTCTCATCACAACATCTTTGCATTGAGATTAGTTCACACTACAGAAGGGCACAGAAAGTGGATCGACAACAGCTCAAAGTTCCTTCACCCAAGGGTACAGTACATGGTACAATGTCAGGGAACAACAGGGACTTTTCTTTAGCTAGGAGCGTTCTTTTCGGGTGGAGTCTCGATTAAAGGGGAGGACAACCACGAAGAGAAGAGAGAGAGGGAAAGGAAGTAAGGAAAGAACAAAGCATAGTCGTCATCATCAGCGCGGCATCGCCAGACAGACACCGGCAGGGCACAGGGGGAAAACGGAACACGTGAAATGGATACGGAACTGGAGGCATCATGAACAACGCGAGGGTGCACACAGGACAACACAGTGCAGGACCAGTGGAACGGGATCGTAAACGGGAATGCGGGAGGACGAGCGAGACGAATGACGAGAAGTGAAACTGAGAGAGAAACTGAGACTGAGACGAGAAGACTTGGTTGGAGAAGCATCGAACGTCGTGATGGACGGAACGGAGGGAACTGAAACGGCCTGCTTGATTGCGGTGGTTGATAGAGATACAGGGAATTGCGAGAGGTCATTTGGGAATCCGAATGAGACCGAGACTGGAACCGGGCTGACGGAACACGGAACGGCAGAGTACAGAGCCACAGGACAGAGAGGAGGACCAGGCAGGCCGAGGACAGGACACATTGAGTACAGATTTGACGTTGACGGACCCGGGAACATGTGCGTGCAGGAACGTTCGATGCTGGGAGCGGTCGATTTTGGAGGGCGAGGAGTCAGAAGAGCGAGAAGGGCGTTCGTTAGTTTTTGTTACTGGCTTTTTTTTTGGTTTTTTTGACGAGTTGAGAACAGCATTCATGATCGAGAAAGGAGAAACGTGGGGGAAGCAGACCGCCAAAACGGAAAGCGCTCAGTAGGTCTGCCCACCGCCGTAACCACCTTGCTGTTCTGTTAAAGCATTGTCAGTCACAGCCACAGACCGAAATCAATCCGGAATGACACACTCTACTCACCCTGGTAGCCGCCGTAGCTGCCGCCCTGGTACCCTCCGCCACCATAGCCGCCGGAGTTACCACCGTATCCTCCGCCGCCATACCCGCCAGAGTTGTATCCAGAGCCACGTCCACCGCCGTACCCGCCGCCGCCGTAGCCTCCGCCACCCTGGTACCCACCGCCAGAGCCACCGTTATACCCACCACCACCACCAAAGCCGCCGGAGCCTCCTTGGGGCGGGCGGGCATTGGCCAGGTTGACACGGATGCGGCGACCGTCGAGGTCCTGCTCGTTGAGGCCGTCGATAGCAGCTTGCGCCTCCTGCGAGGTGCCGAATGTCACGAAGCCAAAGCCACGGGAGCGGCCAGACTCGCGATCTTTCATCACGATACACTGTGGAGAATGAGTCAGAGGGGGAGATGCACTCAGATATTCCCCAAAACGCACGTCGAGAACTTGCCCGAACTGAGAGAAGGCCTGGAGAGCCGTCAGGAAGCGCGATATGTGCAAAATAGACGAAAGACATACCGAGCGGAGCGTGTCGTCATTAGTGTTCCAGGAGAGGTTTCCTATATGCGCATATTCCAGGGCGGAGCGAGATGAACGCGCGTCGGGGAGCATACACAATATGGGATGCGATGGATCGGCATTGATTGAAGGGAGGAGAGCACGAGAACAGTCATCAAGTCAGTGTCACGGACCGGAGGCATGGGAGAGACAGGAGGCTGTCGATGACGGTTATCCCACGTCCGCGGACGGGGAACAAAGGGGGCTGGTTGCACCGGTGGGGATATACTAGTGCAACATCGCGCATATATGCAGCCAGATGATGTCCCGTACGCATGACGCGAGGTGAGGGGGAGGATGCGCGTGCACCGGGAAAGGAACAGTTGATGAGGAGGGGAACGTGCACTAACCGACGTAGATCTTGGCTGACATGTTGCTAGTCAGTGTGGGGGGTAGATGTATGCTGGACTAAGGAGGTCTAGCGATGGAGACAAAGGGAGGGGAAGGGGGACGAGAGCTGGACCACAGAAAGGAGAGAGGGAATTGGAGCAGATGATGGTGCAGGATCAAGCTAAGGAGGGACCGGGGCGCATCGAGTTGAGCCCCTTTAAACGGAGTGGCCCCCTCCCCCCCTCCGAGTACCTTACCCGCCCGTCTGCTCAATTTGTCTCTCCCCCCATCCTTCCCTTTCCTTCCCTCCCCCCTGACGCTCTGGCTTCGCTTCTCGTCCAGAGCCCCCGGAGAACGCCTTCGATTTTCGGCCCATCGACACTCGCGTAAAAGAAATTTAGGGAATTAGGGGAACATCCCGCCCAAGTCAACTCTGTCCCCGCGCACCTGGGGAGATGCCGCTTTCCCACCTTCGTATAGTAACTTCCCACAACTTCCCCCCTCAACGCCTTTGTGATAATATTTACTGCGTTGCCATATAGCCTCAGATACTTCCAACACCGTTAGGGGCGTCCTCGCAGCCTCAATCAGCCTCTTCCGCACCATGGGGCCTGTCCTGCCACATCTTATCCAAGAGTCGTACCCACCCAAACATAGCCCCAATATGATCCCCGTCCAGATCTGTCTCCGTTCTGGCTCCGTCCGCGTGATTCCCCGCCCGTCTCGGGGGCGGATTCTTGCGGGGGCATATATCCCGGCCCTTCCCTGGGTTCCTCCTTGTCCCATCCCATCCCTGGCGGAGGGAGATCAAAGGGGGTCCAGGAGTCCATCCGTGGGGCCTGGAACGCCGACCCCCGTCCGATCGCCAGCCTGTAGCTGAGTTGGGCAAGCTTCCGCGCACGTGTTTCCTTAGCCTTTCATGAACACACCAGAGACAGGGCCAGTGGCAACGGTCTCTAACATCCCCGAGGTTGACAATAAAATATACATAATATCAATATTATTCAATTTCACAGCATTTTATCCCCCTGGTCCAGCCGCAAAACGGAGGCGGACGTGACTGCCCAATGATAATATTCCTGGTCAATATCGGCCGTCAGGGCCTGGGAACTTCGGGACACAGGACTGACAGGTTGGTCCGGTTCTCCCTTCTTCTCACCAGTCACTCCCATTCTTCTTCCCTTCCGTTCATACACTGCCGGCCAGAACCACACGGAATCAGGGTGTCGTATCCGGGGAGTCTATCTCGCCAGACACCTGCATGCCAGTTCCCTCCTGGTCTCATGCTGTTCAACTCCCACAATCTTACCCAATGCCGAAATGTCCATGCCGGCCAACCTTGGACATTGTCATGATCATGATTGTCCCTGAGAGCTGTCAGCGCGGTTTGCCAGCGTATTCTCATTCCCTGCTATTGGCCCCGATCTCGTCGCTTCCGCATCAAAGTGACATTAGGAGGCAGGGAAGTCTGGAAGCAAGCCTGTTGGGAGGAAGGCGATGGCAAACAGATCAGGGCAGGAGACAGGGTCTTTCATTGTCCCGCCTGCTAAAAAGGAGAGATATCCCGTACATTATCAATGATAGTGACAAGGCGCAGGTCATCATTATCAATTCTACCGCGGGGCGTCACCCTGCTGGCCAGGTGTACACTTTCCTATGGTAGACACTTAGATGATGACGAACAAACGAGTACGTGGCATGCCTCGAAATTTGTACGTCTGGGGGTCAAGGAACGATTAAGCGTGCAATCTCATTCCTCACTCCCTCGTGAATCACATTGTACTGTATAGAGTTAGGAATGTGGAAGAAGCGTCAAACATCAAAAATCATAAAAGGGGGCATCATCAGGTCAGTCATATGCTAGTAATAGAGAGAATCAGAGGCAAACGAAAAAGACAGAAAATCACCTTGTCCTCAGCCCCAACTGTGCATTCTCATCGAATACGTGTAGGGAGAGGTTCTGAGCGTCCCTCGACCATCAGAGGCTCGGATCCACCGATACAACCTTAGGACTCCACATCCAGCTATCCCTCCAAGCGCGCCCTCCGCCAGCCACTAAAACCCTCCCCTGAGCCATCTCCGGCACTGCCGTCATCCTTCATGCTATCCTATCCAGCATCCATCTATTTCTTCCCCTTCTTCTTCCCCTCCTCAATGGGGCTCTTCACGCCATCTGAGCTCCCGCTCATGGAAATCTTCCTGCCACCAATCGAGATCCTACGCACCATGCGGCCGATGTTCTGGCTGCTCAGCCGCTTGCGCCGGGGCTCTTTGCCTCCATCTGGTGTGCCAGGACGGGAACTTGGACCAGCAGTCGGGGAAAAGGTGACGGACTGCATGCCTGATACGGGTGTGCGTGTTCCATCACTCTCCCCACTACCTGTGGGGAAAGCCACGACACCGGTCGCCGGTGGGGGGGTAGGAGCCGCCAGAGCGGGAGTGGTGACGTCTTCCATGCTTGCTTTAGGGAAGGCGATGGGTGCCTCGGCCGCTGGCGGGGCAGCTGCAGCTTCAGCGTACGTCTGGGGCTTCTCAGGCTGTGCCTCGGCTTCGGCTTCGCCCGCGGCTTCTGCGGCGTTTCCACTCTCGGCAGGTGCGGGTTCAGCAGCGGCCGGTCCGGACTCCTCGTCCTTGGCGGGAGGCGCAGCTTCCTCGTTCTCACCGGGCGCCGCCGCTACCTCGGATACTTCAGCCGGAGGGGCCGGGGCCTCAGGTGGGGTTAATTCGGTGGGAACGTCGCCGATTTGGTAGCCTACTACTTCTGCACGAACCGAAGGAGCCTTGGATCCAGCAATAGGTGTGCCCGCGCTCGTCGATGCCGGGGGTACGTAAATGTCCCCTTCGGTCATGACGTGTTCTGCCCACATTTGCGCAAACACACCATTCATCTTTAGCAACTCGCGGTGGGATCCACGTTCCACAATCTGGCCGTCCTTCAGAACCAAAATGCTGTGAACTGGGATTAGACAGGGAAACCTAAGCAATAGTGCCGAAAATAGACTCACATGTCCGCATTGGCAATAGTCTAGGAAAGGGGATATTATCAGTTTTTTAGAAGCAACGCGCGAAGGGGAGACTTCCTTACCGAAAGTCGGTGCGCGATTGTAAGGCTAGACCGTCCCTTTACCAGGTTGTTTAGTGCCTTCTGGATGTCCCTCTCGGTGGCCGTGTCCAGCGCACTTGTCGCCTCATCCAGAAGGAGGATAGGAGGATCCTTCAAGAGAGTACGAGCAATAGAAACACGCTGCTTCTCCCCTCCAGATAGTTTAACACCACGTTCACCAACCTTAGTCTGGTATTGGTCGGGGAATGACATGATCCTATCGTGCATCTGGGCTGCCTTCGCAACAGTCTCGATCTCCTCCTGAGAAGCGTCGAACTTGCCGTAACCGATGTTGAATCCAATAGTCTCGTTGAAAAGCACCTAAAACAGGCATAATTAGCAAATTCTCACTTTCATATGCTGAAACAGTAAAAAGCTCACAGAGTCCTGGGGCACAACGCCAATGTTCTGTCTCAAGCTCTTTTGCGTCACTTCGCTGATATCCTTGCCATCGATCAGAATCCTGCCCTGTCCCTCCTTCAGGTCATAGAACCTGAACAGCAGCCTCATCAGCGTGCTCTTCCCGCTGCCACTCTCCCCAACGAGGGCCACATGCTTTCCTTTAGGAATCGTGAATGAGATATTCTTGACTGCACTCATTCCCTTGCGGTCGTCATAGCTGAAGCTGACGTTCTCAAACTCGATTGTTCCGTCCTGGACGACGAGTTCTTCTGCGCCAGGCTTGTCGTCCACCTCGACAGGCTCATTGAGTAGAGCGATAAGCTTCTCAGCATCGACAAGCATCTGATTCAGGTGTCGATAGATAGAGCCGAGTGACATGAGCGGGCCAGTGAGTTGCCCGAGGTAGGTGATGAAGACCACGAAGATCGCTTGGGTTGCCTGACCAAGAGTGATCCGGCGTATGATGATGAGCGAACCGAGGGTCATGCCGAGGGTGATGATGACCGTCTGGAGGAAGCTCATGAGGGTAGCGGCGACTGGGTGCGCTCGATGAGTAGTTCGTTCTGCGCAATGTAGAGATATGACTCACGATAAACCCTGTACTCCAATCCCTGGTACTTGTGCACCGAATCCCTATACCGCCCACCCTCATGCTCCTCGCCGCAGAAGTACTTCACCGTCTCGTAGTTCATCAAGCAGTCCGTATGGATGCCTCGGGTAATCGTGTCCTGCTCGTTCATTCTCCGGCGCATGCGCGTCCTCCAGCGAGTCATCAAGACAGAGAGCACAGAGTACATGCACATCACGCAGGCGAGGATGAGGGCGATGTCCGGGCCGAAGAAGAAGAAGATATAGACTACAGCGATACCCAGGTCAAGAATTGTAGGGATGACCATGTAGAGGAGAACCTAAATCAAAAAGGTTGTTAGTATGCAATCTCGCGTGGCCTGTATAGAAGGATACCCACTTCGAACAACGTGTTGACAGATGATCCCCGGTTCAAGATCCTGGTCACCTCACCCAACTTCCGTTTGTTGTGGAAGCTGAGGCTCAGGTTCATAAGATGATCGAATGACAAGAAGCTCATCTCTCGGTCAGAATATTGCATCACAGGGAGCCCTGCACACAGTTCGTGTCAGCACAGCACAAGAAGCAAGTAGGAGGTTAGAGAGGGGTAGAGTGTCGAGAGAACTCACATAATGCGCTCCTGACATTGTCTAGCACTCCACCTGAGATCAATCGAAGAGTAATATACTTAGCCAGCGGCCACCAGGGAGCTGCACACGAGAAAGGCTGCATCAGCATTCCACCATCGTCCTGTCTCAGCAGATGACTCACAGGTACCAAAGGTAAGGGCGTCGATCAATTGTGCAAGTGTGATAGGAATAAGCACATTAATTGCACGGCCGAGCAGCAGCAAGATGATACAAATTGCCTGTCCATCGGGCGAAGGTATTAGTTTTCTATTCCTCTTTTGATGCAATACAATGACATACCGCCAACGCCTGAAGATGCCACACTCGTGCAGGCCAGAGATACGGCACAAGCTTCCAAAGTCGCTTGGTCATCTCTCGCCAGCTCAGAAATGCCTCTTCGTCCTTCTCCTTCTTGCCTTCCGTAGTAGCCTGGGTGGTTTTGATCTTTCCATTGGATTCATCAGCGGGGGAAGCCTTGTCCGCCCGTGGGGAAGGGGTGGCGACACCTGTTGATGGGAGCGTGCCGTATCCGTTCTCGCCTGCAGCAGTGTCGTCTGTTGGGGGAGCAGCATCGTCGACGGAGGCGAGGAGACCCGTACGCTCGGACACAGGCTCTGGTGGAAGGTATTTGGTTGCAGGGATGAGGATGGGTAGTAGAGGAACGAGAACAAGTAGTCGGAGTAGTGAGATGCACATATGTACCGCAGGGCCGAGCCATGGGTACTCTGGGATGTGAATTGGATCTGAGTAGATGAAGTCAGTAGGAGAAGTTGCGTATGCACGGAGGACGCACGGTCGAATACATGTAAAGCCAGACTTAGGAGCACAAGTACGGTCACCTCGGCAGAAATGGCGAGGATTGTGAGGAGCTTGAGCATGGGACTGGTCCATATCTCATTTGTGTAAGATTCCTTCCAAACGCCGATGCCGACGACACCGGACCAGGAGAGGAAGTTCAGAATTATGGCGACCTAACGCAGTTCATTAGAGAAACAAGCAGGGAGGAACAAGGAACAACTGACTTCTTCACCCCTCCAAAACGCCTCGCCCGGTTCCCACAGCTTTTCCACCAACCCCCGTCCGGCAATCACACACGCATCCGCAATCCAGAGTACCGCAAGTATAACACCGCATATAACGATTGCCGCGCGTCGTGGAGTCCGCACGGGGGCAAGAACAGAGACGATTTCGCTTGGTCCCTCGGATTGAGAGGTTGTAGGAGACCGCTTGATCAGAGTGAGAGCGAGGGTGAATACGAATAGGAGGGTGGAGGAGATGAGCCTCGTGAGAAATAGGCCGAAGTCGAGGTTTGCCATTGCTGTTGATCTGGCGTTGAAGGTAGAACTTTTGCTGAGATTGTGATTGCCGAGCCAGACGCGTCGAAGGGCTGCGTGTGCGATGGACACTTCACGTCAATTGACAAGAGTACTAGTGTCGATTTCTCTTGCTCGCTGTCAATACCAGCCGTCGTTGAAGACGGTGAACAGAAAGGAAGAGGGTAAAGAGATATGAGAAGGGAGAAGGGGGAGAAGAGAGAAATGAGAAGGGGAGGAAAAGGTCAAGGACGGAATCACACCCTTAGGCGGGCCACACATGGGAAGGTTTCGTCATGGCATTCAATTCGGGATCTCTTGCACCAACGTTCATTATCTCTCGTCACAGACTTCACTCAAAATGTCCTTTCCTTCTGATAATCCAACCTACAACCATTGTTGTCATCACCTCCTATTCACGAGTCATGATAACTCACAGCTTTTTTGCCGCTATCTGAAAACACGTTGGAAACAGCCGGGTGCCTGCCTGGCAGCTGTGTGCAGATACACGCGCTCGCAGCCGTTACGCGCGCTTTTTGAGCTCTTACGGCAACTTCCATTCATGGAATCGGGCTTCCATCAACTCCGATAAGTGTTCAAGTCCTATCAATAGAAGCCGATCTAGTTTTAAACTTGTTTTCCTGGTGTGGAAACTGTTGGGTGGCTACCGTCTCCCAATTGCCTGCCAAATGATTCTAATTTTTTGGCGTTACGCGTATGACGGTGCTAAAGCGACGCATTCCACGTGTACTGCTTTTGTGACTCATCTTCACGACTTCATAAAACCCTTTGGTTGAATAGTCGCACGATCAGTCACGTTTATGTGAGTCGTCGATCACTTGTCTCACTCTCCTTTCTCATCACCCCCTCCCCCTGAGACGAACAACTGCTAACTCATCCTGGAGAGAACGACCGCGAGATGGGAAATATCGACTTGGCCCTCTTCCTCGCGCGGCTCGTCTCTGCCCTCGTCCTATTCGTACTTTCCCTTTGGCTCACTCTGATCAAACCCGATATTGTTCCTTCACGTACCCCGCGGCGCAAGGCCATCGTCATCTGTGGTTCAGCACTCGCAGCGCTCTGGATTGCCGATGCGTGTATTATCGCTGGTCGAGGGTTGTTGGAAAAGCTTCGGGAACCGGACGAGGCTGCATGGAAGGAAGAGCAAATTGCCATCATACTCAACTTTCTGGCCTGGTCTGGCGTTGTCGGCATTGGAGTCTGGAAAGAGACCTACACGAACGAGATTTGGACCAGCGCGCTTCTTAAGTTCCTTACTATCTTCGCCTTCTCTGCCGAGGTAGTAACCCTCGCCCTCTTGAGCCTGGTGCTACATATTTTTGAATGTGCGTCATGTCACGTCCCGCACTCCCTTTCACTGATTGCGACTGCAGACCCAGTGCACAAGCCTAAGTACACATGGATTGATCCTCGGTGCTCTGGTTCCCATCCCCTTCGCACCGACGCGAACCCCATTTTCTAAACCCGTCACCGAGCGTACTCCTTTGTTTCCATCTGCCGACAACAGTACATCCCATGGGAGCGGACATGATGCCGTGGTCTCCTCCACTGACGCAAGCAACTCCAACACCAAATCTGACGCGAGAACATCGAGCGTACAAGGAACTCTGAAAACAGAAGAGGAAGATAGCGATGATCCAAAGATGAGCTTCTCGGAGATGCTCTGGAAGTTGTGAAAGCTTTCTCCCTATCTTTGGCCCACTAAGGTGTGGCATCTCCAGGTTGTGGCGGTAAGTACAAGCCCATTTAGAAGGCTCAAAGGAAGATAACACCCAAATGATGCAACGTCAGGTGATCTCAATTTCATGGATGCTAGTGATCCGTGCGATGGGACTGCTCGTACCGATAGCACTTGCGGAGCTGATTGATGCGCTCATCGCTGGAACTTGTGGGTCTGATTTCTTCACACAAATGGATCTTACAAACTCAATTGCCCCGCGGGATGGATATTTGTAGCGCCTTGGTGGCCACTAGCCAAATATATCACCCTGGACCTAACTTGGCACACAATGAGCGAAGCCCACTCTCTTTTGTGTACGCTTACCCTCTCTATCACACAGTTCCCTCTGTCCCATCCCGCTAACATATGCCTACCATTCACCTGAGAGCGGACGCTGATAAGAAACGTATATAGGGAAGCTCGTGGTGCAACATGCGGACAGGGAGATGAGCCTCCTCACCTTTGACCATCTTCTGAACCTCAGTATGAGCTTCCACGACAACCGACAGATGGGAGAGATCATGAGGATATTGGGTCTCGGGGCGTCGATCAATAGTTTTTGCAACGTGGGCCTTCTATGATCTACCTGAACATTGGCATACGTTTGCTAATGTTTCCTTATTCTCCAGATTGCCATCGACTGGCTTCTCCCTCTGCTTCTCGACTTAGGCGTTGCCGTGGTCTACATTCCTGTTGTCTTTGGGCCAGACATGATACTTATTTTTGCCTCTGTCGTCGGCCTGTATTCGGCGATTTACGTCGTGAAGAACCGTTGGGAGACTGCAATAACACGCCGGTTCAACAAACAATGGCTGGTCGTATCTTCGATCGAGACAGACTGTCTGATGAATTATGAGACAGTGAAGTACTTCACTGGCGAGGAACACCAGAGCGCACGGTACAGGGAGGCAGTAACCAAGCGACAACTTGACGGGCGGAAGTTAATTCGTGAGTCCCCGGTTCCTGTTTCAAATATGACATTATTGCTAAGTGGAAACTCGTAGTGACAGATGAGCTTACCAACGCACTGCATCGGACCATAGTAAACCTTGGAATAATGTTGGCGTTGTTGACAATCGTCCGCCGCATTGTGATAGGAGAGGCGACCCCAGGCATGTTTGTTTTGTTCAGCACCTACCTGGGGAGCTTCACGAGTCGCATCACGTCTATCGGCGATGCCTTCTGGTTCATGAGAACGAGCCTTGTCGATGCCGAGAAGCTCATCGATCTACTAAATGAGCCCGTCAAGGTGGCCGACAGACCTGGCGCAGAAGAACTCGTCATCAGGGACGGAACAATCGAGTTTGAGAACGTCAGCTTCAGCTACGATGACCGCAAGGGAATGAGTGCTGTCAGGAATATCTCATTCACGATCTCTAAGGGGAAGCATGTCGCGCTCGTTGGGGAGAGTGGTAGCGGGAAGAGCACGCTGATGAGACTGCTGTTCAGGTTCTATAATCTGAAGGAGGGACAGGGCAGGATTCTGATCGACGGCAAGGACATCAGGGAGGTGACACAAAAGAGCTTGAGGCGGCATATCGGGGTTGTACCTCAGGATGCGGTAAGCTGGAAGAGCATGTGGAAGGTACCCTGTGTTAACCATGAGATATGGTGCAGGCTCTATTCAACGAAACCATCGAATTCAACATCGGCTATGGAAAGTTTGGGGCTTCTAAGGAGGAAGTCGAGAATGCAGCAAAGGCAGCCCAAATGCATGAACAAATCATGTCTTTCTCAGAGCAATACCAAACCGAGGTCGGTGAACGTGGGGTAAAGCTTTCGGGTGGGGAAAAGCAACGTGTTGCGATTGCCCGCACGCTGCTTATGAATCCGCCGATCATCCTCCTAGATGAAGCGACTAGTGCCCTAGACATCAGAACGGAGAGGCAGATCCAACAGGCACTGAATAACCTGGTAAAGGGGAGATCGAGCCTTACAATTGCGCACCGGCTTTCGGTAAGGCAACTTCCCATGAGTACGCCGCCCTCGATACTGACCTTTGCTCAATGCCATATTGCCCTATTCTCACCACATAGACTATTGCAAACGCGGATATGTAAGTTTCATTTGAAATTTCTTTGCGAAACCATTCTGACTGATTCTTACCTCTCCAGCATCTTGGTTCTCAAAGATGGGCAGATCATAGAGCGAGGCTCACACTCTGAGCTGCTCAGAGCGAACGGAGTGTTTGCTCGGATGTGGACGGCGCACATCACCGTCGAAGAGGGGATTCCTTCCTTCGATATCAGTTGCAAAGCAGCTCTTGAATATTTCACAATGCCGGTCGTTCCGGTTTACAGCATCGGCGGAATGCTCTCTGCTGACAGTGACAGTCTTCAATCGTCCGTTGGCAAACCTAAGTCTTGTTCTACAAGTGACAAGGCGGATCTGCAGCCCTCAGACTCTGCTTCATGCGATGTCACTCCCATGGTTGTATCTGACACTGCCGTCACCACCCTCCACCGGAGGATGGATGGGATGGACAGCCCAGCTGGATCTGTGAAACCTCAGGGGAAAGAGTAGACGGATGATAGCGGGGGCGCTGTCTGGCCTTCGCTACGCAACAAGCGCCTCTAGGGTAGGGAAGACAACAAAATGTCATTCAATAGCTGTATGTGTGACCACAAAACGAACAGGTTGAAGTGCCACCATCTCTTGATTTGACTCAGCCTGGTACCGGTGCGTTGTCATGACATAAAGTTTGCCGGGGAGCGTTGAGTTGTGTAAGAGGGGTTCCGTCTCGTACCGTGCTGTATTCACTGCATACCATGTCTCCGATGGAACCACAAAATGTCTATAATTCACCTATCCTACGCAGAACTAGATACAGAAGGGTGAGTAAGTGGTGGTACGTACACCTCTGGCTCATAATGTTCCAGGACATGGTACAAAAGTCAACCAGATATACAAAGAACTGTAAAACGACATGTTTTAGTCATAGCCCCGTCAGCGGTACAACAAATCCAAAATATAATTTCCACTTCGGAGAAAGCATAACCGGATAATTTATTTGTTCCTCAGTTTTCATGGGTTCGCGGATTCAGCTCAGCTGAAATCCCATTGCGTGCCAGTGCTGATACTCAGTCGACCCATATCCTTCCTGGTGCGGAGGTTCTTGACTTCGCTGCTGACGAGATCGCGAAGCCGTTCCAAGTCGACCTGCCGCTCGGGTTTCGATCCCATAAGGATGTTGCGCCAGATAGCCGCAGCCGCAACGGAGTTGTCACAAAGTAGTTGCAGCGGCCGGTGAAGACGGACCATCTTCTGGACTAGGTGATCAGGATGAGGATACATAGCGTGCGGCCATGCGATACGGATGGCAAACCACCAACCAAGAGGCTGTAATTCCATTAGTTCTGCTTTATGAAGAAGATATAGTTGACTCACTCTGCCATCCGGGAGAGAACGTTCCGGATATGTGTCGTAAGTCGTAAGACTCCCATCAGGGAGCGAAAATCTGTGAACGACCCAATGATTTTCGTCTCTCCTATGTCTAGCCAACACCACGAGCAGGCGGGGCATGTTAGTCTGAGCGGGATTGTTCTTGTCTTCGGCCAATCCGAAAGGTGCCCAGAGGTCCCTCAACATCCCACAAGCGTCGTTATGCCGTCCATTGAAAACAGCATTGTTGATAGCGTCGGCCATGTTAGGAGGGACGAAGAGCCTCTCGATTGGCTTGTCAGGCTGATCAGTCTTCCGCGCACGAATGTACCGCTTGTAGACCTGAGCAGTCCAGATGGAGAGAGCAACTTCGTCCGTCTGGTGGCCGCGGTTGCAAGACAAAAGAGCATCATCGAGCTCCTTTGTCGGCCATACGATTGCCCAATTAAGCAACCGCTGATGCACAAGCTGCCAGGGCTGGGGACCCCGGTTCTCTTGCCTCGGCCATGGGGTAGAGATCTCGTGGTCATATTCCAACTCTTCCTGAGGAATAGGAGGCAGAGGAGGACTTTCCTTGCGCGCAAACGGTTCTCCATGATGACCCATGGCGGTGGGAGGCAGGTCTGGAAGGGTTTCCTCTTCGCGCTCAATTTCCCAGGTCCGATGGCTCGCGGCATCCCCCCTGTCGACAGGCTTCTGGCGCAGTTTGTATAGCTCTTCCTCTCGATCAGCATCGTTCTCATAAGGCTCGCCACCTGCCTCGCTTGGCTCGAGCACTTTGTTCAGCGTAGCTCGCATTGCGGCAATATCGCCGTCGTCCTGCGCAGGTGGAGTACTTTCTCTGGTAGCCGGTTGACGGATGGTGATGTCGACATTGCCGACATGAACGGTTACATCTTGCTGCTTGGGAGGCAGTGGTGACGGGCCCCGCGAGGGGCCCCTGGGCATAGGAGAGCGTGAAGGAGGGGGAGGTGCCCGCTCGGTCTCCGCCTGAGAGGCTGTCTCATCGAGCGTGTCTGGGTATTCATCGTTGATGTAGGCTGTCTCTTCAGGTGGCAGCTCATGAATACGGTCCTCGATGGGTAGATCCTCCTCTTCCATATCTGGAATAGAATCGTCCGTGTGTCTCGGCGTCTGGAGTTTGGTGTCGAGATCATCTAGTCTACTCTGTGCACGGGCAAGCATGTCGAAGAGAGGCTCAGCCCATGGCGGCGGAACCTAACCTCAGCTGTCAGGAGTTGTTTTTGCAGTGATGAATCCAACGTACATTGCTCTGAGGGATATTGACACCGGGTTGCTGTGGACTCATGAAGTTAGGCTCAGTAGTAGCATTCTCCCTGTCTGCATGTCTGTACGCGCGAGACGATGCACGCGCGTCCCTCAGAAGCTGAAGGTGATGGTAAGTATTTCGGCGACAAGCAATGCCTCCGTTCACTCACTTCGTCTGCGGGCCCTACCATACCAAGCTTGCGGAGTCGCTTAACTACATAGCTTCTCGCCGCTCTCTTCACGACGTCCGGCGTATTAGGATTGTCATGGACGCTGAGGAGCGTGCGAATATCGTTATCTTGGAAATGAGTCTTGTTCACCAGGTCTGCGAGCTCGTGGGGATCGAGCGTATAACTGGTCCGAGGGGTGCGGGACGTAGGGCCATCACGCATCGATCGAGGGGCGATACTCGGTTCCCGACGCTCACTGGGAGCGGGTGGAGCGTGAGACGCAGTGCGAGACGGGGCTCGAGACGGAACCCGTGATGGGGAACGAGAGTGAGCGCGAGATGGGGCACGAGAGGCAGCGCGCTCCGGAGCAAGCTCCGGAACAACGGGATTGACATGGATGACCGTCTCGCCGTGCTCTCCAACCTCAATGTCCACGTTTCCGCCGGAGCCACCTGGCACCGCGGTGACACCGGGAGAAATCTCGACAGGCTGTGGCGCTTCGGGAGGCTCATCAAAAGCGCGATTATACTCAGTTCCACCACGAGTCGGCGACATGGGCGGTTGGGAAGGAGCATAGCGGCTTGCCGGGCCGCGGGCTTGCGACGCGGCGTACCTTGAGGCTTCCCGAGTGGGTGAATGAGGCGCTTGCGACGGGGCATACCTTGAAGCACCTCGAGTTGGCGACTGAGGGGCTTGGGAGCGCGCGTATTGAGCTGATGGTGCGTATCGAGAGGGCGCTTGAGATTTTTGAGCGCCGTCATATGCGCTCCGGGGGGGCTCGTAAGCAGACGGCGCTTTGGCAGATGGAGCATACACGGAAGGTGCCTTGGGTGAAGGCTCATACACAGATGGGGCTTTTGCAGTTGGAGCCTTCTGGGACACGTAATCCGTGGAGTAGGGGTTTGGCACAGCACCATAGGCAGAGCCAGGAGGCGGAGGCTGCACACCTGGAGCAGTGGCGCCATACTGCGATCCACCAAATTGGCTACCAGGAGGGCGGGAAGCGCCGCCGTACTGACTTCCGGCAGGGGGCGGGCCACCATATGTTCCAGTCGGTGCACCGTATCGCGATCCACCAAACTGACTACCAGGAGCTCGAGAGGCGCCGCCATACTGACTGGCAGCAGGCGGTGGGCCTCCATACTGACTTTCAGGAGGAGGCGGTGGACCGCCATATTGACTGCCAGCGGGTGGCGGACCTCCATACTGGCTACCAGCGGGAGGAACCCCAAACACGTCGGCGGGGGGGCCACCAGCGTATTGAGAGCCACCAAACCCACCCGCAGGAGGAGCACCATATTGCGAGCGATTTTCTTCCATCCTGAATGGCTGGTATGGAGAAGCTTGACTCTCGGGCGTTGTACGACCAGACATCGGCAGCGGCATTTGGGAAGGATGGACAGAGCCAGGCATTGGTATCTGAGTCGGCTGCGGTTGTTTGAGGATCGAACGAGTTGTGCGCTCAGTGCGAGCAGCACTCCTTGTTGGAGAAGGCTCACGGCGAGAACGATTGTCCGTTTGCTATATAGGATCAGCCACGATCCTGCGGTAAAGAGGAGAAGAATAGGGAAAATGACACCTACAGCCTCTAATTCGTGTTCAATTTCTCTCTCGAACTCTCTTTCCCTCCTCGCTTCCTCTTCTCTTTCGCGCTTCGACCAGTCTTCTCCTTCTTCTACAATGCTTCTCGGCGCCGTTCTGGTAGTCCGGATGCTTCTAGCTCCCGTCCGCTCAGTACGCACAGAGCCGCCATCGTCTGTCCTGCTTGGATGGATCTGGGCAGGTGTATGCGCACGAGAGTGGGCGGGATCAGTCGGTGGCTGAATGGTGATGCTGACCTGCTGAGCGGGAACAGGACGCTGGTCCGTCAGCGGGTTGTAGGCCATCGACTCCCTTGGCATGCCCGGACCAAAGGACGGCTCGCTGGACATGGTCTGATAGCTCTGGTGCTTTGGCTGTACAGGAGGCGGGCCTTGCACTTCGGATGGCGCACGAGAGTGGTGCGAGACCGTGCGTGGCAGGGGCAAATCCACAGAGTCGGATGCCTCGCTTTCGGGCAATGGGAATCCTGCGGCTGTATGCCCACCAGTGCTACGCGCATAGTGGGGTTTCGGGACGCCCATGGTGGTGGGAGGACCACGGAACGAGCGCGTTGGCGACCGAGCCTGATTACATGGCAGGGCGCGAATATAGGGGTATCGTGGAAAGGGGCGGTTGCGGGGATAGAGGAACCAGAAAAGAAGAAAAAATCAGTCACGTGATAATTTTTGGTGGAATACGTCAACGCGACATGGGGCGCACTCCCTGCAAACAAAAAGGAACGTACCTGTACCTGGTCGTCCCAGCCGTTACGCACCTCCTCCCTCACCCGCTGAGGGCCACGACCGTCGTCTTCGCCATAATAGCTACCATCTCTTCCGGGACGAGGACCAATGTGACCGTCCTCGCCTTGGACTCTGTTTCCACCAGCGACGCTGCGCCTGTCGTCTCCATTTGTATTTCGGGGAATGGCGGAGCGCACATAATCACTCGAGCCATGATTGTCGTCTCCAAACACCTCGCGCTCAAGCCGCATTGCAGAATCCTCGCGACGCATCTCGGGCGGAAGCATCGTATACTGAGGATCGGCACCCGTACGAGAATAGCCGTTGTCGTAATTTCTCGATCGGTGCATGGGGACAGATCGTTCTGAGGCCGCCCAGTCGTCCCCGTGAATGGACTGTGGCGGGTCAGGCGTCGTGCCTCTCATACTTTCTGAGGTTGGATTACATCAGTCATGGTTGGATTTAGTGCCGAATTAGGAGACGTACCGAAGTACAGAGCCATCTTCTCGCTCACTTCAGGAGTCTTGCTCCTCATCATGTGCGGGGTGAAGCTTGTAATCTCAACCTCCTGCGTCGCCATTTTGGTATCTTCGTAACTTGTTCAAAGAGAATCCAAAGGGAGTAAATTTCAAATCTGAAGGAGGTACGAATCAGCATACATGACAGGAACCGGGAATGTGAGCAAGTGCAATGAGCGTACTTGTAACAGATTGAAAAGTGAGATAACTCAATCGGCTTTGGCCGTTACGATACCTGGAACGCAGTTCTCTGTTGAGGGGAATGTAACGTGTGTGATGGGCAGAAGGGTTAAAGTAAGGGCGCCTTGATGGCAAGAGGAAGGGGGAGAACGGCCTTATGCACCCCACGAGGCCTTTTGGCGGGCGCGGAACCCCAAACAGAAGGAATGAGTAGATGTTCGTTCACACGTGGCCCAGGGCTACGATTTGATCCCGATGAATGAGGGAAGCCTGGAAGCGAATCGTCTTGTGGAACGGAACGTGACTGCCGGCCGCTGATTCGGTTACCCGTGGCAGAAAAGAACAGGCTTGGCAGAAAGTGGAGATTTTTAGTGGGGTTTGGTTTGAAAGAGTAAGAAAGTAGGTGGTGGTTGGGGAGGAGAGATATAGTTTTTGGCTTGTCCTTCCTTTGCCCTGAAATTCGTGTTATCTGTTCCCATGAACCCCGCCAGCAGAGCGATGGCTCTCATTTCCATCACCGACTATCTAATTGGATGGCTTTTGCAATATGCTCAACCGTCATTTCTCCGTTTGTTCATCCAAGTACTTCGTTGTGATGGTTTTGATTCACTTGATAGGCGCGATCAACCTGTGTTTCAGATCCCTTGAATTGGTGTCAGCCTACGGGGATCGATCACGTGTGTATCATGTGTGATGAAGTCGAATGAAGTACTACAATTCCAGCACAGGTATTGACTGTATCCAGGTCGGTGTATTGAAAGGCAATACGTCGAGACCGGCTCCTTATAAGGCTGCAAAAGTTCCTTAAGCGTTTCAATAGGAACCCTTGCTGGGCACTCATTACTTTAGCACGTATTTATTGCAGTCTCATCTGTATCTTTGCAAGACCCAGCGACCGCAAAGCCACCTCAAGCTTTCGACCTTTCAGACAGGCGATTGAGACATAAACAAGTGGACGACTCGTGCTTTCGTCGCGTCCATATCTGCTTAGTCAGCCTCGCCTGCCACCAAGAGGCCTTTACGTGACGCGCCGGTCTCGCACCCGACCTCGTCGCAGTCATCTCCGAGCTGGTCGTCTCCGGCACAGTGCTCGCTGTCCATCACATCCAGAACTAGCATACTGCTCTCAGGATAGACCTTTGTTATAAGTGGGAACGACTGAACTGGCATAGGAAGAATACCGCTCTTGTGTAAGGGTAATGTTCCGCAACCTGCTGAGTCCGTTACGCTCAGCCGGGTTCGAGAACCTCAACCCGCTCTCGCCTCGGTCTGGCGGGTCAGTGCCTGGCTCGACCTCAGTTTCGCCCGAGCCAGAAGACCTAGCACATGGTGTTCGAATGGATGTCATGCGTCGTTCGGCTGAGGAGCTCAAAGAGGGCGCTGGAACACTCGACCTGGTGGGATTGACGGAGGTAGGCATCCCGGTTCAACGGGTAGCAACGTGTTGACTCATTCGTACGTACAGCTGCTGGAAATTATCCGACGAGTGATGATAGAGGACCACTCCACCGTTGCGATCTTCATCGAGCTTGATGGACTGCTCGGGCTGCTTAGCGCTCTCCAGATCGTCTGCGCACAGGTGCAGACAATGCCTTCTCCTACCCGTAGGAGTCCTCCCCTCCCCGATCGGAGTGCCCCTGTAACTGCTGTCAAGTCTGCGTTACAAGTACTAGACGGTGTCCTGAAGGAGAGGTCAGGGAGAGCTGGTTTTGAAGTGCGCAGCATACGCCTTTGCACGCATACACGATCTGACATCTACATAGACCAGTCGAGGATGGGAGACGTTGACCACCATGCTCCTCCCGCTTGGGCCAATATCTGGCGTATCCACGTCGCTTCTCGGTGACCTCCTTTGCCTTTCTCTCGCCGACTTCAGCCCCTCCAATCTTGAATTCTTCGCCGCCTCTGCCAAGCCCGCATTCAATCCCTTCGCGACCGCTACCCTACACAACCCTGAAGCGATCAGCACGATGCTTGCTCTTCTACCTAATCTGGTCTCATTCTCCGAAAGAGTCGCACTTGCGAGCGTGCTGCTACAAATCGCCCAGAGCGGACCATTCAATCTCGCTGCGATGGCACAGCCAGAGATCGACCTGCTAGGGCAGCTTATCCCGCTGCTGTTCCCTGCGCCCGAAGGAGCCTCCCTAGCCGCTCCAGTTTCGTCCCCAACCTCGATCGGTTCACCCAGCTCCCTGTCTTCGTCAAGGTCGACTTACAAGCTCGAGGACAACCTTCGACCGCTTCTGTTAAAGCTCATGAAGCTCCTGTTGCGAACATCGTGCTCTGTGCCCAGCGCGCGGATGCTATTCGAGCGAGCGGTGCATTTGGAAAAAGGGCAGCACATTGACACGGAGGTATTGGGTGTACTGGCTGACGGGTGCGACACCATGAGCGACGGGTTCGGATGGCCAGCCTTCCTGAGCCTCGCAGATGGAAGTGCGCAGACTATTGTAGACAGAGCAGTGGGCGGTTCGGGGTTCACGTTCCTGGTACGCAAATTGTCGGCCTATATGCTGCATACACTAATTCCCTGCAGGCTTGGATCTACCTACCGCGAATAAACGTGGACGAAACACGCACGTTAATGACCCTCTCTCCAAACCCGCCCGTCTCCTCGCGCTTCTCTGTCCGCATCTCGCTTCGCTCCGATTGCTCGATCTCGTATGAGACATCGGCGTCGAAAGGGCCGGTTCGGTTCAGCAAAAGCAGGATTAGGAGATGTGAATGGGTACAACTTGGGTTGACCCATTGGAGATCGGACGCAAAGGGAGAATCGAAGTGCTGTACGTCGATTAATTACCATTTCCAGACGCCATCACTGACTTTCCCGTGCATAGACGTGTTCCTCAATGGGCATCTTACAGAGTCACTGCCTACACCTTGGCCGAGAGTGCCTTCATCACTGCAATTCCAGATCGGTCGGACAAACGCCTCCGACGCGCCTAAAGATTGCTGTATCTATGTCGGCCCTTGTCATCTTCTCGCGTATCCTCTCGCGAACGAAATGCTCGTCCTTCCGCGCATCCTGGGTCCGCATTATACTGGTAAATTCCAAGCTGGACTGCTGCGGTTCTTGACGTATGCTGCTGCAACTGGGTTGAACGTTCATCTTGCTGCGGAGGCGCAGAGTAAGAACGAAGCAGAAAAAGCTGCCGGGAAAGGAAAGGCTAAGGACAAGGAGAAGGAAACGAATGTTGCAATTATGAAGGCATTGCGGGACGGCCTGCATACAGACAGCGCCCCTGTCCACGTTATGGTACCAGCTCGCTCCTTCTTGGAAGATATGGCTGATGATCCAAATGGAGGAGCTAGTGTTCCAGGTTCCTGGACACTGGAGAACAACGCGAAGATCGTGGAGCTTCTGCCTCTCCGGTCTGCGGTATACGCCATAGGAGGATCTAGTCTGGGTCTGCGGCTTGTCGAGTTCGCAAAGAATGAAGCGGAACTACTGGATGCACTCCGTGTGTTGTTAGGAATATTGGCGCACAGCTGGAGAAATAGCGAGGAGATGGAATCATACAGTGAGCATTACCATCGTATTGACCATATCTAAAGACTGACACGCCATTCAGATGGGTATGACGTTGTATCAAGCCTTCTCAGGAAAAACCCGTCCTTCATTAGTGAGGCGGTTCTCGACGTGATTCTGTCGTTTGTCGGGATCGACAGGCAGAACGTAAAGTACGTATCTATTTCTGTGCTTTTCCTAATCAGCCAACTAACACCTCGCAGTCGTTGTGTAATTGTTAATACTGTAGCATACCGTGCCCTCTTGCTCGATTTCGACTTGTGGGCAAGGACGGCGCTCCCTATTCAGCGCTTGTATTTATCACATTTCACTTTATTGGTCTCTGGAACCACCCATCGGCGATTCAACATCAAGCATCGTTTCGCAAAATACGGTATCATTCGACTCTTCCTGCATAGTTTGAGATTCACTCCATATCAAGACGACATCATCCCCGACGTGATAGATGCGATGCGTTCCATCATGTTATATCACTTCTCAACAGAGCATACCATCAAGCCTCTTGTCAGCTACCTTGCCACCAACCTGCATCCTGGTATGCACTACACTCTGTTATAATATCCTGTTGATGTCGTTCGTAGAATCAGAGTCAGTCATATCCCCACTGTCAACTATATCTGTCCTGCCCGACAACACTAAAGGCTACGTCAAGGCATTAAAGGTCTTCGACATGCTGCTATCTATCCTTCACATGTTCGAATACATTGTCAAGTTCAACGTATCTCTTACCATTTCACGTGTCGCCCTTCTTTTGCTCGGAGAAGAACCATCCCCGGAAATTGCCTCCCGGGTGCTAACCCTTCTCGGTCTCGTCAGCAGGATATCACCAACGTTTCCGCGCAAGTTTGAGCTAGTTCACGGCTGGCTCGTGCTTCGACATGTGCTGCCTCAATGCTGGGAACCCAGCGTTCAGAAAGCATCGTTCGACCTTCTGCTGGGCCAAGCAAAGTTAGAAGGGAAGCGCAACCCGGAGGAGATCTCGGAGGAGGCATATTGCCTATCAGTCCTTCCTGCTATTCTGGCTAGCTTCTTTGTGAGCATTGAACGCTCTTTCGCTGGATTGCTGCCACTAGCGGAAACATCCACAGGTGCACAGTACTTCAGTCAGAGCCGGCCTGAACTGACGTTAACTAGGCGAAGACGTGTCCGAATCTCTTGCAGATGCATTGTTGGAGCTTCTCGATGGACATCCTCAGCTTTTCCGATCAAAAAATGTCATAACTTTGTTCACCCAATTCGCCCATAACATTCTTGCCACTCTTCCATCACCTCAGGAACAACAACCATTGAGTCGGAGTCTCATCGACAAGTTGACACATATTACTGTGATGCGTGAGTAACTGATGCAAAAAACTGTTTTGGATACTGAATACTTGAATGATGTGCAGTGTCTCTTGACGAACGAATAGCGACAACCCAACGACAGGAGGTGTGTCCCTAACCCCACAAACTTTTGGTCTGGATTGTTGACCAATTGACCTAGTTGACGCGTCTCCTGCAACGACTCCATTCTTCTGGTTCGCATTCAGCAGCAGTTACCCCGCAATCCACACCCATATCAGCGAAGAGCATTGATACGCACGGATTGGGGACAGTCCAGCAGTCTTTCACACGCACTGCTGCATGGCGAGCAAATCTTCGCAAGATGGACAAGGATCGTATTCGCAAGCACTTGCAGGATGAGTGAGTATCGTATCCAATGTCTGCTCGGTGGATGTCTCATGAACCGTACAGCCGAGAGTGGCGGGAACAGATCGCGCAGCAGATTATTTGGCGTTCAGCAACAGACTTTGATCGTGGGTTATGGATCTCACCAGGTGCAGTGCGTACGTGGAAGGTTGACGAGACAGAAGGTCCATTCCGGACAAGGTATGTACTGCTTTTGTTATCTATCAAGAGCTTTTGGCGAATGACGAGAAGGAAAAAGTTGGAGGCAATGGAACAAGAGCAGACATCAGCCCAAACGAAGAACGGCCCATCCGATTCTTCTGCGTTACAAATTTCTGCGAGCGACCGACGTCTGCATGCCATGGATCTTGATGATAGCGCATCAGTGACACGTGTTGAACCACCGCCATGGAACGACAACGAGTCCAACTTGACGCCTGGTACGTTCTGGGTAGAACTCCAATATGCCTGGCTGACCTTTTGAACTCAGAACTGAGCCTCGAAGAGGATCTTGTAGACGATAAGCATCGTCGAGTTCGGCGTTATCTGGCACCAGGAGATGTTATTCAGGCTGTGACCAATGTTTACAGGATCGTTGGCATAGACTCTTCGCGTAAGCATTCAACCCCGGTTTCATACATTGGCTCATGTTGCTCAGCCGGACTGTTAATCCTGGGAAAAACGCATCTTTACCTGCTCGAGGGCCTTGTCGCCAGTAAAGATGGGGAAATTATCGATGCCAGGGAGGCGCCGAAAGACTTGCTCGTTATCCCTTCGGGAACCGTGGTTGAATTCAAGAAATATCGCCCCGCTGATAAATGGTGAGGAACTGCTTCAATTCTATCAAGATATCATTGAACAATACTGCATTCTAGGGCTTTCGAGGATATCACCGGTCTAAGTAAGCGCACTTGTTTATTTAGGTGAGTGTCCAGCCTTTTTTTTTTCGATCAACTTCGTTCTCACACGAAACAGGGATGTCGCGTAGGTCTTTTGTTCTCGTTTCGATTCCTGAGGGCCCGTTTGATCCGTTTGAAGTCTCGAGCTGTATCTGCGGGATAACCGAAGCATTTTGCTTGTTTTCGAGACAAGTCAAGCAAGACAGTCGGCGTTCTCTCGACTGGCTGGGTCTCGTTCAGGAAAGCCACCGGCAGAGGCAGCGTCCGCGTTTCCATTGCGCACGCCATTGGCAAGCGCAATGACTGCAGTCGGCGCTCGTTTTACTATGATTGGGACCGGTCGCGCAGAGCTGGAAACGGCCACTCGAAAATGGCAGGCTCGCGAGCTATCTAATGTATGTTCCATCTCAATCGTGCCAAATATAATCTGACAGATGCTCCGCAAGTTCGCATACTTAGCTATCATCAACCAGGCGGCAGGCCGGACGCCGAATGGTATGATCTTTCTCTTGCTTCTTTCCAAAACCTGCTGAAGGACTGGTCATAGATATCACTCAGTAAAGGAATTGCCTCGTATGAAGTAGCAATGCTCACTCTTGAATAGATATCCAGTATACCCATGGATTTTACAAGACTATGACTCAGAGAAACTAGATCTCACATCACCTGAGACGTTCCGTGACCTTGCATGTCCAATGGGGGCTCTTACGCCAGACAGGTACGTTATCAAATGTGCTCAAACTCACAAGAGACCAACCATTCGCATAGGCGAAGTTCCGCTCTGGAACGTTATGACGCTCAGATGGGGGAACAGCCGTTCCACTACGGTAGGGTTTTCTGTCATAATACCGTTATGCATCTCTGATATAGGTCGCGTAGGAACGCACTTTTCCTCCTCTATGATTGTCTGCCACTTCTTGCTTCGCCTTCAGCCATTCACCCGAATGTTTCAAGAACTGCAGGGAGGAAGCTTCGATCTTGCTGAGCGCTTGTTCAGGGATGTTGGCAAAGCATGGTCATCAGCTGCGCATGAGAGCAGAGGGGATGTTCGTGAACTTATTCCTGAGTTCTTTACATGTAAGTTCGTTCGAAACTCTGAATCTTTTCCCATGCTCAACTTGTTGTTTAGGTCCCGAGTTTCTTCAAAACGTCAATGAGCTTGATCTTGGAACGCTGCACACGGGCGAGAGAGTAGGAGACGTGACTCTTCCTGTTTGGGCGATGAAGGACCCGCTGCTATTCATTTCACTACATCGACAGGTACGTCACTCACAAGCTTGTTTGCGCCATGTCTGACCCTGTCCTCCAGGCTCTTGAGGTATATCCCAAATTGGCCTATTTACACTGCGAGGAACTCACCCGTCCAACAGAGTGACCACGTCTCCAAATGCATACCTCGTTGGATTGATCTCGTTTTCGGGTTAGTACATCTGATCTCAATACATTCTTGCCTGACCTGTTTGAAAGTATCAAACAAAAGGATGTGGAGGCGTTGAATGTTTATCATCCTTTGACATACGAGGGGGCGATAGGTAGGCCAGTTGTCCTCGTCCGATTATCAAGGCCTGATCACAACAGATTTGGAGGCCATCACCGATGCCTGGGAAAGAGAAGCGACAGTTGGCGCTATACATAACTGTAAGTGTCGTTTTTATTCTGTTAGAACATTCTCATCCTTATGTCCTCAGTTGGGCAAACGCCTCGACAGGTCTTCCGACATTCACATCCTGATCGTTACCTGGAGGGAAAGACGACACTTCCTCTTGGGACGCCGTTCGGTATTTGTGAGGACTACGGTCTCCTCAAGCAAGGTAACCCCATTGGAAAGAGTATGTCTGAAACCCTCCTAGTTAGAACGGCTGATCTCACCCTGGGCATATCAGAGATCCTCGAGTCTGTAGATACGTTGTACATCGACACCATTGCTGAGCGCATCGTTGCCTGTCCAGCCCATAAGCGATCTGTGCCTCAAATGCCTCACGAGTACATCGAATGGTCGGAGTTAACACACTCTGTGTCTTTCTTCGTCGATCGCAAAGTAAGGATATCCCTTTTCTTTCTTTCTCCAGAGCTCAGCTGAACAAATTGTATAGGTCAGCCACATCGAGGAAGAGACACCAATCACGGTCGCAGAATTCTATGACAACCGTGTGCTCGTGACCGGCAGTGACGATTCGACGGTGTCGATCTGGCGGATCGTCCGGGGTGATCAATTTGCTCTGCGTCTTGTCGGCAGCATGCGCGGGCACCATGGACGAGTAAACTGTCTCGCAACTTCGCGGTCCTGGGCTATGGCGGTCACGGGCGCGGCAGACGGGCTTGTTATCCTCTGGGACGTCAACCGCGTACGTTATGTGCGTTCTATGGCCCATGAGATGCCAGTCGAGCACGTTCAAATCGGGCCTGGAGTAAGTCGGCTCCCTGTCATTCTTGCATGATCGCTCACGATTGCTCAGGGGGAAATTGCCTCATCGTCAAGAACTGCGGTGTCACTCCACACTATGAATGGTCAGCTCATCGCATCTTTCCGCCCGATGGAGCCCATCACCTGTCTGGCTTTTCACGAACGCGAGTATACACCAACGCCTGTGCTCGTCACTGCTTGCGCGGACGAGATTAAGCTGTGGACGTGGAATGCGACTTCTGCCGACGAGGAGGGGAAGGCTGTGTGGAAGTTCGTCCCTCTAAGGACGATGAAGTGCAAGAACGGACTGTCACCGAATACGTCAGTCAAGGCACTTCAGTTTGTTGGGTAAGTGGGCAGTCGGTTGTCGTATGATGCAGAACTGACGTGGGCTCAGCGAGTCGCTATATCACGGTGATAGCGATGGCAACATATTTTTATGGACATTCCCGGAGTAAAACTGAATTTGGGCAAGAGTGTCTCATGACCGAACTGAGACCGTAGGAAGGATATGATCGGGAACGGGCGTGACCGGCTCTCATTCTTGAATGTATATATAGGTAACAGGAACTGTACAAATCTGCACGCTCAGAGTGGAAGAAAGGCAAGTGCTTATCTAAACTGACAATGGGGACGTCACCGGACCCTTCAAGTTACTCGGACCGAACTCTAGTCTGGGCACTTCTCCACCGGCTCAGAGGTCAGCCCTTGACACCCTCATTCTGTTGTAAATCATTGCTGGCAAAGCTCCTCTTGTACATATTTACATCAATAACGACCATCATTCGCACAACACTTGTCGTCCGCGGTCTAAGTACCATCCTCACAATGTCTACTCCTCACTCTTCCCTGCCATCCGCCCTCCAGGGCCTCTTCAGCCGTTCACCACTCCCCCCCTTGCGGCCTTCCAAGCCCTACGACTCAGCCCTAACACCCGTCATCACGGGTCTCTCTTCCCAGTATCCCGCCAGCGTCATCTCCGGCCTTCACCTGCTCAACGACGACATCGACAATGCGCACACGGTTGCGCAGGCTCACGAAGGGGACCAGAGCTGCGATACGTGGCACGCGTTCCTCCACAGAAGGGAAGGAGATTACTGGAACTCCGGATGGTGAGTTCATAGGTACGACCGAAGACTGCTGTTGAAGTCGTGCATGTGGTGTAGGTGGATCGCCCGCCTCTCTCATCCCCTACTGCTCAAGTTCGCAAATGCGGAGAGCATGAGCAAGGCGAAAGCAGATGCGAAGTCGTTTGTGAGTGCGTGTGAACGGATAGGGATGGGCAGGAGCGAGGGCGAAATATTGGAGAAAAGGCAGTATGACCAGTTGAGGGAGCTCTGTGATTGGGATATTGAGCATGCGAAGTGACGGTGGGGTCATATCGAGTGTCTCGTTTCCTGTTTGTGATGAGTTGCTGGTGTGATTGATCAAGACTTTACGACCAGCGTAGATTAGGTCGATTATGTGTATTTCCCGTTTCTGTTCTCCCTCTTCGTTCTTCGCACAAACGTGGGTGGGTAACAGAGGACACGTTTGAACGCCATTGTAATCAGAGTGTAGTTAGCCTATAGTTGCTTGTATGCAACAGAAGTTGAGAAGTGAGCTTCGTCCAGAAGCATGTCGGGCTCTTAAGTAATACATTGGGAACTTATTAGGTTACAGCCACTTGCCCGATGCCTCCAGTTACAAACTCCGATAGGTATTTGCCTCCAACTTTTTAACTCCGACAGCACTTAGCATAACTGGGTAGTATTGCTTATAATATTTATTGTTAATTTTGTTACATTTCCCTTAATTTCTACGGACAACGTCGAATTCAAAGCAACGGCGGTCGGAGTGAAGGAAACGAGTGCAGACCGAGGGTTGCGGCGGTTACGAGAATTAGGCGACCAACGACGCGGCGCGTCGGGCTTACTTCTTTACCCTAAGTGACGCAACACCTCTCTTTCATCTCAACCACCATCTCTTGTCACTGTTGACGAAAGGAAACAATGCACGCCCCCTTTGCCCCTGGCACTTGGAAGGCTGCCGCTGTTCCGTCAAGCTCTGCGAGCGCGACGGGCAGTCCGGCGGACGAAGGGGACGACGAGTATGAGTATGGGGAGGAGGAGGAAGACGGTACAGGAGAGTCGTTGACTAAGCAGTTGGCAGATACTGCGGTCGGGGTGAGGGAGATGAGCAAGCAACTTGGTGCGTAGGTATTATGCAGTAGTGTTGGATGGCTGCTGACGGGATTGTGCTGCGCTGTCTTCATTTTGTTCACTTGGAATTGGATCTACTGTACGGTCTGAAGGCAGAGTCCGAGTCAGGAGCAACATACAGAACGTACTGATTGTCACTAAGGCGAGGGACAATAATCTTGTCAAGCTTACACGACAGCTGGCACTATACCTTATGCTGAAGCCACGGGAGAATATTCGCGGCCTTACAGTGTGAGTCCTCTCCGGGCACCATATCTGTATTGAAGTACTAACCTAGGTTGTTAGATACGTCGACTCGCAGTTGCGCGACTCCCGCCGATTTGATGCTGCCGGCATAGAGCGTGACCACCCCGAGCTATTTGCCCCTGTCCAGCGCCGTCGGTCTTCCAGCGCAACTTCTCTTGTTTCTCTCTCGGACGGCAGCCATTCACCGCGGTCCTCCGTTATGGCCGGGAGTTCCGCCAGCGATAAGCGCAAAGACAAGGATGAAGGACAGCTGCGGTACTGGACAAGTGACATGTGCACACGCTCGCCCCGCCTCTTCGACTTCGTCATTACTCTCGGAGGAGACGGCACCGTGCTGTTCACTTCCTGGTTGTTTCAACGCATCGTCCCCCCCGTGCTCCCATTCGCCCTCGGCTCTCTAGGATTCCTGACAAACTTCGACTTTGCAGAGCACGAGCAAGTGATGGACTCGGTGATCGATTCGGGTATCCGAGTGAACCTCCGCATGCGGTTTACGTGCACTGTATACAGAGCGATCCACCGGGATCCCTCTGCCTGTCAGCAACCCCAACGGGCGATGAAGCGCGGCTCGACGGGAGAAATCATCATGAAGTACAATGAAGCGGAGGCGTGGCAGGCCCTTGAAGCTGGCTTTTCTGCGCAGCACCCGCCGCTCGGAGGCGGGCAGGGAAAGGACAAGGAGATCACGTGTCTTGCTACCAGGCCGGTGGAGACGTTTGAGATACTCAACGATTTGGTGGTGGATAGAGGTCCGAGCCCGTATATGAGCATGCTGGAGCTGTTTGGTATGTTCTTCACTTTGGGTTCCGTGAGCAAATGCTGATCTGAGTGCAGCGGACGACCACCATCTCACTACCGTACAAGCTGACGGGCTAGTGATCGCCACACCAACAGGCTCGACCGCCTACTCTCTCTCAGCAGGCGGCTCCCTCGTCCATCCTGAGATTCCCGCGTTGCTCATCTCGCCTATTTGCCCCCATACGCTCAGTTTCCGGCCTATGCTTCTTCCGGATAGTATGGAGTTGAGGATATGCGTGCCGTATAACTCGAGGAGCACCGCCTGGGCGAGCTTTGACGGCCGGGGCAGGGTGGAGTTGAAGCGTGAGTCCATTGCTATTAGGAAAGGGCGAAAAATGCTGATGCATGCTTGGTGTTGAATAGAGGGCGACCATATCAAAGTGACCGCCTCCCGTTTCCCCTTCCCAACCGTGTGCGCAGACAAGCAGTCAACAGACTGGTTCCACGCCATTTCCCGCACGCTAAAATGGAACGAGCGCGAGCGGCAAAAGTCTTTTGTCGTAGTGGAGGAAGCGCTCGGCCCGCAGACGGGAAAGCGCTCAGGCCCAGCGAAAGAGAACGGGCAGACGACAAGACTGCACTTACATGCTTCTTCTGTTGCTGTCCCGCGTACTGCTGTCGTTCAAGAGAAAGACGAGGAAGAAGACGATGGCAAGTTCGACATTGACGATTCCTCTGGTGACAAGCAACCCGAGCCTGCAGCCTCGCCTTCCCCCAGCTCTGTACCGCAAACACCTAAGACGCCGGTTGAGCAGGAAGCGCTCACACTCACGGACGTTGGCCTGCCGGACGACTTCCCGCATTCCAAGAGCGGGATCCAGACGCCTGGCAGGTACGCAGGCCCAGCCGGGCCAGCCAGTCATCCACCCAGGAGCGTGTTGCTGCAGCAGAGAGTGCATGGGCTTTCTCCTGGCCGGCAGCGCGAGCGGGAGGCGGTACATCAGCAGATGGACAACATGCGTACTCCGCGACCAGAAGACAAGTTTGTCATTGGGACTGGAGGCGCTGCGGGAGGGGCGGTCCCTACTCCCCCTCTACCGGTACACGGACCGATCGTACCAATAAGCGCCATGAGGCCGACGGTATCGATGGTCCCCGCGGGGAAGAGGAATGTGAGGCGGGAAAGAGAGAGGGAAAGGGAGAGGGAGAGAGAGCATTCTGCAGGGAGGAGGGCGTTCGCGGTGTATGGACAGGACGAGAGCGATTCTGGAACGAGTGGAAGCGAGGATTGTTAGTCGCCGACTCGGGCCGAGGCTGGTGATACATTCCTGCTCGTGGTGCGACATAGGATGGAAGCCCATCTCTTAATAAGCCGGATGGAAGATTTGGCCCCAACTTTGGATTTGTGAAAATTGCGTAACGACATAGAGTGTATTATCAGAAATAGGCAGATATGGTTGTGAATTATTGTTCATGAGATCAAGATCGTTCGGGATGTTGAACTGCACAACATGACTGGCATGTTACGAACTGAGGATATGTCAAGTCATTACTTAAATAAGACTGGGATTGACGAGTTTAGAAACCATCGTTGACCGGGCCACTGACGCTACTACAAGACTGTGCAGTAAATCTCCTTGCATATTTCGATTCGATACAAATACCTATGGATACATCATTACCTAACGATACATTACGATACATTGCGACACGTGCCGCAGTCCGTTAAACCCTCTCAACCCGCTCAACTAGCGTACTTTCCCTGCTATCACCACTCTCGGCACTCATCCTCCCCTTGCCCTTCTCCTGTCCCAATCCTTCTCCCTCTTGCTTCTCCAGTATTCTCGCTCTCCGCCCGCTAGTCCAGGCCTTCACCTGCCTATCATTGTACATCCTGTCCACCTTCTCCAGGCTCAGGCCTCCGCTCTCGTACAGCGCCGCCGCGACCAAGAGAGCGCCGAGCAGGTTACAGCTAGCGAAGACGAACCCGAACTTGTAGCCTATCGCGCCGGTGACGAACGGGGTGAAGAACGCCAGGAGGAAGTTCCATATCCAGTTAGAGGCAGTCGAGAGTGCGCCTTGTTTTGCTCGCGTACGGGTAGGGAATGTCTCCCCGATGAGGATCCAGACGCCTGGTGCCCAGGTACTGGCGTACCCGAGGATGAACAGGCAGGCACTGACAATCATGAGCTTTCCGAGGGTGGGGTGGGCTGTTAGGTCGGGAGAAGCAGCGGTGCCCGCAGCTGCGAAGACGAACAGCCAAGCACTCTGCCACGCTCCGCCGATGATGAGTGGCCAGCGACGGCCAAACCGCTCCATCACGTATAGACCAAGGAACGTGCATCCGAAATTGATAGCGCCGAATATGATCTGAGTAATGAAGCTGTCCTGCATGCCGACGGCGCGCATGATCGTAGCGCCATAGTAGAAGAAGTAGTTTGCACCTGTGAGCTGCTGCAGACTCTGGAGTGACATGCCCAGGAGGGTACGGTAGAGCGTCTTGTTCCGCCGGGAGAAGCATTCTGACCAGCTCACGCTCCCCGTATGCTGTTCGGCTTGTACTGCTTGACGCATTTCCTCAAAGTCCGCTTCGACCTCGGGCGTATCCCCGTGTGTTCGGCGTATGCTCGCTAGTGCTTCCTCCATCCTCCCGCGCTGAATGAGCCAGCGCGGACTCTCAGGCATGAACAGGATGCCTACGCCGAGTATCAGCGCCCATATGATGCCAAGGGCGATGACGATCCTCCAGCTTGCACTGTCGTTAAGCGCGCGTGTGCCAAGGGAGACGAGGTAGGCGACGAGAATGCCGAAGGTGATGAAGAGCTGGTAGGTTCCCGTCAGCGTGCCTCTTACTTCGCTCGGGGCTGTCTCGGCTTGGTACATCGGTACAGCTGCTGAGAGTGCCCCTACTCCGACTCCGGAGACGAACCGCCCGACTGTAGGGGTGAGCGCGGGCGCATCACGAGATGAGGACAGACATACTGGCAAGTTGGTACCAAGCAGAGAAAGCCGTGACTTGGATGATCACCCCTGCAGCAAAGACCGCACACTCCACGCTCATTGCCTTCCTCCTCCCCAGTCCGTCAGCCACTGGTGCCCCTCCAAGCGCGCCAATGGCCGTCCCCACGCTAAGGAGGGCGACGATGAGCCCCTCGATGGCAGGGTAGAAGGCGCACTGGGTTGCTGGATCTGAGGTACCTGTGCATACTGCAAAGCGGAGGAGGAAGTCTGGCATGAGAAGGATGTTGCTTATTTGACCGGTGTCATAGCCGAATATGAACCCTCCTGTTGAGGCGAGGAGGGCGAGGAGAACTGAGAAGGGAGAGAGGGGCATGATGTGAGATGTATGCGCATTGTTGATGTTTGTTCAGCTCTTTATACCTCGTCGCCCTGTCCCATAGTGGATGATCGTAGAGCGCATACATCCTCGTAGGTGAGACGTTCCCACTGTGTAGAGTGGCGATCGATGACGTCCCATTTACATCACGCCTCGTCATCGACTCCACTGTGTTGGAACGCGATATGTTGTACGTGTCTTATTCTCTTCTACCGTACATCCATATATAGTAATGTTGAAACTAGTACAGGTCTCAGTGCTCCTTCCCCGCACCATATTAGGTAATGAAAAGAACAAAAAAAGAACAGAGAGGGTCCAGCCCAGCAAAATTGGCCCAACAAGGTGGGAGTCATCCCTCGCGGAGTCTACTGTGTCCCTTCCCTTTTCACCCCCTCAATCCTATGCAAAAACTCCTGCTCAGCACGCTGCTTGTCCTGCCTCCTCTGTTTATCCTGCTCAATCAACCTCTCAGACCGCTTCTTCCCATTCGCCTTCCGGTGCAGGCCGCAAGCATTACAGTACTTGCGCCCTTCGTACCATCTCCATGCAGCAGTATGCGTCGTCTCGCAGTCTGGGCACGTGTACCCAGGCGCATGCCGTTGGTTTGGCCTCATAGGTGTGTTTGGTGCTCCGTAGGAAGGGAACACCCCGCCCGACGTAGCAGGAGGCGAATTACTCTCACTGTACCGGTCCATTCCTTCAGGGTCGTTCTGCACCGTATGCAACCAAGACCGTGTTCCCGACCCGGACCCAGATCCGGACGGCGGCGCAACAGGCATTGGCTGGACCCTCCATGTCGGCGGCTGGTTTCTCCCAAACGTCTCTAACGGTCGGCCAGCAGGGGCCTCCCTCCCGCTAGGATTTGTCCGTGGGTGCGCAGGTTCTGGCGAGAACACTAGAGTTTCATCAGATCATCAGGCCACGACTCCAACCGAGGCAGAAGCAAGCTCACGCATGCGCTCTGGCGATTGCTCAGGTTCGCGCTTGACGATTCCGCTTGTGGACATCCTCCGTCGGTCTAGTCTCGGGGTGTTGTCTGGTCTAGGTCCACTCCAACGCCAGGTGCGGAGGTACAAAAGGAACAGAGTGAACGAACGAACGAAGGCAAGAACTTCAAGCTTGGCCACTACCCCCTAGACCAGTACTATAGTATCGTAGCGTACCGTTGGGTATCGAATCGAATCGAATCGAGTTGACACGAACCCATCAGACAACATTTGATGCGTGTCCTTCGATCGGTTGATGATGTGATCGGAACTATCTCTCTATCAGGCTCTTCGCACGCTTCTGGCGAAAGAACCCTCGGACGCACGTACTGGAAGGATACATCGGTATTTCTTCGGCTCCGCACAATTAGGTGGAAAAACCAAGCTGAGGCTTCGGAGCCTGGTCGTCAGGAGGTATACATGTCAGGTGCGACATGCATCAGATCAGAGCCGTGAGATGCATCCAGGCTGTGAACGTTGCGCGGACCGTGTGAACTAGAGCTTGCCCTGCGAGACCAGCGGGGCGCGAGCAAAGGAAACTTGACCAAGTACGGGCGTGAGTATTCGCCAGAATCACGGCGTGCCCGCAGGGCCGTGCATCTCATCGATCAGAGTAGTACCTAATCCCGTTGTTTAAAGTCCGCCTCCCTGGGACAAGAAAAAAGAGGGGAGATTGGTTGCCGTCCTCGAATTCTGGAGGCGGTGCGGATTATCACGCTCATTCAATGTCCTTTTTCCGAGATGACAACCTGAAAATAGACGTTAGTCCCGTTAATGGCCAGCTCGGCCAGGACATCAATCCGCGGTCGAGGTAGCTGAACAAGAAAGTAATTGCTAGACAAAGGACATTACATTGACATTTAACCAGGAAGGGTTGTGATTCGCCGACTTCCTTGGCATCTCCGGCCGTGCCGGCCATGCCGAGCCGCAACTAATGATTGATAGTCTGCGCCACATCCGACGTTTCGCTACATAGTCTCCTTGCTCATCTGCGTTTGCGGCGAGGTTTAGCCCGGGAAAGAAAAGATTTAGGACAGAATTCTCGTCTCATCTCGATCCTGAGCGGTAGCCACGGTAAATGTTCTGATGGATGTCACCCATGTTCCCCGCCATTCCATCAGTCATATGCAATAAATACGTGCATGAGAAGCGCTAGAGTAAGCTACATACAGACCTTCGCCGGCGATGCATTCAGGGTTATCTAGGTGTCAGAAAGGATATGCTGCATGGAGACGAGAGCGCCCAGAAACAGGAAGCGAGAAATATAACAGAAAATAATGGAATTATAATGTTTCAGCGGGAGTGATGAGATGAACTTATCAGCTAAGGCTCAGCCTCTGCCGACTCTCTTCTGTGTTCCAGATTCGAACCGTGGAACTCACTTTTGGCCGGTGTCACCGGCTCTGGTACCTCATGGATGGTGTCGACAGGAGCACTGCTTGTCTTCCTGGTAGCACCGGTGACCACGGTACTTCCGCTGGACACAGTCACGCTGGAAGGAGCAACGAGTTCCACGATGGCGGTGCTGCCCTTATTCAGGGCACGCTCCATGGCCTTCTCGCCTTGCTTTTTGAGACGAAGCAACATGGCGTTCCGTAGTGACTCGACATACGACGTGTACTTGACCACCTCGGACAGCAGATACTGCGACTTCTTTTCCCAGTTTGCGAGGGCTCTGGCGTACAAGGTGGAACGAGGAGTATACTAGAGCCATGGTTAGTAATAGAGATCTCCACCCTGAATTGCTCACTAACCAGCTGCAGCATGGGTTCCTTCAGCTGCGTGTGAGCATCGAGGTCATTCTGTAGAGTCTTGACATGCTTTTGAAGAGCTTCTAGCTGCGTTTCCTCGTCGAGTGTGCTGTGCACAGACGGTGCCATAGGAGCCTTCCACTCAGCGATGAGCGTTCTGTCCGCGTGTGGTGTGTTGCCAATCCGCAGACTGATGCTTGATGACTTGATGCTGATGGCATCTGAGCGCTGTTCAACTGCATACGCCGAGGAGCCAGGCATGACGCGGTTCCAGCCATATTCCATATTCGATACGCCTCCTTGCAGGGGCTCTTTGGAGAAGCGCGCTGCCCAGTAGTTGCACGTCGACACCCACTCATTTACGAGGTCTTCTGTCCCAGCTTGGAAAAAGTAGACCGCACCATCGGATAGCGTGAGGACAAAGCAGTGCGGGCGCTGGCGGTTGTAACCAGGAGGCGGCAGGACATGAGCCAGCGAGTGTGATAGGCTGACGCCACCGACTTGTTGGGCGTTGCTCTACAGAAACGATCAGTGATGTATACAAAAGCGTTTCCGTAGAACATACTAGCCAATTGCCACCTCCAACCCCCCCTCCACCACGATTGCTGCTTCCTTCGCCGAATATGAACATGCTCAGTTCGCCTTTTTGGATGACAACAAACACGTCCTTCCAATCCTTGTTCTTCGCGCGTTTCCCGGTGATTTCCCAATATTGCTTTCTGCACAGCATGCCCTCTTTCGCCCACGGAGGACCAAGAAGGGCGAGTTCTTCGTCGGACAGTTCTTCGTCCTCGGCGGACTCTCGCCCCTGGCTGACTAGGCTCGCCATAGATGGAGAAGCGAGATCGCGTCTGCCAGCAGCATTGCCGAGTGCCCGAAGCACACGGTTCCCATCACTATCTTCGCTGAGCGATTCTTTGATGATAGTGTGACTGAGGTTGCTAGCAAACCCGATGGTGGGCGTGAAAAGCGTGGACCCACTGCCAAAGTTAGTTTCACTAGTGGCGAAACTGGGCGCGGGGCTAAGCCGTCCATCAATCGAGCTGCTGCTACCGCCAGCACTGGAATATGGGCTCTGGGGACCACCTTGCGCACTGAGGAGCTGATGAAGGCCGCGGATACTGCCCCGTTTGAGATTCGCCGCGGTGCGTACGGAAGGACGACGGCCAGTTCCCGCAAGGTTTGTTGACGAGACGGACATGTTAGTAATAGGTTGGAGGATCTGCTGTGCCTTGACGCCATTGTACATGTCCCGGAGGAGAGCCTCCATTTCCGAGTCCCAGTTCTTGCCGTAACCCTGTAGCGTGCTCTTTGTAGTAGAGGCAGCAGCAGCAGCCTCGTCGACGCTCACCTCACTCTCGCTCTTCCGGAGTGTAGGCACGCTCATGCTCGCAGCTGTCTGGTGGCCATGTTCCTTCTTTTCCAAAGTGATGACCATGCTCAACGCCGGTGCGGTATCGCTCCGTTGTAGCTTCTCCTTCCAGCTCGTAAGGCTCCCACTGCGGTCCCGATGATGCTTTGCGTTTGCGGGAAGGTCGACTTCGCTATCCTCCGCTGGGCTGGAGAGGGAAGGACGGGGGATGTCCATGCTGACCGTACCTGCACGCGTAGTGCTCCCGCCAATCGCTGGCGGGCTACTCGCCGCGCTCAACGGGCTGATAGGAATAGCAGCATCCCGTTGGTCAGGCTTCAGTTGTGCCCAAACAGTCTCCATAGTATTCTTGATAAACTCGCGGCGGCTCATATGGCTGCTCAGTTCCGCAATATGCAGGTCCGTATTGAGCAGCAGGAGTGAGTAAGCAATGGCGTGCACGACGCTCGCGTTGCTAAAGATCGTCGTGGGGTTACATTGCCAGTAGCGTTTAGCGAACTGGTCCAGGATTCTGTCGAGTTGCTGAGTCTCCGCCTTGAGGTAGAGCTTCGCGCATAGCCGGCGGAAAGCCTGATCGAGGCGGAGGTTTGAAAAGTCGAAAAAGTCCATATAGTGCTTCAGGGCGAGCTTGTTTATCTGGCCCACACTACCGAGCCACTCGGCCACCCGCTCCCGGCCCATCCACGTCTGCTCTTCGTCCCAGCACTTACGGGCAAAGTCCCGCGCCTTGGGTTCGAGCGTCTCTGAGGGAGAGGCGCTGGTGTCTAGTGCTAGGGAGGGGCGGAGGGACTCGGAGTGCGCGTGCGAGGGGTAGAGAGCAAGTGAAGGGGCGGAGACGGAGGCGCTCCGGTGGTGGGGGACACTGTATGCGGTTGCGGTTGGGGTGGGGGAGGAGGGGGAGAGGAGGAACGCTGGCCCAGCGCTGGGAGGGGATGGGGACTTGCTCGGCACAGGAGGGAGAAGACGGATAGGTGTAACCGTCTCCGGCACACTCGGCGGAGTAGGGAGAGGACGGATAGGTGTAGTCGTGCCGGAGACGGCGCTGCCAGGACTGACGGGACTGAGAGTGCTTGTGGATTGAGAACTGCTCGTCATGGATAGTGTGCTGCTCGTCGTGGTCGTGGAGAGCGCGCTCCCGGTAGAAGGCGCATTAGCCGTCCTGCCCGGCATAGGCAGCATAGGCAGTCTTCTCACATCCACGCTAGGCCTCTCACTCCCACTCGTCGTCGTCGCCGCTGCCGTGTCAGCACCATTAGCACAAGCACTGGCAGTAGTCGGTGTCCTCGCTCCCTGTTCTTCCTCTTTCCCCCCCTTCTCCCTCTCCCTCTCGCGCTCCGCACTAGCCCCACTCCCCCTAGTCTCCTCACTCTCCCTCCTTCCCCCACCCGCAGCACCAACGCACAACCTCCCACTCCCATTCCAGCTCTCCCCCTCCGTAGCCGTCATAAAGCTCGCCGTCCTAGCCGTGCTCGGCACGCTCTCTTCCCCAGAGACAGAGCGGAGGGAATGGACGCTGCCGAAGCTCTGGGTCGTGCGGTCCGGGCCTGGGTCAGGAGCAGAGGTGCTAGCGGTGAGCAGGGGCGGGGGTCGGCTCGATTTCCCGTATGTGGGGTCTCTTCCACCTCTCGTACCCGCACCCTCCCCAGCCCCGGCCCCGGCAGCAGCAGTCGCAGCAGCAGCAAGACTCCCCAGCCCAGCCCCTCCGAGCCCAGTAGCAGGCTTCGCAGGACTGACAGACAACGAGCTGCTCGTTTCTCTCAGGAAAGTCTGCCAGTCCAGGTCGCTGACCGACATGCTCCTTCGGCGTTGATCTCGCGGCCCGCGACTCGTGGATCGCCGGGGGAGGGAGGTGAGGTTGGGTGGGTTGGGGGAGGTGGAGACGGAGGAATTGGGGAGGGAAGTTGTGGTTGAGGTCGTTGGTTGTGCTTGTGATATAGAGAGGGAAGAAGTATCAACAGACTGTTTCCTCTCCGACTTGTCCTCAACCTTGTCGGACGCTAGTCCAGGCCCAGCCGCACGGCTAGGCGTCATCCCGGACGCGCCCGTCCCGCTCGTACTAGGTCTTGCAGAGCTAGCAGACGGCCGCCTCTTTCCCGCCCACCCGCCGGAAGAAGTACTAGGCCGACGGGGAGTGGTCGTTGGTGACTGGTAGGAGGATGGAGCGGTGCTTCCGATGATGCTTGCGGCCAGATTGGGGTCGGTCGGCGAAGGTAGGGCGTTAGTGCTCGGGCCGATGACAGCGGCGGTGCCGTTGTTGTTGCTGCTACTGGGACTGAAAGTGTTCGTACTGCCAGTGCTTGGACCAGCGTTCCCCATGACTTCGTCCCTCAGCCTCTGGGCCTGGCTCATCCGTGCAGGCGAGTACTGTGCCGGTATCGCCGGTACTGGGGGCACAGGCGGGATATCAGGGACAGCAGTGCGTCTCGCCGTTCCCATAAGCTTTCCCCAAAATGAGGACGTCTTTGCTCGCACGGCGGAGGCGGCGGTCTTCGCTGACTAGGGTGCAACGTTAGTAGGGTAGAAAGTTTGATGATGTGCTAGCGTACCTTGGTACTCCCTTCCCTGCCCTCGCCGGGAGCGGTGAGATACCCATCTCTGTCTCCTCTCTCTCGCTCGCGCTCCCACTCTTTTTCCAGCCCTACTCTCTCCCTTGGGAGCGCACTCCTCGCTCCTCCTCCTCGAGCAAGATTCGCCTCGCTCGTACTGATCGTCAGCTGCCGTGTGGTCGCGCTCCTCGGCCTTCCCGCACCGCCGACGATGACGGTGCTGACCACGGACGTGGCAGGAGGGGCAGTAGCGGACGGTGTAAGCTCTTGGTTCGCGGAGGAGGAAGAGGCAGCGTCCGCCTTCTCCCTCGCTTTCCTGAGCAGTGTCTGCAAGTCGGGGGAGCTCGCTGTGCCCGCCGTACGAAAGATACTCCGTCTCTTCGAATCGCCTTCTACATCTTCTTCCCTTTCCCGGCTGAGGCTGGACCGCTCCTCCTTCCCAGGAGGAACGCCTTGCATCCCTCTTCTCTCGAGGTCGAACGAGATTCCCAATGTCCACTCCTCGAGCTCTATCAGCCCTTCTCCAGTGCCAATTGCAGTTGCCGAACCAGTTACAGCCCCTGTGCGTGCTCCTGTTCCAGGTGTCGGTGCACGACTGACACTCGACCCTACCGAAGAAGCAGCAGGGGACGAAGCGCGCGTCTCTTGCTCGTTCGAAAGCGCGCGTAGGAGGGTCGTGTCGCTTTTCAACAGCTGCTCGAAGGATGTATCTGGTCGTGTGTGTGTTGAATGTCCGCTGTGTGCTGAGAGAGAAGGAGAGGGACGGCGAGAGAGAGGAAGAGAGGAAGGTGATGGTCGGAGAGAAGCCAGCGTTGGTGAATGACTGGAATAGAAAGAAATGAACTGTGTGGGGGTGGTCACCTGACTGTGAGAGTGAGTGATGGTCAGTGTTACTGTAATTGTACTAATGACACACTTACTTTACACTGAACACTGATGTTTAACAAAGAATACAAAATATGGAATGTTAAATAGAACACTTTTAATAATTAAACTCTGATTCCGTCTCCCCTTATCTTGTACCATGGGAACAGTCGCATTTGACTCACACGTACAACAATGAGAGAAATACATTACTTGACATTGATATGGTTAGAGTATGGAAATGCAGATTATGTGTAAGTGCAGGGCCACTCAGTCAACATCCCGAAACATTCCTGGTGATTCGATTCCCCTCCTCGCTAATCCAGATTCCGCCTCGTACTGTGCCCATCCCCACCTTCCTCCATCACCGCATAGATATTCGGCCTAAACGGCCAATCCTCAAACGCGTCCACGACCTGTGTCCACTCTCTTGCCCTGAGCTGACGGGGCGTCATCTGCGTATCGAAGTCGAGGTACTTGAGCAAACTCTTTGCGCCTAAGCCGAGGTTCGTGATCCCTTCCTTGACAGCTGTGGATCGCTGGACGAATAGCATCCGGGTTATGTAGTCCCACGTGTCTAGCCCCGAGGGGGGGATATGTTGTTCCCTCAGAGGGAGGAAGGAGGCCGCGACGTACGGGTGACCAATATGCTTCCCCTTGTTGGGGGAACGGACGTCTCTTGCCGCCCGGGCGGGGGAGGCGAGGGCCAGCCGGGTGTCCTCCGCACTCGGGAGAGGGAGGAAGTGGGAGTTGTATGGTTGGAGCAAGGAGATGGGGCTGCTGAGATGCGCATGTGTTGTTAGAGCGGTGATCACGCTTAGCTTGCAGCGGTTCTCGACTTCAGTAGGGGCAGAGAGCCGCTATGATGAAGTTAGCCAGTGTGGGGATAGGGAGCGGGGGACGTGCGTACCTCCCACAAACCTAAAGGGAGGAGAAACCCCATCGGTACCCGGCCGTACTTAAACAACCACGCTTTGAGCGGAACGAACCTTAGGAACTGGCTCATAAGCTGTTCGCTGATCAGGGTCAACGGTAGCCGGCAGATAAACTGCAGCTGCGTTTGCTCTTCTTCCCATGGCACGGGGGTGATATCGGACAAGAGAGAAGATGACATGAGCTCGTCGTACGTTTCCCATAGGTAGGGCGAGGCGGGGAGGACGTGCAGCCTTGGGTCGGTGCGGGCGAGAGCGGAGAGCTGGGCGAGGAAGGGCGGGTGGGTCTCGATCGCTATGATGCGTTTGATGATACTTGGAGGGTACTCTAGTAGGGCGCGGGTGAGGGAGCCGACGCCTGCGGCTCGGGGGTCGGAGATCAGGGAGGTAGGTTGTAGGTGTAGCGGGCTGGGACGTACCTGCGTAGGCTTCGACTACCACTCGCCCTGAGCCTTCTCCTGCCGTGACAGGCATGACCTGCTCTTGCTCGTGTGCCTTTCCCCCCTCTCCATCGCCCGTACTCAGCGCCTCCCCCTCCCTGCTTCCCGTAGTAGGCACCATCCCCTCTCCCTCCTCAAGCAAAAACTCCCACCCCTCCCCACCCCCAATATCCTCCCCTTCACGCTCCATCCCTCTTTGCCCCTCCTTCCCCCCGTCCCTCACCCACCCAGCAACGACAGCCCTAGCTACCGTCTCATCTTTCAGCAAGACATGGGGCCTCATCGCCCTTGGCAAAAACTCCTTCCCTTCCTCGACCTCCAGCGGGGGAAGAAGACTCCCATTCAGCCCGCTAACAGCTGGGGAACAGAGAGTGTACCTTCCCACCAGACGGGAGAGCGCTGTCTGCAGCGAGGGGGTGAGATCGGGCTCCCAGATGCCAGATGCTTGCAGTATTTTATCAGGATGGAGCTTGTGCGTTAACGTCCGTTTTCGGGAGCGGGAGGGTTCTTCATATTCATCTTCGGCGTCGTACTCGGGCTCTGCGGGGGAGGCCCTGGAGCGCTTGGCTTTGGATGGGGGACTTGGAGAGGCGGCAAGGGGGGATCGTTTGGCTGCCAGAGAAGAAACAGGAGAAGGGGAAGTCGCAGGGGCAGAGGATGAAGCTCGCCTTCTCGTTTTCACAGCAGCCGACGAAGAGGCAGACGCCGAAGCCGAGGCAGCAGCAGCAGCATCTGTCGCAGCTTTCCCTCGTCTTGTCGTCGATTCTTTAGATATCTCCAGGACTCGGGTTGCCGTAGATTCGGATTTGGGAGGACGTCCTCGTCCTCGCTTAGGCGGGGAAGTGTCCGTCTTTGGAGGTCGGCCTCTTCGTTTTGGTGCTGCTTCTTCCACCAAGGTTGCCGCTGTAGCAGTGGACGTTGCTGTAGCTTGGGAAGCTTTTGACGGTCTTCCGGCTTTCCGTTTCGTTGCTCCTTCCACCGAGGCTGCCGCTACGACAGTGGACGTTGCTGTAGCTTGGGATGCTTTGGGCGGTCTTCCGACTTTCCGTTTCGTCGCTGTGGTTGCAAGAGTGCGAACTAGCCTCGGGGTAGTCACAGTCTGCCATAGCCCTGGGAACATTTGCACTAGATGCAGGAGGAGGAGATCAGTTGCTCAGGGTTCACGAAATTTCTGTTTCAGTGCTCATGTCATGTGCTTACCTAAGATAATTACGTAATAGGGATGAAGGTGTGACACGTCGGGCGATCGTTCTCTGAACAGAAACGCGACACTCTGTGGACAACGACCAACAACGAAGGATGGACGCGCTGCCTCTCCTCCTCATCCGCATACGGCGGACGACACTTACTGCTCTCACCTCCCTAGCCTCTGCAAACAGGCTGGCAACATATGGTCTACTCTCTCTCTTGCTTGCTCTTTCTGCGGTCGCACATGCATGGAGACAGTATGCCAACTTTTACAGTGCAGCTGTGTTCCTTAGCCGGAGTGCGGGGAGTGTCTTGGTGCGTCTTGTACTTGGTTTGACTGTAGGATGGTACTGACTGATGAGGGCAGGCACTGGCGAACTTGGGGTTCTTTTGCACTCTAGTGTTTGGGAGGGTGATGCAGACTATATTCTTCGGTCCTCTCCGACCGTCAGAAGTTGAGGTGCGTGCTCATTCACTCATGGGTTCCCCGCTCATCCCTGCTAACCCCATGCAGAGATTGTACGACCGCATCTGGTACTTCCTCACCGAGTCCCTGCTAGCTTTTACAATCTTCAGGGACTCGTTCGACCCACCTTTCGTGCTCTCCTTCGGCCTTCTCCTCTTCCTCAAGTCCTTCCATTGGCTCTTACAAGATAGGGTGGAATGGATGGATCAGGTGCCGTATCCTGGACCAGGGTGGGGATTCCATGTCCGCGTGGGGGTATTGTTTGGCTTGCTGGGGAGCGCGGATGTGGTGTTGTTGAGTTGGGCGGTGGCGGAGGTGTTGGAGGAGGGCGTGGGTGGGGTAGTCCTCTTTGGGAATGAGGTGAGCCTGACCACAATCTTTTTGAGTATCTTGTTGCTTCTTGAATATACCCCTTGTCATCTCCTCCATCCCTCCTGGACTCCCTCCCTTCTTGACTTCCTCGCTGTTGAATCTCTTCTCGATCCCATGTTCTTCAATACCTTTTCCTCAATCGAATACTCACCCACCCTACAGTACGCGATCCTTATCGCCACCCTCCTAAACCTCATCCTCCGCTACTCGATCGTCACGTACGACATTCGCCGTGCCTCTCGCCGAGGGGGGGAGAACGCCCCTCCCTGGCAGGACAAGTCCATGTGGATATTCTACACCGAGCTCTTAACCGGTACGTGCCTTTGCACCCCCATCCCATCCTAACCCCTTCCGTTCCCCTCTTCCACTTCCCACATCTCCATCCCGCCGTGCCCCGCTGACCTCCCTACCAGATTTCCTAAAACTCCTCACCTACCTCCTCTTCTTCCTCCTAATCCTAACGACCCACGGTCTCCCCCTCAACATAATCCGCGAAGTGTACCTCACCGCGCGCTCCTTCGTCACCCGTGTGCGTGACCTCATCCGCTATAGGTCCGCGACGAGGGACATGGACGCCCGTTTTCCGGACGCGACGGATGCCCAGCTTGGAGGGGATAGAGTGTGCATCATTTGTCGGGATGAGATGCATGCGAGGGCTGCTCCTGCCATTCCTGCCCAGCCCGCGCAACAAGGTGAAACACCGGACCAACCCCCCCCTCAGCAAACCGCGCAAGCAGCACCACCAGCACCCGCCGCACATCAGGCACAAGACGGGCCGAACATGACCCCCAAGACTCTCCCCTGCGGGCATATATTCCACTTCCAATGTCTGAGGAGCTGGCTCGAGAGGCAACAGAGCTGTCCGACTTGGTACGTTCTCTTTTCCGTTTTTTGTACGTGAGGAGCTTATTGAGGTATTGTAGTCGGAGATCGGTGTTGGATCCCCAGCCGGCAGCTGGGACTACAGCAGCAGCAGCGGGAGGTGGAGGGGCGAATGGTCAGCCCGTCCAGGGCCCAGGAGCAGCAGCAGGAGCGCAAGGGAACCAACAACAGCTCCAACATTTCCCGCTTCCTCCAGGAGTGCCACAAATGATGTGGCAGCTGGGAAATATGGATCCTGCTTTTGGAGCTTGGGGCGCTTGGGGGGGACAGGGACCGTTTCAGGGTATGGGGGGGATGGGCAACCAGCCTTGGCAGGGGCAGCAGGGGCACCAACAGCAACAGCAACCGGCTCCCACGCCTGGGCCTGGGACTCCAGGGGTCACGCCCACTCCCACTACCCCCGCTCCTGCTGCCACGGGAGGAAACTCCCCCCCGTCAGAGGGAGAGCAGCACCCCCGTAGCCCGAATGGGCAGGAAGAGCAGGACCCGAGGCGCGCTGCTGCGGAGGCGGCGATGAGGAGGTTAGGGCTGCAGCCGACTTTGGCACACTCTGGGAGTACTCCTAGCGCTGCTGGTGCATCGGCTGGGTCTTCCTCGCCTGCAGCGCCTGCATTCAGTCAAGCAGTCCCTACCCCCACGTCCACCACGTCTACGCCCACCATCCCACCCCCAGGTCCGAGCACTACTCCAGGTACCGCGGGGTCGGCACTTCCTGGCTTCCAAGCGCCCCAGAGACTGCCAGACAACGCCCAGCTTATCCCCCTTTTCCCGCCTGGGTTCTCTTATGCCTCGCCTTATGCTACACCGCCGTATGGCACTCCCTCCATTTACGGTCGCGTGCCAACGCCTCCTACCGCTGGGATCTCTGGTCGTGCTTCTGCAGCGACCACTCCCGGTCCGAGCACGAGACCCGTTGCTACTACGTTAGAGCCTGGCAAGCTAAGCCTGGAAGAAGTGGACGATACGCTGCGTACGCTTGAGAGGCTGCAGCTGACGGTTTGGGAGACGGTGGAGGAGCTTGTCAGGGTTAGGAGTCGGTTATCCGGGTTGGTGGGGACGGAGGAGCGGGAGGAGGGGAGGGGAGGCGCGGGAAGGGAGCGTGAGAGAGGGCGCACGGATGGTAGAGCGGACGAGACGGGGGAGCGGAAAGGGAAAGGAAGGGCTGTGGAAGAACAGGAAGAGGATGTGAGGAGAAGTTATTATTCGTAGTTGAGTGAATGTGTGTAAAATTCTAGAGCGGTCGTATAGCATCGTTGACATTTCGACATTGTTGTGATTACGGGTATTCCATAAAAGAGATGGGTGCGGTGGTACATGCCATTTCATCGGAACGCACTCACTTCGTCCGATTATTGTTCCTTCGCCAAGGCCAGCTTCACTCTCTCGCTCACCAGTTGTGCAGAAATCTCCTCCTTCCCCGTCCCCTCCCAAAACCGCTTCATGACCCCACCCATCACCACCTTCTCACCGCGGTCTTTCATCTCCTCCAGCACCCGTGCTATCCGCACATCAACTTCGGACTCGGCGAGTTGGGGAGGAACGAAGGAGCGGAGAATTGTGATTTCGGCTTCGGTGGCTTGGGCAAGATCGGGTCGGTCTCCCTGGAGGTATTGTTTCTGCGCGTCTTCTCTGTGGAAGGGTGAGTGCTGTAGGGTAGGAGAGGGACACAACGAACCGACGAGTGATCCCCTGCTGTAACGCCCTCAAGACCTCTGGTGTTCCAACGGCCTCACCAGACTTACTCGCCTTGTCAGTATTAACCACATCTGCAATAACAGACTGTATGATCCACAGTGAGTGATGATAAGCGGTAGAAGAGCCAGCGTACCCGAATAACAGTAGCTTTCACAGAGTCCTTCGCTTTCATTGCCGCCTTCAGTCCCTGCTGGAGCTGAGCTCTGAGCGCGAGCGGCTGTGCACCGCCTAACGCTGTACTAAAATTCCATCGGATAGCTGGAAGTGTAGCTCGGGAGACTGCAAAGCGCGAAGGGTAGGGCAGGAGAGCGCGATACATGGAGGATGTTGGACAGGACCGAAATTTCGGACCAGGAGAATGGGAGACCCTGAACGGCCCTGAAGGAGCGGAGCCGAGTGTTTATCCGGAGAGTAAGTAGGACGCGGCATGTCGACTGATCTCTGTTACATTTTCTTAACTTTTGTTTACAGGGAAATACTTGGAGAGCAGGAAGCGCAGCATGAGCCAGAAGTATGCTAGTTTACCGGATATAGTACGCGCTTGTGGGGATTTGTGGGGAGTGTGCTGACACGTCTGCAGGACGCGTCCCAGGACGTATACGAAACCCTCTCACCACCCGATTCACCCATTCTTGTACGCACATTCACCCATTCTCATTTCATCATTTTTAGATGAGTTTGTATTCAGAAGAACGAAGAGGACCTTGATGAAGCGCATATACGTGCCTTACGGCTTCAGCGAGAGAAGGAGAAAGAAGCGGAGCGCGAGGCAAGGAGAGCTGGTGGGCGGTTAGGAGGCGCAGAGGGGAGGAAGGTGCCTGTCGAGGAGCTCGAGGAGATTGATTGGGGAACGGGAGTAGGGGTAGAGGAAGGAAAGCGGGAGTGGAGGAAGAAGGAGAGAAAAGGTGCGTTCGAGTGATGCACTGGCGAGGGTAGGGCTGATGTGAGGAACAGGGGTGAAGAAAGTGGACATCGTTTCGACATTCGAACTGGACGAGACTCCATTGCAACGATTTGCTCGACTGCAGCAGGAACTCGCGGAGCTCGAAGACCAGGTATCTCACCGCGCGCCTGCTAACGGCAAAGCGCGCCCAGAGGACGGCGCGCATGAAGACTCTGAAGGGGGGATGATGTATTCCCTCTTGGAGCTACGTGAGCGTCTCGGCAAGCTTGAGAACGGGGGGGACCTCGTAGAAGTAGACGAAGATGTGCTGGATAAGGATGAGCAAGAAGGGCCGAAAACGAACGGTGATGCGCATCCCGCTGCCGAAAACGAGGACGAAAGGCGAGCAAGCACGAGCAGCGAGAAGGGCAGTGTCGATCTCGTTGCGCTCGATCGTCGATTGGCACAACTCGAATCTCTGTTGGGATCTAATAGCGTGTCCTCCGTACGTCCGCTGTCTCTTATAAGGTTGAAGCTAATCGAGTGTGTGTCACAGAGTGATCCCCATCCGACACCCCTCCTCCCCAATATCACGCGTCTCTCGACCCAGCTCTCCCTTCTCACCCAGCCGCGGCATCTGGACGGCCTCTCTCGGCGACTCAAAACCCTCCTTTCCGATCTAGAAAGGTACGACCAGCACGTGCATTCTACTGCTGCCCAACCCGCTGGCTGGACCGGAGGTGCACCAGGAGCCGCCGCCACGGGCAGAAGTCGGCAGCCAACAGGACCAACGGAAGAGAAACCTAGCCAACAGCAGACACACCAGCTGCTGCAATTCCTTTCCCGCCTTGACCCCCTCCTGCCTACGCTCCCTCCTCTGCTACTCCGACTCCGTAGTTTGAGCGCACTCCACGCTTCGGCCGCTACTTTCTCCGGCCGGCTGCGAGAAGCTGAAGAGAGGGAGAAAGCGATGGAGGCTGGACTGGAAGAGCTCGAGATGGCGATGGAAGGCTTGGAGAGTGGGGTGAGGGAGAACAGAGAGAGGGGAGAAGGCAATATCAGAGGGTTGGAGGAGAGGTTGAGAGGGGTGATGGGGAGGTTGGAGAAGCTGGAACAAGGAGGAAGTTCTTGAGGATGTATTCGGCCGGACTTGGGAGGACGGGGCGCGTGTTCAGTTAGTGTTGATACCCTTATCACTACGATTCTCATTGTCATTTCTTGGGGGTGCAGAATATACGCGGCACTGCTAGACAAATGGAGAGGATCATTCCCGAGGGCCAGAAGACAAGAAAGTGAGCGATATGAATGGCATACGATATACAAAAACCATTATAGATACTCGCATCTAGGAGGGGAGCAAATAACTGTAACAAAGAATCTGGTGATGTATTCAAAGGTCTGGGTCGACTCCAGGCGAAACCTGCTCCAGCTGCTTTAACGTCTCGTCCCAGCTCCGCTTCTGGAGCTTCTTGCCCTCAGGCCCGGTAACAACCTTAGAATACCTAAAGACATGGTCATTATAACAGACCGAACAATGTGAGGTGAGGGACTTACGGTGTCAAACGTGTTTTCTGATACCAAAGGCCATGACTTTCCTTCCCGATGTTGGCTACAGCATCAATATATGTAATTGCTCCTTTCTCCGGAGACGATCTAGCTGTAGTCATCATCAACCAGAGCCCAGGAAGCCACCACCAGTGCATATAGCGAGTCCACTCTGTCTTGACCAGATGATCACTTTGTCGCTGGTGACCTTTTCGCACAGTTCGCGAAGGAAGAGGATAATCAGGAGTTTGCTTAGGCTGTACTGCAGTACAGGGGAGAAACTTTTCTTGTCGTTCAGAGAAGGAAGGTATCCGATGTCGTCTTGTGGTGTAAGACGGGCACGAAGGTGCGCCATACTGGAGATGATCGTTAGTCTTGCTGTGTGTTCGGGTGTCGTGCTTCGCTCGAGGAGAGGTAAGAGAAGAAGCGCGAGTGGCGCAGTCGACAGGTGATTGACTTGCACATCCATCTCATTGCCAGTTGGAGCGAGTACGAATCTCCCATTGACCAAGCCCGCATTCAGTATAGCGATGTCGAGTCCTTCGCCAGCGGTCTTCCTGTCGTCAAGGAACTTCTTGGCGAAAGATGTGACGGAATCCCACTTCGACATCTCGACCTCGTATACTTTAACGATCGCATTCGGGTTCTTCTTCTTGACCTCCGGGTCAGCGAGCAGTTCATCACGCGCTTTGTCGCCCTTCTTAGCCGTGCGAGTAGTTATATAGACAGGAGAGGCGCCAAGTTGCAACGCTAAGCGTGCAGCCGCAAAGCCCAGTCCGACATTAGCGCCGGTGATGAGGAATGAGCGCCCTTGGAGAGTGGTGTTCGGCGGAAGAGGAGGAATAGACATGCTGAAGACTGATCGCTAAGCTTGATGCTCAGATGTGAGCTGGTAGAAGTCATTTGGAGCGGATATATATATATCGAGGTGAAGCTGAAAGAACAAGAAGGATGACGCGAGAGTCACTCATCAAGGATGCAAATGTTAGTTTTGATGCTGCTTTCTATCGGCACCGTGTGACGCGTCTTCTGCCGACATTGCAGGGCGAAAATCGAATGACTAAAAGACGGAGTACCAAAGGAGACAGCCTTATGGTTAGGGAGCGAGGAGCGAGCCAGGGACGGACGAAGTATGACAGACTGGTAACTATGTCCGTCTTGCTTCGTATTTGCGTAAAAGTATATCGCGATGGTACACTCTACATAGCACTTCCATTTTGTATGAGGAGAAAACAAGCGCGGAGAGCAGCGGGAACGGAGAGGCATTTAAATGTTGCCACCAACGCCTGGCGAGACCTTCTCGAGTTGTCTTAATGTTTCGTCCCAGATCCGCTTTTGTATATCCTTGCCTTCCGGCCCGGTAACGACATCGGCATACCTAGGGCATATTGTCAACCCCAGAAATTCAACAACACAGGATGAACTCACGGGGTCTGCTTCATCTTCTGGTACCATTGTCCGTGGCTCTCCTTGCCGACGTTGGCCACCGCATCAATGTAGCAGCCAGCGCCTCTCTCAATCGGGTTGGCGGACGTAGCTTGCCATATCCACATGGCGGGTACAAACCACCAGGGAATGCTACGCACGAGCTGGGTCTTGATCATCCCGGGGCACACCGTGTTGATCACGACCTTGTCGTTACTGACCTTTTGGGACAGCTCGCGGAGGAATAGGATGATCAGGAGCTTGCTCAAGCCATATCGCTCCCTGCCAGAAAACGTTTTCTTGTCATTCAAGGAGGCCAAGAAGTCTATATTGTCTGGCGGGCAGTGCTTGAGCCCTGTGTGCAGGTGCGATGTGCTGGAGATGATTGTCAACCTGGCGGTATGCTCGGGTGTCGTGCTGCGCTCGAGGAGAGGCAGAAGAAGAAGTGTGAGAAGTGCAGTCGACAGGTGATTAACTTGAATAGTTGTCTCATTACCAGTCGGTGCAAGTTGGAAGACTGCACTGACTAGACCTGCATTCAGAATAGCAATGTCGAGTCCTTCGCCAGCAGTCTGCCTATCATCAACGAACTTCTTGGCGAAAGAGGTGACATCATCCCACTTGGACATCTCGAGCGCGTACACCTTAACGATCGCATTCGTATTCTTGTTCTTTACTTCGGGGTCGGCGAGCAGCTCGTCACGCGTCACGTTGCCCTTCTCCACGGTACGCGCGGTTATGTACACAGGGGAGGAGCCCAATCGTAATGCTAGGCGCGCTGACTCGAAACCGAGTCCGACATTCGCGCCAGTAATGAGCAACGACCGTCCTTGAAGAGTCGTTTTGGGTGACAGTGGAGGGATAGACATGCTGGGGCTCAGACTAAAGTCATGTGCGCCATTATTAGGTGATTTACTAAGAGTCAAGAGTTCCGCTGGACATGCTGCGGTTCTTCAGGAGATGTCCTGAATTGACACGAAGTCCAGTCATCTTCTGTAAGGTTCAGTGTGAAAGAAGGGAAAGGGTTCTTTCCATGAGAATAGCTTGGTAAGCTTGCATGCACCTATGCCGAGTCCCTTTTGCCTCTAAATAGACGGCGAGACGGACTCTGTCTCTGCCACTTGTTAGAGGGCCTGCAGGTGAAACACGGGACCAGCGGATGTCCAGTGAAATTGTACCCGGGTCTGTCCCCAGGCCCTTCTTCCTTGCCACACATGCTTGCCACACTCAGCCTGACATGCCCACTGGCTTGAAAGTATGCCTGCAATCCTCAGCACCCACTTGCAAGGTGCTCAAAGGCTACTACCAGTCAGCTTATGGCCAGTACTGGGTGTCTTGGGATCCAGCCCAACCCTTCCCATCTATGACAGGCAGGCACAAGTATTATGTCCATCAGTAAGCCAGCTTCTCTCCCCCGCATCTTGTTGGCTCAGGCATGTTGGCAGGCATCATGACCAGCTACTGGGGTACCAGCATCAGTATGCCACATGCCAGCATCAACTCCAGCAGGAGAAGAAAGTGGCATTGTTAGAATGCATGTGCTGCTGGAAGCAGGAGAAAGCGAGGCAGGAGAGCCCATCAGCCATCCCAGATGCCAACCTCCAACTTCTTGCCATAGCTGCCTGCAGGCTGATTGATGAGGAGCCAGCATAAGCCTGCAGGGCAGACTCTCCATTGCAGGTAGAAATAGGCTAGCCCACTTCCCCTTGATTGTATCCTGCATCATAGTTTGAATGCCATTAATATTCTGACTACATCAACTGGGCATGTGGACCAATTGGCCACAAACCAGCAGGCTGTGCATCAACCATGCCCACCCATGTGCCAGCATACAAGGGAAGTGGTGCCTCTGGTGGTGGGTATGCTCACGTCATCCCCAGCTGTGAGACCAGCTGAGATGTGGCAGGCATGATATCCTGCAGGGGCAGATACATCCCAGCCACCCTAGCAACACCTTGATGCAAAGATCCAGGCTGCTCATCCTGGGTGTGCCGTGCAGTAGCCATCAGCGACAGGTTCTCCTGCCCTGGTCTTCCTGCAGGCAACAGATTACCCATGCAATGCACCTGGGTGCATTGCAGCTCCTGCTCTCACTGTTTCTCTCCACACAGGCGATTGGCCAGCAACATCTGCCAGAAATGACATGTGCTGTCCAGGAGAGCAGCATGGAGCGCCCACAGCTCATTCGTGGCCAGTTGGGATGGGTTTACAAATGGGCAGGAAGGCCAGCCAACAAGCATGACTCCCAGGAGGTCTTCAATGAAGGGGCCAAACTTCATGTATTGCATCGAGATGCCAGTGTCCTTGGTGATATCACCTAGCAGACATCAGCTCTGGCAACAGAGGCTGCAATTTGGGCAGGCATATGAAGCTTGGCAAGCAGTAGCCACTGAACATTCTGCTTGAGCTCCAGCTTTTGAGAGCTGGCTCGGCATGCCAAGCCTACAGCACATAGGTCAGCCAGCCACTGGCCCAGCAGAAGAAGCCAGACTCACCTCGCATGCCCTGTGTTGCAAACATCTCAAAATCCACGGCCAAGTCCTGGACATTCTTCCCCAGCAGGTCTTTGAAAAAGGCCCAGCCCATGTCATTGCCAAAGAAGTGGGGTTGCTGGTAGTCAAACCTGTCCCCCCATACAGCAAATCCCACTATGTGCCTGCAAGTGCAAGCATGAAATGCTTCAACCTTTGATGGAGTCAGCCAGCAAGAAAGCTGGCCTGGTCTAGAAGCTGGCTTACCTCATTCTGGAGTGCCCTGCCAGTAGCCACAGCGTCTGCTTGTCTTCCCCAGTGGTTCACCTGGACCTGCTGTGGTTTCTCTGCCCAATATGCTGCCAGGGCTTGTCTACCTGCCTCAGCACCAGCTGGATCATCCTGGAGGTGAGCCAGGCAGTCCTGCCAATGGTCTTGATGAAGATGCAGGTTAAATGGTGTGCCTGGCCCCAGATCAGCATCCTGGGACATGCTGGCAGTGGGTGCACATACCTTGGGCCTGAAATTCTTCTGTAATCTGGTGAACTGCAACATTTTTCAGGTTGGGAGCTCTCTGGCTCCTAAAGCAAGGCAAGTTCTGCTCACTAATGATGAAGGCCTGCATCTTCTCCACAGATATCCCTGCTTCCTCTGCTGCCTGGTCAATGCTGTCCTGCAGGTTGCAAATGACCTGCTGGCCCAATGAGTGGGCATGGGCATGCTTGGCGCAATTGGCCTGTGTGCATGCAGCCCAGAGAGATGAGGAGGACATGCAGGCAAAGGTTGCTGGAAGACAAGAAAGCCCGACAGCACATGGGGCACAAGTGAGCCAGAGAGAAAGCCACCAGGCTTTGCCACAGGAATCACAACATGCCTGACATGCCTGTGGACTCATGCACATGACACAAAATTCATTGCTGGCATTACAGTACATGGATTATTTTTTTTTGCCATTAGTATAAGTCTGGTGACAGCCTTCCGGCATGAAACAGTCAGTCATAAAGAAATCCAGGAAAAAGTTGTGCCAGCCTATCCACCCAATGTGCATGTCCCATCCAGCAAGCTGGCTCACAACCAGCAGCAAGGAGCCTGCCGGTCAGCTGACTAGAGGCCCAGCATATCCTTACCATCTGCAACACCCACCAGCTTATCAAAGGCCATGCACTGGGCCATGATCCAGGCATTGTCTGTGGACATGCACTTGAACTCCTTGACCAGGCAGGGCACCCGGTAGTCCAGATGCTTGCTGGCAAGGAGAGCCCACACCAACTCATCCAGGCTCCTGTGGCAGGCAGGGGTGAGCTCGAGAACATCAGCAAGGTCATTGATCATGGTTGCCAGCCTGTCAGACAGCATGACTGACTTGGCCAGGTCAATGTTGAAGTGGAAGGCCAGCTTGTGGGCCTGGTCATCACAGAAGCAGGACTTGCAGGGAGTGGGCATTGGGGAGAGCTCATGGGTGAGTCACTCTGTGTGGGCTACATTGGCATTCAGCAAGGCCAGGTGGGGAGTGGCCAGGTTGTCGACCGGGTTGGTCATGTCATGGTTGTGGTTATGCTCCTTGTTCTCCAGGATGTCAAAGGAGGAGAACAGGTCCTCCAGGCCAGCAGTCAGGATCACTGTCCCATGCTCAGCAGCCAGCATGGTGGAACACAGGTGCATGGTGACCAGGTTACAACTGCAGATGGCAACCTTCTTGGTGAACAGGTCATTGAAGTGGTTGAACATGTCAAGCAGCTCAGGATCCCTCCACATCTTGCACAAGCACCAGCTGTATGTTTGAGGCTGGCCCATGCAGCCAGAGTTGGTGCAGGTTGTAAAGACCCAGGTAATCTGGTGCCTGAGGACACAGTCCTGGAAGGTAAGCTGGCCACAAGTCAGCCAGTGAGGACAAGCAGGAAGAGAAGCTGGCTTACATAGTCACACAGCTGCAGGACAAAGTTATGCCAGAAGGCCATCTTGCAGACAATGTTCAGGAAGGCATGACCCCAGTCATGCCAATTCATCCCAGGGCTGTCCAGCCCATCGGTGTGAGAGCCAATCATCCGGAGGGGCATGTGCTTGGCAATGAGGTGCATTTCATCCCAGGTGGGGTCAGTTGGCTTCTCATAGTAGTGGGCTTGTGGCGCAGGGGGCTGGATGTTGTACCTGTGCAGGCTGTTGAGTGGGTAGTAGAGGGCAGGAAAGCCCACCTGGATGCAATTAGCCAGCTATATGCACGCAAAAAGTCAGCTGGTGCACCTTCATGCCAAAGTGTTCTGGCAGACCACCCGCCGCCCCTGAGGCAGCAAAGTGAACACAATCCTTGGTCATATCTAGCCAGAGGTGTCAGCAGGAAGAAAAAGCCAGAGAGAAGAAGACTAACCTTTAAGCATGGTGGTGGCAGGCTCAGTTGCTGCCGGGCCATTGTGGTATGGGTTGTTGCAGATGATGGCAGCCTGAGACTGCATCTCCGCCAGAAGCTGGGAGGCAGGATGGAACGACATGGTGAGACAGTGACCAGAGGCAAGAGACAGTGAGCACAGTAGAAGAGATGGGAGGAGCAAGGCTGGTGATGAGGCCTGGTTCGTCAGCAGGAAAGAGAAAGCAGGCAGGGGGGGGGGGAAAGTAGGCAAGGTGAGCAGGGGCTGGGAGTAGATAAGGTGGGCAGGCAGGGTGGGGAGATGATGGTGGAAGGAAGGAGAAATGGGGGGCAGAATGGTGTGGGGGGCAAGGGTCTTTATACAGCCAGCTCCGTGCCACTCAAATGGTGCCCTTGGCCCACATCCCCGCTTCGTCACCTTCAAAAGCACCCCAGATTTTAAGAAATCACGCTTTTCGTTCCGGAACATTTGGCAGGACCTATTTGCTGACCAATCGCACGCATTTGGGGCGCGAAAGCTTGCCGTCAATCGGCACAAGAGAGCATTTGCCGGCGCATGATCAGCCCAGCATCGCAGCCCCCGCCGAAATGCCGTCAGACGGTTTTCAGCCTGTTTGTAAAAAGAACCGTCCTACTGCGGGTCTCGGCTATGCTGGTGTGTTTTTTCAGAGAGTAAATCGGCCAAATCGACGACCGGCAGTCCGTTTGACGCGCATCCATGCCTGGCATCATCTCGTCATCCTGCCCCGCCTTCCAGGGGAATATGCAAGCTATATGCACGGGGAACAATGGCTGCCATAGTATACACAAGCTGTATACCAAACCAGAATGAAGTCGGGGCAGTTTTGAGTGCTAGGGAGGGGGTTTGAGGTGGGCGTTTGGCGGTCGGGATGGCAGGCAACATGAACCCTTGTCGGGACCGGCAAAATGTCTCGCACACATTCCAGATGATACAGTGCCGGCCATTGTACGCTGCATTTTACAATGCGATCTGGCCTGCCCTGGGCCCATGTAATGAAACATCTGGACCGACCTGGCGGGCCTTAACAAACACCAGCCATTGATTGGGTGTGAGACACACTGGGTCTTGTCCGCCGGCACAAGGTACCAGACCTTGCCACCGGCCGGCGATGCTGAGATGGACTAGCGATGTGCTGACCCCAGCGGGATGTGACATCGGGGCCGATTGGGGAGGAAGCTCGGCCCGACATGCTGTTTCAGAATGCCGGTGACGAGATCCAGGAATCAGGTTCCCGTTATACTAACTACATTTCCGTTTCAAGACTAGATAGCGCCTCAGCAACACGGTCCCAGTCCTCCGCTACATCATCATCCGGGTCGCCTGCCTCTGGTAGGTCTGGGAAGGCTGCAGCTTCCCAGTCGACGGCAACACCTCCACCTGCTTGGGAGGCCCGAGCTTGGGGCCCGGCGCAGCTGCCTGGAGCTACGTTTGGATGTAAGATGCCAGCACGGCTTCCAAGATCAGATTGCCCGGTGAATCCTGGCAAGGCGGTGATCTCCTGCAGGCGGGCCTGGATGCGAGCGTTGCCCTGCAGCCGGCGATCGACATACCGGCGCATGGCAGAAGCCAGGACGGTATCGCCGGCATGTTCAACATTCTGGATACAGGGCTCCATGTACGCGGGCTCATCATGCAGAGCGGTCCACACCCAACGGATCTCTATGTTCAAGCGGTCCAATTCTTGTTCAGCACACTGGACGAGCTTCCATTTCCGAACCACCTCCCGGACTCGAGGATCGGCCCACCGTTGGGCCCGGATGTCGTCGCGAGCAAAGCGTAGCAGGGAAAAGTCAGCCAGATTAGCATAGTCTAGCACTTCCTCTGTATGCAAGACGGGCCGGGGCGGGCGCAAGCTGCTGGCCAGCTTGTTGTAGCGGGCCAATGAACTTTGGATTGCCTTGCTGCGGGCATTGAGTGCCCGGGCAATGGCAGTTTGCATAGCATAGCCTGTCCTGTATTAGCCGGAGAGCATAACGGGAAGGGACAGCCATACCGGTACCCCTCATGGACAACTTCTCCAGCTCAAAGATGCACTGAACAACGAGTGTTTCCAGCTCATCCAGCACACCATGGTACTCCCGCAGTTGGCTGGCCGCCTCGTACTGCTGCCACAATGGATGCTCCAGCGTCCATGGGTTGGTCCTGAGCTCAGCTTCGTAGTGGCTTGCCAAGGCCTCATATTCATGGATGGCATGCAAGACCCGGTTGTAGTCCCGTTGGAGCATGCGGGCCCATTGCTGTTGCTGGTCTTCGGGCACGGGCCACGAGTCTGGCGTGAAGACCACAAACTCGTGGTACTGCATTTGATCCAGCTTGCACCTGCGAGAGCTTTGAGCCGGGGGCTGTGGAGTGGGGTAGGCGGGGACCGAACCTTTCAGCATGCAACAGCTGAAGAGTTTCCAGGTATTGGAAAGCCAGCTGGTCAATGGCCGGCTCTTCCTGCCGGCTGTCAAAATACCGGCATTCTTCTTGCAGAAAGCTCGCCAGATCCATCGTGGTCAGGCCGAGCTGAGACAGCAGCGACTGCAGGGTGGGATAGGTGCATTGCAGGATGTCGAGTGCCTGCCGATAGTTATTGAGGAGAAAGTCCGCTGGCAAGAAATGAGCCGGGAGGGGTCATCCGGGAGAGAAGTACGCATGTAGAAGAGCCCGACGATCTCAATCCCACCGCTGGTAAAAAAAATGCATTGTCTGGTGTGGGTGATAGCGGGATGCATGCCGGAATAGATGCGCAGTGAGGTTTTGTTTTGTGAACACCTATTCGCAGGTCTCAAAATCCTCCAACCTGGCGCTAGCAAGCAGCCGGCGGTGGAAGTCCAGCTGGCATCACCGGTTGTGGGTGTAGCCGTGGAAAGCGCCCACAAAGAATTGCATACTGCCTTGCTGGACTTTCGTGCCGATAGAGCTACGGCGCACTGTCACGGAGTTGGTGCAGCCGATATCATACCCAAAGGCCAGGCCAGGCCCAAAAGTGTCAAGGCACCGATCCAGGACTGCAAGCGAGTATTTGGATCTGGCAAGTGTCAGCAGGCTGACCAGAGCTGGAAAAGAGGCCGGCACCAACAGCTCGCCGCTCCTGATCATGTCGACAGACCAGAGGATGAAGGCGTGCCGACACACTGCCAGGAAATGGCCGGTTTCTTCAAACGCCTGCCGGAATGTGCCAGCATCATCTCTGGCTTGAGCCGCCTTCCACTTGCTTGCACATTGGGCCAGCTGTTCATCTGCCGGTTGGCCCGGCAACCTGTCGCTGGCACCGTCATCTGCTTGCTTGTCATGTAGACCGGATGTTGGATCGGCGAGTCCAGCCGCCCTTCTCGAGCCGGCATCGCGGGGGTAGGCATTCACGATTTGCGGCGGGATAATATAGTCGGTCTCGAATGTCCGTTCATCTTGATGGCCAGCACTCCGGAATTGTTTCGACGAGTTATTGCCATCCCCGCAAAAAAGCATGCTGTGCGGGAGTGGGTCCTCACCGTCCAGCTATACGAGCATGAGTGGGAGGCCGGGTAAGAAGTCACGGCGCTGACCTTGTACTGGCAGGTGGGGCAGGAGTTGCGAGCCCGCCAGTCCGGCTCATGCTGCCGGAAAGCCTGTGCGAGGAGTCGTTCCACGCTCTGCAGCAGCCGGACGTAAATGTCATAGGCCTGTGAGAGCTGCTGGCGAAAACTCCGTATGTAAACGACCTGCAGAAGAAATGAGCAGTAGATGATCGTTCTGGCTATACTGCTTACCCCATGCAAATCACAAAGTGTCCTGGCCCAGCCTTCATGTGAGATGTAAGCCCATAGACAGGCATGGTGGTACACCTCCAGGACATCCAATGACAGGGCCAGGCGCGGTAATTCTGGGGAGCAGGGCAGATACCCCGCACAAATAATTGCCCGGATGGGATGAGACGGCTGGCTTTGACCTGCGCGCGGAAATGCCCGTATACCGATTCCTGTGAACGACGACCAGCCAAGTTAAGGGAGGAGCAGGCAATCATACCTTGCCAATCCACGGCCCGAAGGTAGTAGCGGGCTGTTTCCGTGCTCCCCCCCCCCGGCATCTTCTGCCGGTTTGGGTGTGCTGCTTGCCTCGTGAACCCGGGACTCCTGCCAGTGCAGGAAGTCTCAGACAAGCTCCGGCAACAGGGCATCCCAAGCAGCATGCTGCTGAGCCAGCCGCTGTGCGTGCATTCCACGGCCAGGGAGATGTCTGGTTCTTATCCCTCTGTGTAAACTAGTTATGGCATGGAAAAGGGTGAGCTGATGGGGAATGCTTACCGGATTTCATCCCACGCCTCCAGGATGGGGTTCCTGCCATCTGGCCCCTCCATCTCAACATCTTCCCAAGGCCCGGTCCCGTGCACCCCACCTTTGTGTTCCTGCACCTGCCATTCCTGCTGGACAAACTGGGCGGCGGCAGCTTCATGCGGATCAGCTGGCTGGGAATCAGCAATGTTGCGACGCGCCAGTGTGAAACTGACCGGCAAAGTGATCCCAGCAGGCTGCGTTGACTTGCCTTGCACGCTCATCGAGGCCGGAGATGTTGTAGATGCCATGGTGGCTTGCGGTGTCTGTTTCCGGCTGTGACTCAGCTGCCAGAGCAGCTCGCCACTGTTCCAGCCGTTCAGCAAGGGTGGTGCGCTCCCGGTTCCTGCGAGCAGCCAAGTGAGCCGGCGTAGGGTGCAAAACCGGCGCAATAATCAGGCGGACATGGCGGGAAGTGGAGCCCATCCGTTTTGATGGTCCAGGAGGAGATGCGGTGGCGGACAGAGGTGGCATCCAGGACAAGAGCGAAGGCAGCGAGAACCGTCACGCCGGCCCGTCATTACACGAAGACCCTGGATATGCCGGCGCCAGGGGTATTATGATAAACATCCGGCGGTCAACCGCTGGACTCTTCCTTCCCGGCTAATCCCTCTAACTAGAGCGCGAGCCAGGGCCCGGCCTTCTCTCTACTTAGAGCCGGAAGCTGGGCGTCACAAGCGCTTGCGTGTCTATTTTTCCCATGACGCGACCCCGTTGCATCGTGTCTTTCGGGGATAAGGACCAATCCGCATTCTGGCTCTTGAAAAACGCCCTTCCAACACAACATGGTCATGCAGAATCTAGTCATTGTACCTGTTTGATTGGCTAAATTGAATATCGACGGCAGTTGAAGGAGCGAACCTGACGGCGATCTTCCCGGAGCAATCTCACCGCCATATGTCTTGAAAAACAGGAAGTATAACTTTTCACATATTACTGGCAGGGAGCTTCAACCTTCCACATTTCTGAAGTCTTTTGTCTTTTAGGCTGGCAACGACCGTGCCATCTCTGTTCAACCTCACCAGAAATTTTAGACGGAGCTTCAAATACAGTAAGTGCTGAGTCAACCGCTACAATACCGGAGTCAATGACTCTCCCTTTCCCACCACCGCAACAGCAGGGTAAATGATTCGAGAAGCATCTTCATGCACTGAACAGCGGTGTCAAGCTTTGATGATTGCCCGAACGCGCGCCCTTTGCATAGGCTTTCAACTTCAGTGAGGATATCCGCTGGTGACGGAAAGGAGCGAACACGTGTCGGGCAGCTCAGTTTCGGGAGTTTCGCAACAAGATATCGAACGCGGTATCAAGGAAACGCAAGGAGGTTAATGTATGCCTGAGATGGGGGCATCTTGATTCTGCGAAGGTGAGAGGTTTTGTGCTGGATCTGGAATCGAAGGCCGGTCGAAGGAAATCCTAGCAGATCGGAGCTCCCAAGCGGCAGCATAGACGTCAGCTACGCGCAGCTATTGTTTAGTGAAGAGTGCTCCTCTGGTTGCGCTGAGTCAGCATGGGGTCGGATAAGATGAACTTTACGCCATCTGAAAGACAAGGAGGTGTATGTGTGTATTGACTGGTTGAGAGCGCAAAATTTGGACGTCCCTCCAGCCACGTAAAGTGATATGACACTCCATAGAAATAGATATATGGGTGAGTGGATAAAGTGGGCAAACCCAGGCTGACAAGCCAAAAAGACGGTCAGATGGTTTGATCAATACTAGGCGAGACCCTCCGAAGCTGTTCCATAGTCTCATTCCAGATCCGATCTTGGAGCACTTTGCTTTCTGAGCCCGTAACGACGTCGGAATACCTGGACCACCTCGTTAATACGAGAACGTTATAAGACAGGATAGACTAACGGGGTCTGCTTCATCTTGTGATACCATAGTCCATGGCTCTCCTTGCCGACGTTGGCCACCGCATTCATGTAGCAGCCAGCGCCCCTCTCAACCGGGTTCGCTGTTGCAGCTTGCCACACCCACATGGCGGGCACAAACCACCAGGGAATGCTGCGCAGGAGCTGGGTCTTGATCATTCCAGGGCAGACATCGTTGATGACGACCTTGTCGCTGCTGACCTTTTGGGACAGCTCGCGGAGGAATAGGATGATCAGGAGCTTGCTCAGGCCATACCGCGCCAGGCTGCCAGAAAACGTCTTCTCGTCATTCAAAGAAGCCAAGTATTTGAGGTTATCTGGCGGGCAGTGCTTGAGCCCTGCGTCCAGGTGCGTCGAGCTGGAGACGATTGTCAGCCTGGCGGTATGCTCGGGTGTCGTGCTGCGTTCGAGGAGAGGCAGAAGAAGAAGTGCGAGAAGTGCAGTCGACAGATGATTCACTTGGATGGTCATCTCATTACCGGTCGGTGCGAGTCCAAAAGCGATACTGAGCAGACCTGCATTCAGGATACCAATGTCGAGTCCTTCTCCAGCGATCTGCCTATCGTCAAGGAACTTTTTGGCAAAAGAGGTGACACCATCCCACTTGGACATCTCGAGCGCATACACCTGAACGATCGCATTCGGATTCTTCTTCTTTACTTCGGAGTCGGCGAGCAGCTCGTCACGCGTCACATTGCCCTTCTCAACGGTACGCGCAGTTATGTACACAGGGGAGGCGCCCAATCGTAATGCTAGGCGCGCTGACTCGAAACCGAGTCCGGAATTAGCGCCGGTGATGAGCAACGACCTTCCTTGAAGAGTCGTTTTGGGTGACAGTGGAGGGATAGACATGCTGAAGGAAGAAGTGATGTCATTCTTTGTCTAGGGGTACGCGCTTATATAGGTCGTTGGCAAGGATAATCCAAGAGCGCAGAAGGTCTGACGTACACGCGTTCGAAGTTGCCGAAGATCTTCAGGATATGGGATTGACTTGATGCTCAGTCATCTTCCGCAATCAAATATTGAAGAATCGGAACGTCCATGGGAACTTCTTAATAAATAATGCTTGCGCGTCCCTCTCTCCATGACGCGACCCATTGAATGTCGGGCAAGGGTCCATTTCGGCAGAATACATGAATGGCATTCCGGCATGTGAAAAGGCATGACGCGTCCAACATAACACGGCCACATGGAATTCGGCCCTTGCCCCTGTTTGAGAAAGTTAATGGGCATATACTAATGCTCAAAGAGAGCGAACCTAACAGCGATCTTCCCGGAACAACTTCACTGGTATAGCATAGAAAACAGAAAGCATGTCAGCAGCGGGGAGCCCGGTCACTTCCTCAACAGCCCAAAGTACCATGAAGAGAGTGCTCTGGTTGTGCTCCTTTGGCTGTGTAGAGTCAAGACTGGGTTGCAATAAGAACCTCATTCAAAAACGGAGTGATATATTGTATATTGACCGAGTGAGAATGAAACATTGGCTCGTTAACCAAGTCACGTGAAAACCGACATGACTACCCGGACAATTCGAGAAGGTGCATAGGACCGCATTGACAAGTCAAGAAGGCGTTCAAATGTTTTTGTCAACACCAGGTGAGATCTTCCGAAGCTGTTCCATGGTCTCACCCCAGATTCGCTCTCGGAGTACCTTGCTTTCAGGACCGGTAACGACATCTGAATAACTAAGCCACTTGGTCAGGATGTTGCTTTTCGATATAACCGAGCGTACTGACGAGGTCAACATCATGCGTTGATACCATAGCCCATGGCTTTCAGGACCAACATTCGCGACAGCTGCAATGTAGCATTGTGCGCCCTTCTCGACCGGGTTCCCGGAGGTGAACTTCCACGCCCAGATAACAAGCACCATAATCCACGGCACTTTGCGATCGAGGCTTGTGTTGATCATACCCGGGCAGACATTATTGATGATCACCTTGTCGCTGCTGATCTTCTCACAGAGATCACGGAGGAAAAGAATGAGCAGAAGCTGGCTTAGTCCATATCGGTTCATCGCGCTGAAAGTCTTCTTCGCGTTAAGGGAAGTGAGGTAGTTGACATCGTTGGGCGGAGGATGCTTCAGCGATGTGCTCTTGTGCGAACCGCTCGTTATGAATGTGAGTCGCGCAGTGTGCTCCGTCGTTATACTCTTCTTCAAGAGAGGCAATAGTAGCAGAGACAGAAGCGCGGTCGATAAGTAGTTGACTTGTAACACCATCTCGTTTCCGGTCGGAGCGAGCTCATGTTCCAGATTGGCCATACCGGCATTCAAGATCGCGATGTCGAGTGCTTCGCTCGCAGCCTGCCTGTCGTCAAGGAACTTCTTTGCGAAAGAAGTGACACCGTCCCACTTGGACATCTCGAGTTCATACACTTTGACGATCGCGCGTGGATTCTTCTTCTTGACCAAAGGATCGGCAAGCAGTTCATCGCGTGCTTTCTTTCCTTTCTCCGCCGAGCGACAGGTGATATACAAAGGAGAGGCTCCGAGCTGAAGAGCAAGGAGTGCTGCAGAGAATCCCAGGCCTACGTTGGCGCCAGTGATGAGCACAGAGCGCCCTTGAAGAGTGGTGTTGGGAGGTAGGGCAGTAATAGACATGTTGTACTGCTTGAACGGATTCGCTGTTCATCGCATCCTATTTAAGTCTTTCGACCAGCTGATATCGCCCGCGTGCGTTGGGCATTGACAGAACCCAGCAGTCGTCGTCGGCATAGACAAACGCGTCCCATCCGCACGTCCATCCGGACGAAGCATCCGTGTGATAGTAGAACTTTCATCAAGACAGAACAGCTCAGATGTGAAGAAGCAGAGCAAAGACGCATGGATGTTGGTTGTCCATGGTTGTACCTCCACCTTTCAAGTTGTTGGAAGACGCGGAGGCATTTAACTATCACAGCCACATTCCCATTAACTTTTAACGGGGACGCGTCATCTCACGTGATCCAATGCGCGGTGGAACTTCTCACGCAAACAGGTGGATCTGTTTCACGATCTCCAGAGCTTCTCCAAGCCTTCTAAGAGCATTGGATCAAGAATCCGCAATTGCGCGTTTTTCACGATGACGTAAGAACAAAATGATAGAAAAGCAGTATCGCCCAGAGTCTCACACAGGAGAACAGTATCACAGATCGCTATCCGCTGAACATGATGAGCATTCGAGCATTACTCATGCAATCACCCGACAAACAACACCCGCTTTCAGATGGCTGTACCAACACCAGGGCAGACTGTCTGAAGTTGTTTCACAGTCTCATCCCAGATCCGCTGTTGGAGCTTCTTGCTCTCGGTGCCTGTGACGACCTCGGAATAACTGAGGCACGTCATTAGAATGTTATTACCCACTAGAGCCAGGGTACTTACGGCGTCAATTTCATGCGCTGATACCATTGCCCGTGACTCTCTGGGCCCACACTCGCAACAGCGGCAATATAGCATGTTGCTCCCTTCTCGACCGAGTTACCCGCGGTGAACTTCATTAGCTGGACAAAGGGCGCTATCACCCACGGAAGATTGCGTTCCAGCTTGGTCTGAATCAACCCGGGGCAGGCGTTGTTAATGATGACTTTATCGGTTCCGACCTTCTCGCATAAATGGCGAAGGAAGAGGATGACCAGAAGCTTGGTCAGGCCATACCGGTCACTTGCACCGAAAGTCTTTTTATCGTTCAGGGAAGCGAGATAATTGACATCGTCGGGAGGACAATGTTTGAGCGATGTGTTCATGTGCATGCCGCTCGTAATGAATGTAAGTCGTGCGGTGTGTTCCGAGGTAGTACTCTTCTCCAAGAGAGGAAGCAATAGTAGAGAGAGAAGTGCGGTCGACAAGTAGGTCACTTGTAACAGCATCTCATTTCCAGTCGGGGCGACTTCGTATGCGATACTAAACATAGCGGCGTTCAATATGGCAATATCGAGTCCCTCGCCGGCTTTGTGGCGATCGTCAAGGAACTTCTCCGCAAATGAGGTGACACCATCCCACTTAGACATCTCGAGTTCGTACACTTTGACAATAGCCCGTGGATTCTTCTTCCTGACCACAGGGTCGGCGAGTAGATCATCGCGTGCCTTGTTGCCCTTCTCCGCTGACCGGCATGTTATATACAGAGGAGAGGCGCCGAGCTGGAGAGCAAGGAGCGCTGCCGAGAATCCGAGACCTACATTGGCCCCAGTTATGAGCACGGAGCGGCCCTGGAGGGTAGTATCAAGAGGTAGGGGAGGAATCGACATGTCGTTCGTTGTTTCTCAGTCTATTTGCACACCGATTTGGGCTATATAGCTCTTGTTGTAAGTCGGTCCATCATCAGAAGGTCTCAGGTACAGGGAAGCAACGTTATCGGCAGAGGCGGACGTGTCCCAGCCGCAGATGTGCCCATCGTTGCAGACTCGTATATCAGCTAAGGCTGACCAAGCGTTGGTGCTAGAACCTTCATCGAAGTAGAAAAGCTGACGAATGAAGCAGAGAAGACCCTGATGTTTGATGCGAATTCCCACGGCCAGTCCAGCATCACGTGATTCTCATACCAAGCACCCCGATCACACGATGATCGTTCCGATCATGAACCTTGATCACCCAATCTGGGAGGTATTTCCTCTGATTCCTTACCTGAAAAACGATACCGCGACAGTTCAACCAAATGAATGAGACGGATCTATACAGAAAACAAACCAACTGATATAACAATGCGTTCAGATGTTTGTGTCAGCACCAGGCGACACCTTTTGAAACAACTCGACAGTTTCACGCCAAATCCGCTCTTGGATCTTCTTGCCTTCCGGTCCCGTAACAACGTCAGAATACCTGGATCTCCTCGTCAGAAGGTTGCTAAGCACTAGAAGCTGCATACTCACGGCTTTAGCCGCATGAGCTGATACCATAGCCCATGACTTTCCGGCCCGACACTTGCGACAGCCGCAATGTAGCATTCTGCTCCCTTTTCAACCGTGTTGCCCACGGTCGTCTTGAACAATCCGACGATAGGTGCTATTATCCACGGCAACTTGCGTTCCAGCCTTGTCTGGATGATGCCAGGACAAACGTTGTTGATGATGATCTTGTCGCTGCTGATATTGTCGCATATATGGCGGAGGAAGAGAACAACTAGGAGCTTGCTGAGGCCATACCGGTCCAATACGCCGAAAGTGTTCTTTGCGTTGAGGGAAGCAAGGTAGTTGACATCTTCGGGAGGACAATGTTTGAGCGGCGTAAATAACTGCCTGCCGCTCGTTATGAATGTGAGTCGTGCGGTGTGCTCTGCCGTTGTGCTCTTTTTCAATAGAGGCAGTAAGAACAGAGAGAGGAGCGCGGTCGACAAGTAGTTGACCTGTAGCACCATTTCATTTCCGGTCGGGGCGACTTCGTACTTTAGGTTGACGATAGCAGCATTCAAGATAGCGACGTCCAGTCCCTCGCCAGCGACCTCACGATCGTCGAGAAACTTCTTGGCAAACGAGGTTACGCCATCCCATGTCAACATCTCGAGCTCGTATGCCTTGACAATGGCATGCGGATTCTTCTCCTTGACCAGTGGATCGGCGACGAGCTCATCACGTGCCTTGTTGCCCTTCTCCGCTGATCGACAGGTGATATAAACAGGAGAGGCACCAAGTTGGAGAGCGAGCAGTGCTGCCGAGAATCCGAGACCGACGTTGGCACCGGTGACTAGTACCGAGCGGCCCTGGAGGGTAGTATCAAGAGAAAGGGGAGGTATAGACATAGTGGAAGGTATTGATGAACATATTCCCTGTCCAGGAGCCGCTATTTAGCTGATGTTGTCAGTAGAGCAACAATACATTTGCTGGCGCCAGAGAACGCGTTTCAGCTGCCCGGTAGATCGTACGGCATTTCGTAAGGATGCTAGCAGCTTGTGAAAGTGGCTCCTTTGTCATCGTGTGTGTTTGCCTGACGTGACCAGCACAGGAATGATTCCACTAACGTCATCACATCCCGATCACTGGAAGATCGGTTCGGAGATCTGACAAAGTAATTGAGGCTGGAATCCTGATCATGACAACAAATAGGCCCGGTTAGGACTCGGTCAGGACTCACAAACGAGTCAACCCGGTGAGGAATTATAAATGCCACAGAGCATTAAGGCGGCGATGCTCACTCAAAACTAAGGAACTGTCATGCAATTAATGGAGGGGATAAGATCCACATCAATGCGAGTAGTGAATGAAAGAATACGCTGATCGGCGATTCATATATTCGAACTCACGCCGGGCACAACTTGCTCCAGCTGCTGTAGCGTCTCGGTCCAGATCTTGTCCTGCATCTTCTTCCCTTCGTCGCTTAGCAGGAAATCTCCATAGCTAGAATATGAAGTATTAGACCATGTAAGACGTAGCATACAGCGTACTCACGGAGTCAACACCATGCGTCTATACCATAGCCCGTGACTCTCCTTTCCAACGCACGTCACGCCATGGATATAGCACGCCGCACCTCGCTCCACGGGGTTTGCTTGACCAAGAAAGAGAAGATACAAGACAGGACGGAGGAAGACCGGAAGCTCTCGCGCCAGGTTCGTCCTGATCAGACCGGGACAGACGTTGTTGATGATAACCCTGTCGCTGCTGACCTTTGTGGCGAGCACGCGGAGGAAGAAGATCACTAGCATCTTGCTCAGTCCGTAGCGGGTCATGCTAGCGAAATTCTTCACGTCGTTAAGAGAGGTGAGGTAATTGTCGTCGGAGGGACATTCTGTGAGCGTGCTTGAAGCCTGCCGGTGCTGGCCACTGGAGACGATCATGAGTCGTGCGGTGTGCTTGGGAATCGTGCTAGCCTCGAGGATAGACAAGAGAAGAAGAGAAAGAAGGGCCGTCGACAGGTGGTTGACTTGGACTGTCAGCTCATTCCCAGTTGGTGCAAGCTCGAAGCGCATGTGGTATAACCCAGCATTGAGCATGGCGATATCCAGACCTTCACCAGCTGCATGACGATCACCGATGAACTTCTCAGCGAAGGACTTGACGCTGTCCCAACGAGCCATATCGAGCTCGTAAACTTTGACGATCGCCTTTGAGTTCTTCTTCCGAACAACCGGGTCGGCAAGCATCGCAGTCCGCGCCTCGTGACCTTTCTTCAAGTTGCGAACAGCAAGATACACGGGAGATGCACCTAGCTGGAGTGACAGGAGGGCGGCATGATATCCCAGTCCTTGGTTGGAGCCGGTGACGAGGACGGAAAGTCCTTGGAGTGTGGTGTTGGCTGGTAGGTCGGGAATCCTGTTAGAAGCCATACCGGGATGTTTAGTTCACTTGACTGAGGACCGTGCACGCGGTTCATGCTCGTTTATATAAGACATAAAGTGCTGTTGCAGTCCTCGTACGAGCGCATTTCCAACCGAGAGGTAACGACACCAGTAGATGTTCCATGACCCTCTAAAAGTGGAAAGCTCGAGTTGGACCGTTATCATCCCAGTGAGAGCGGGACCAGTGGTTGCTCCATGAGTCGCCGAAAAAGGCAAGCTCGAGTTCAGAGGATGTGTGTAAAGAATCCACGAAAAAACCTCGCGTTCCGCCACTTTTTCGGAGGCGAGCTCTACTCCGGTCCAATCACATCGCTCAACCCAGCGTGGACGTGCCTTGAGATGGGCGGATCAGCCAAATATGCCATGTCTTTGCAGAACGTAGGATGATAGATGTATGAGGAAAGGATAACATAGCCTCGTCTCGTGCTACCGTCTGGCTAACTGCAGACATCGATATCCCTTCTCAAATACCCCGCACACTTTCCACGCAGGGACACCCGCTGCTACAGCTCTTCTTCCCCAGGATGACACCTCTGGAAGATAGCCACATGCAGCCTCAGCTGTCTTGATACGACGATCCGTCCAAGAGATGGGTGTCGCAACTAGAACTTCGCGAGAACCACTGATATGCACTAGGGAACGACAAGCCTGACTTCGTCCACCGTGAATACGGATACGACCGGATGGAGAAATGCCGGATTGTCTCGCGCGCGGCTGTCATGGGTGCTGGTCTTCAATTGCAGCTTTCCTGTTCTTTCACCCCAGCATCGCAGACATAACATTGGCATATGTTGAGATGAGACAATCCTAAAGGAGGGAATCTAGAGTTGAGACTTCAACGCCAAACACAAGAACGTAAGCAAGAAACGTTGCAGACCCTAAAGGTGTGTGGCACTTGTTCGGAAGCGATATCAACTCCGGCGGGTCAATCGCACTCGAGGACCACGAACACCCGAAACGCTTCTCTCACTGCTCCTGTTGCTTTTCTGATTCCTCTCCTAATACAAGTTCGATCTGTGTCGTGCGTGTTGTTGAGAACGTTGATTTGCAGACAATGTCAACCTCGAATGCCTCTTCTGGGTGCGTAGGAGTCTGGAGTGTCGATTTGTCTCTCTGCGACCACATGCACAAGAACATGATATTCCTACAGATGGGACTAGTGCTCAGAGCAGCAAACCTTCTAAGGTCAAGAAGCACAAACACCGCCGATGATCAGCTCGGAGGATAGAGCGGGACGGCGGGAGCTCGGCGCCTATCTCGCATTTGCCCTGCTGCGAAGTTATACTTGCACCGCCCTTTCAGTTGAACACGAGCGCGAGCATATGTTTTGGGGAATGCACGGGTGATGCGACTGTAAAAATAAGAACAGACGCATGTGGAGTGATGGTGTAATTGATGGATTAAGGCTAGAGTTGATGCGATCTTATCCGACAAAGAACCATCAAAGGTGTATAATACATTCATGTAATATAAATGATGTAATGTACTGACAGGTGAAATGAATGTTCTCCAAATGCGGCGGTCAATTCGAATAGCCTAATGACGTAGAGTGGGTGAGTTAGGATCGCGTGTGCTCCCTGGTGAGAAACGACCATCTGGTCGTACCCTCGCCTCCAACTCTCCTCTACAACCTACCAGCTTTACCTTACCCTCGTCAACGCATATACTCGCGATGGATCTACCGAACCGCTTTTCTCCGCGATGGTGCACATCGTGCTACTGCGCATAATGACGACTCGCACAGACATGTCCGGGTATCGGACATGAAGCATCTACTGTGCTCCGATGATGACTTCTGCGAGGCGGGCGGAAAAAGAAGATAGTCAGGAGCATATAGTATAAATAGGTCGAGCAGGACTTGGTCACCCACTGTCGAATTGTACATCCAATTGTCGAAGTAATCAATGTACGCCATGTTCATCTCCATGCTCTTCATCGCTCTCTTCCTGGGCAGTACGTCCATTACTCTCTTGAATGCTGCACGATCCTAACCCTTAATACAGACGCCCTTGCTCAGACTCTCCCTCCTAACGTCTCCATCCCCACAGGTTACGGACCGACGTACCACACATGCCCGTCAAACGTGAGCTTCCTCCGACCGGCAACCGTACGCCCTCTCCCTCGCCATCGTATCCTCACACCACTCACTTCTCCCAGAACCTGAACCCAGCCGAATCCGCCTGGGTTTCAGAGCGCAAATCCGTCGTTCTATCCTCCCTCTCGTCCTACCTCTCCCGGCTCGACCTGCATGACTTCCCCCTCGAAAGGTACCTCTCCTCCCTCTCGCACAATAGTGCCTACATCCCTACGCTCTCCCTCGCCATCTCCGGCGGCGCCGCCCCAGCCACATGGACAGGCATGGGCGTCATGCAAGCCCTGGATGACCGTTTCCCCCCTTCCGTGGCGCAGAAAACTGGCGGGCTGCTCCAGAGCCTGACGTATATCGCCGGTCTATCCGGGGGTAGCTTCCCAGTCATCAGTTACGCAGTGTCTGATTTCCCCACCACGGCGGATATCGTAATTCAATACGACCCTATGGTGAACCCGCTCTCCCCGACTGGGGCAAGCGGAGAGGCGCTGTATGACGAAGAGGTGTTTCTCGAGATTGGAGAGAAACTCCAGGCGGGCTTCCCTGTTAGTCTAGCAGATTTTCTCGGTATGTGCCCCTCACTTCCTTGCATTATAACCAAAGACTGATGTGCCTTAGCACGCGTCTACTCCTACGAATTCATCCCCGGCCCAGGAGCGGGGATCAACACCACTTGGTCCGGGGTGACCCAGCTCCCGCGGTTCGAGAACCACACTATGCCTCTGCCTATTCTCGAGTTTGTGATAGTCTCCTCCGATGCGCCGGCCTTTTATGTCGGGGACGTGCCGATCCTTATCCCCCAGGCGAACTCCACGCTCGTGAGTGTCTCCGCTCTCGGTCCTGGCCTACGCGGACAGGACAGCCGGGCTAGGAAGAGCTAATAATGAGATTGTAGGTTGAGGTAAGCCCCTTCGAGTGGGGATCGTGGCAAGGCCCCCGCACGGGGTTCACACCTACCAAGTACCTCGGTACTGTGCTCCTTAACGGTCAGCCAGTCAACACGAGCCGCTGCGTGAACGGGTTCGATAACGCCGGGTATGTCTTCCATCGCCCCTCCCCTGGCATGAGCTCATGCGCTGCAGGTTCATGCTCGCTACGGCTTCGTGTGCCTGGAATTTGTGGTATGTGATTGACGCTACCAACGGGACAGGGCCGAACTTCGCCAAACGTGGCTTGGTCCTTTCCAGCCGGGACGCCTACGTCCCTCCTGTAGGAAAACGTTCCCTGCTAAGCGCCGCTCCCGAAGCACACGCACTCTCAAAGCGCAAGACGATCTTCTTCCCCGAAGCAGAGTTCGACCTCCTCCTCTCAGCGTACAACACCTCGTTCAACGCAACCATCCCCTCGATTCTCACCGCGCCCTACCCGAACCCCTTCTTCGGGATAAACAACGACAGCGAGCCGTACTTGTCCGTAGTCGACGGGTCCGAGTCGGGCCAGACGATCCCCCTAGCAGGGGTGATGCAGCCTGTGCGCAAACCCGACTTCATCATCGCTTATGACGTGAGCCAGGAGACGACCTATGGCTGGCAGAACGGGACCAACTTGATCGACAGTGCTCTCTGGGCTAAGGGGTTCGACATCCCCTTCCCGAAGATTGCGAGTGCGACTACGATGCTCAACAGAGGGTATACGCTCCGGCCGACGTTGTTCGGCTGCAAGAACGCCAGTGTGCCACTACTGTTGTACCTTAATAATGCGCCCTATTCCGCATACACCAACTTCTCGATCATCGACAACCAGCTCGACCCGCCTCAGGTAACGGACATTCTGACAAACTCGTTCAACATCGTCACCCAGGGGAACGGCACGCTCGGCAAGGACTGGGCAGAGTGTCTGGGGGTTCGTCCCTTCTTTCAGCATATGCATATATGCATGCGTGAACTGACGACATCATTGTGCTATAGTGCGCTGCGATCCAGCGATCTGTTGAGCGCCTCGGATGGAAGACGACCCCTCAGTGCGAGCAGTGCTTTGCCGAGTATTGTTGGAACGAGGTGGACGATCAGGAGCTGCACCACGGTTTGCAGGTGTTCAATCCGTCTCTGCTGTTGGAGCCTCGCCTTTCCTTTGCAGCGTGGAATCAGACCCATCAGTACTTCTACACCAACGGCACCGTTTAGTGAGATGTTCCATCTCGACACGCGTGCTCAAGGGGTAGTCAATGAATGAAATGACGTTGTGGATCACACGGTACGAATCATGCGGCCAATATATCATACTAGTCCAATCGCCCGGACTACCAAAGGAACGCAAAGAACTAAGTATCTGGTATGTCATGTTGATACACAATGAAAAAGAGTAGACAGGAAGTAGTAAGGTGAGTCAGATTCGCAGCTAGAAATAAACCTCTATAAGGGGCATCACAGTCATAACATGCCCAGTGCGTTTGTGAGCGAGCATTAGGGAAAGGGGACACAAATACACGTCAACAACAATATTCGGACGTCTAGAATTGTCTCCCACAACTACACAGAAAGTTCAACCCGGAAAACCAAGCAAATCAGAAGGAGGGGAGGATACTTGGTACACCATTCCGATTCCGGACATGATACACTCGTGATTTCAGCTTTCAGCCGAGGAGGTTCGCATCGGAAGATCTCCTCTGGCGCTTCATAGACATTCCACCGGTATTAGCGCTGCCCGGCTTATTGGGAGCGAGTGTCCTGGCGCTGCTGGAGCCAAGACTGGCGGAGAGCGAACCAGGGAGACTGCTCCGCTTTGCATGAGAAGAGGCGATTCGAACCGCGCCAGGTGCGTTGCTGGAGCCTGCTTTCCGTGTAGCAGACCCACCCGGTTGGCCAGAAGTGCGATTCCTGGTCTCTTGTTAGCGAAGAATGGGGAATATTGGCAGGTACTGACCTCTTCTTGATAACATCCGTCTTGAGAGACAAGGGCCTAACAACCCCGTGCAGCTTCTGTAACATCGTCAATATCGACCTAAATCAACACGAATAACACGTACGAAGAACAAGCCACAAGCGTTACACAGCGGGTTCCCCTCCGCATCTCTCCTCCAGAGCGGGGTGTTCGTCGTCTGACAATTGGTGCAGACCGTCGGCAGCCCATCACCATCGTCGCCCGCACTCGATCCCGTCGTCACGGCCGAAGCGGGGCTCTTGGCCGGTTCGGCAGAGCTCGACTTCTTAGGCGCTACGAACGGCGCACCGGGTTTCTTTTGCGAGGACTTGCTGGTCGACCCGACCGCCTCGACGACACGTTTCGAGCTGGCGATCTTGCGAGTTTGGACTTGCACTCCAGCGCGGTGGGCTGCCTTACCCAGCGCTTGAGCTAGACGGCTAGGCGCAGGGACGGAAGATGAGTACGACCCAACTGGTTCGGGGGAAGGGGTGGAAGTAGTGTTGAGGCCTGTTCCCCAACCGTCACTTGGCGGGCTGGTCTGGTAAGCTCCTCCACTGCTGCCCACGCTACCGCTGTAAGCGACCGGGGAGTGGTTGGCAAGGATCTGAGTTGGGTCGACATGCGTGTAATGTGTCTGGGAAGGATCTTCCATGCCCACCCCGGGATAGAAGAGGGACAACATCCCCTGCTGCTCGCTGGTGAAGCCCGTCATACCGGCGTGGAAAGGTGACGGATGGACGGGCGAGATCGGGGATGCCGAGGCGGTCGTCATGCGCGCAACACCGTCAATAAGGGCGTTGGTCGCGGTAGAAGCGCTGCCGACATCAATATGCTCGAGCGTGGTCGGAAGCGGGACGAATCCGGTAGAAGGTGACGAAGTATACGACACCGGGGCGCTAAATGACGTGCGCAAGGCGTGCGATTGCATATCTGTTGGCGTGACGGGTGACATAAGGTCCGCGGCGTGCATGTCAAACATTCCCTCGTATGGGTTTGGAACGTGGAAATCGAACGAGCTCGAGATCATGAGGTCTTCAGGCTGGAGAGATGCCGCAGAGGGCTGTTCGATGTTGTCGCCCCTGAATTCAGCCTCGATCGGCGTCGGGTCCGCCCGGCGTTTGCCCTATATAAAACGGGGTTGATCAGTAAGAGCCGGGGGAAGGGAAACCACAGCAAAGGGCGCACGAGAGTTGTCTTGGGAGATTCTGGCCGGCCATTCACCTGATGACGCCCCTGAACATCAAATATGCCCGTTTTGGGCACGGTATGATCAAAGCTCGTCTTGCGGACGACACGGGGGAAAGAAGGCTGTTTGCGGTTGGGGCCAGGTTGGGTGCCTCCCCAACTCGAGGGAGGGTAGATACCGAACGCTGGCAGAGAGCCTGGCTGGATGACGGGCGGGAGACTGGGGAAAACGTGCTGCGCCGAGGCGGGCATGGATATCATCCTGCTGTGGTGTTGGGAGAGTTCGTTATCAGTCGAAGGGGGGACGAGAGCGTGGTTGTCAAACCCGAATTCCTGGGCAGCTTCCTGCTGCAAGCGAGCGAGGGAATCGCGCCCTGCTGATGCGGAACCGGGGATGGGGATGCTGGCAGGCTTGGCCGAGTTGTTGTCGGATTTAGCGGCGACGGAACCGGGGATAGGGCGCCAGTGGGAGGAGGATGGTTCTACTGGAGAGGAGTGGTGGTCGAACGATGATGAGGAAGGGAAGAGGCCCTCAGCCTGGGAGAGGAGGTTGTGAGAGTGAGCCTCGGGGTGCGTGTACGGATCGTAGGGGTACATAGGGTTGGGAGGACGAGAGCGCGAACGGCTGGCAGCGCGGAAGTCGATATCCATTGGCACGCGTGAGCGGGAGCGACTAATAGAGCGCCAGTCCATCTTATCGTCGTCGCTAGAGGGGAGGATAAGGGGGTTTTTAGGTCAGCTTCTGTCCGAAGTCCGCGCGGGAGAGAGGGGGGCTCACTCGGGAGAGGCGTCCTCACCCTCAACGCCGAAACCAACGACCTTCTTGCGCGGGTTACCTTTGACCACACTGCGCCCGCGCTCAAGAGGGTCGCCCCAATCAACCGTCTTCCGGGCCAAAGCCCCGAAACTCGCAGGCCCAGTCCCCTTTCCAATTGCACCAATGCCCGTCCCAGCACCGGTGCCAGCGCCGGCCTGGTTCGAAGAAGCAGAAGAGGAAGGAAGCGTGCTGGCGTCTTCTGACAGCTTCCCTGTCACGCTGGGCAGTACGCGAACCCCAGAAACAACACCCTTTGACCCAGAGGGTGGTGCACCTACGCCTACGGCCGTGCCTGCTCTAGGGGGCTTATCGCTCCCTACCCCAAGGTCGATATCGACTTGCCTAGTCTTACCCTTCCTGTTCGCACTACCTCCGGGGGGGACACCGGCGCTCATCTTACCCATACCCATCTGCATCCCCAACCCCATACCCATCGGCATCCCAGCGCTTATCTGCGGACTGGAAGGCTCACCCTCCGCCGCCGCCTGCCTGTCCATCTCCTCCTTCCTCTTCAACTTGAGCGCCATCATCCTCCAAGTAAGGTTCTCCATCCTCTGGGCATGCTTGATGTTCCCCTTCTCCTTGGCATACAGCTTCCACACCCTCGTAGCAAGCGGGTCGTCCACCGGGTTGTCCGTATCCGACTCTCCAAGCGTGAACATATCGTCAAAGCTCAGGCTGAGCGCGCCTCTACCGCTCGGTCTCCCATTCTCCTTCACTTCCTTCAGTTCAGAAGGCGACTGAAGCTCAGAGGGAGAGCGCATCTCCTCAAACGAGGGGAAAGCGTCAAAGTCCACAGACCGGTCCGTCGTCCCCGTCGGAGGGGGGGACTCCCCAAACCCCAAAAAGGGCGAAAAAGGCTCACCCAAGTCCAAGTCCCGCGTCTGACTCCGCCTGAAAAACTCGGGGTTGACAAGCTCTTCCAAGCTCGGGGAACGCCCAAAATCGGGCTGGAAAGTCGGGTTCTGAGCCTGAGGCACTGTTTGAGGGAAAGCCTGCATAGGTTGAGTTGGGACCATCCCGGGGAAAGTTGTGGGTGCTGAAGAGGGTAGGGGGAAATGCATGCCCAGAGCAGCGGCCCAGCTTGTGTTTGCTTCGTTCCACTGTTCGAGTAGGGGCATCGCTAGAGGACCGGGTAGGCCTGCCATGCCCCGTTGCGCCAACTGGGCGCCGAGACGCATAGCCATCTGCAGTTGGTGGGAGTACTGTGCTATAGGGCTGAGGGCGGACATTGGTCCGGGAGGGGGCATGCTAAGCTGTGGTGGTTGGGTCGCGCTCCTTGGAAGGTTGATAGGGGGCAGAGGGAGAGGCTGTTGTGTTGGCACTGTGCTAGCCGGGGAGCTGTCTGCAGGAGTAGAAGGCACGGAATGCTTGCTCCTAGACAGCTTCGGGCTCGCGGGACGTGAAGCACCAGACCCGCTCGTCGTGCTTGGCGGAGTGGTGGTCGTGCTCGCCATCTTCGGTCTCACGGGCTTAGGCTGGATAGGCGCATACCGCGTCCTTTCCCCTGCCGGATGGGGCTTCTTCTTGTGACTGCTGCCACTGCTGGGCACGGGATGGGGGAGAGAGGACATGTCCAGCGCTGCGGGCATGGTGCTGGATGTAGGGAGGCTGTGCGGGGGTGTGGGGAGGGTGAACTGCTATTTAGGGGCAAGAGGTTATATGCATATATTTAGGACTGAGACAGGAAGGACGAACTTGTGAGCCCCAAAGATATCCCAATCCTGCATCAGGAGGACCCGCCGCTGCCCCTGAGCTCATCTGCAAGCTCTGGAGTAAAGGGAGAGCAGAGAGGGCAGCTTGGAGATCGACGGTGTCGCCGAACTGCTGGCGAACTTGTGCTAGGGCGAGCGCCGCGGCGGCAGGGTTGGCGAGGGGGTGGCTGGGGTCGGCGAGCGGCCAGAAGGGGTTGACGGGCGCGGCGGGGGAGGTAGGGACAGAGTGCTTGCGCGATGTTGTGGGAGAGGGGTCCATGGGTGTTGGTGCGTGTGTCACCGGAGGGGTGTCGTGGACGTCGTACAACCTGGTTAGAGAACGAAGGGTGGTGGAGTGTGATCCTTCTACGATGTGTGCATGCGTTCAGGTGAGCACGCTGTCGACCAAAGTTGTCGTCGTCGTCGTCAACCGTCACTGTCCAGTGCCAGTATACAGACGAACAAGCAAGTGTGAGGCAGACGATGTGTGCGATTCTAGTACAGTCGACAGAGGGGGATGGTCGCTGTCAGTCTAAGTGTTGTCGGGGTCGTCTAGATGGTCCGTGCGAGGACGATGAGCAAAGGGTAATGAGTGGTGAGGAAGAGATGACTGTGGAAGGGGAGGAGCGAGGGTGGAAGTGTCCCTGCTGTATGAGTTGCGCTTCCGAGTCCGTCTCCGTCTCCGGTGAAGAGCGACAGAGGGAACGGTGAGAGGGATATCGATGGACAGAGGAAAACGGCGGGCGAATTCACCCGGTCATGCCCGCCTCATTCAGGGGGGTCAACACTTCGGGGTCCTACCTCTCACACTCTACAGAGAGACGCCTTCGCTGACCTTCAAAATTTGTGTCTCCCTATCCATCCACTAATTAACAAGTTTTATCCGAAAACTTTCACAGTTATGTTATGAAGGGACGATGTTTCGCTTGTCCCCCCCTCGTCTGTAGCTCTTGCGGCCGCTGCGCTGGACCACAACTCGGCGTCGGTGTCATACCCCCCGAACGGGAGCAGCCCCGCTGTACAATGTAGAATTCACGGCCCATTGTCCCAAGAGTCAGACAGCTCCACCCATGCCTTCTACAATTTGCCAGCGTTCACATCCATTTATTGGCGGGATTCTGATTCTCTTTGGTCCGAACGCGCCGCGCGGCCGGGCGCGCCGTCGGCTCCGGCATGATTAAGCCGAAAGTTCCACCGAACGCACTTATTCCGTGCCGCCTGCAGCTTCCGAGCCACTCCTTTCCCTTCACCTCTGTCTCAAACTAACGCTCTTGCCACCGCGAAGGCATTTCCCACACCGGAGCTTGCTCCAGCCCCGGAAGAGTAAGAATAATTCATTACCATCTAAACAAAGCGTAAGTAGGTCCACCGACCCTTTGTCTCACTAAAAAAGAGACACCCAAGCCCGACCGCGACCGGTAAGCACTCTCCCTCTGACTTTGGTCTCATCCCTCTCGACCCTGAACCCTACGCCCGGGGTCCTCCTTTCACATGTCACTGCGATCGCTCGATCACACAACCATGCGCTCGGCCAGGGACAAGCCTCCGCCATTCCCCCGTTGGTCGACAGGTTGATGGAGCGACGGGCTGGAATTAGGTTGCGCGTGATTTGTCGATAGCTTAACGCCGATAAATACCGTAATATGTTACTGAATGTAGGAGCAATTCAGTCCTTGTTAGCCCAGTTACTGATTGAGCTCTTGTGCACCAGACGAGCAGGTCCAGTCAGATTGCCTCAGAATACGGAATACACCGCAAGAGGTTTACCACAAGCGCAACGCTCACTGCTGGCCGCTGGCAGAAACCGCGCATCAGCTTCCCATCCAGGGACGATCTCCTTGCAGAATACAGAACACAGATCGCGGGCGAACAGTTTCCTTCTGGGAGACCGGGTCGTCCGCCGGTCCCTTGTCACGTTCTCTTCTTTATTCGTACTTTTCGTTCTTCTGCCGCTCTGTGTCCCTTCTGCCGTACCTCACGGTCTATTCACTCCTTGCCCTTCCTAAAGTGCACAGCACCTTTCCTGCATCCTCGGGAATAACCAGAATGTAGAAGCACTCTGCCGCCGGTGCGGTCCGGGCCTGAATTCTGAGCTGTTTGACGCTGAGGCGGCTTCTGCAGTTAGTCGACAGTGAATGAGCGGAGCTGGCTAGACGTGGCCCTTGCAGTCTGCCGTCTTGCAACCCGAGCTTCGTACTCCGTCGTTGGCACATCACTGACTCACTGCTCTCTTCCCACTAAACCGGGTCGTAGGAGGACGCCAGGCTGGCACTTGGCGCCCGCCAACCGCGGGCTTCTACGCGCCCAGGAAGAGCCGCGCCTAGGCTGGAAGACCAGGGATGGGGCTTGGAGGCTGAGGCTTCAGGTCTAGAGGACTGAGCTGGTTGGTGCGAGCCCGGTGGGAGTGGGCTCCTACGTTTGGGGTTGATGACGCTACGGATGGTCTGCTTAGCCGACTGACGGCCTACCGGCACCAAGGCCCAAGGTTCAAGGCTCGAAGACGTCTTCCCGTGAGCGTGCAACTGTGGCATGCTCGTATGAACCATGTTCGTTCTATTTGTGCAGACAAACCGGACGGATCGGCGTGTGACCCAACCAAGATTCGGCCGCCGAGCAAGCCGCAACGACTCTCGTTAGGGGACGACCGAGGACATATAAAGTCACTGCCGAGAGCAGTCGGCCAGGTGTCGTCCAGATCTGCGGGTGCCAGCACGACCTCCTGTGCGTTTAAGGAACGCTTACGTGCGGTTACGTCTTTCGTGTCACGCGTGTCTGCTGAGCGCCAGGGATGAAAATAGGAGAGCAGCGTTATTCGCCGTGCATCGGACGACAAGAGACGGAACGTCGTTCCGACCGGAAGGGGATTTCAGGTACCTGATGCTACGAAGATCGGAACACTGCCAGCAACGAGACTTGGAGCGTGTCCATATATAGCAATTGGCAGTTCCAATAGGAAAATAGTTTCTTTCGTTGCCATTCGATAAACAGACGACCTGGCGTTGACAAGTCGATGAGCCGGCGATATCGTACGATGCGCCGGGTGTAGCAGTTTGCATGCCATCGAACTTGCAGCGAGTCAAGACTGCTATTCTTCTATATCTTCTGATATCTATCCATTTATCCACCCACCGGTGGATTTCTAGACGATTGAGACACCAGAATATTGATCCGAGGATATGCTCGTCGTTGGACTGCGATTGTTGCAAGCAGTGACGGGTTATGTACCAGGTCCTTGTGTCACGTCTGGGGTACAGATTGCCAGGGAGTTGGCGGAATCGAAGACTATGTTCATGACATGCGCTGAGATTCCAGTCAGTGGACAGCTTCACTCCGGTGATGAATGCCTCTCACTGAGGAGTAGAATGATCACATGGGTGGCTCCGACCATATTGCCAAAAAGTCCAATAGTCGAGACGCGTCATCCACACCTAGATCAGGTCGAGAGTTGAGCGCAGGCAAATGGAACGAAACATGAAGGATGATGCGTTCAAGTTTGGGGCTGAGTAGGGATATTCAAAATGTATGCCACCGTGTTCGTGTCGACTTGCTCTCCTCGGCTCGGACACGCGACAGGGCCATGATAGCAGAGAGTATGGGCTGAATAGCATCAAGGATGGACCGGTCGAAGGAGTCGTGACACCTCCCGCTATACTCTCTCCTGAGTAAAAACCAGGACTCCCTGGGCATCGGCAACATCGCTTTGCTTGAGCCATTTGGGATAGAAAACAATCACGAGCTTGAGGATCCATACACAGGGTGGTTCGGATCCATCGCGGTCGTGTCAAGCTGCTCCGCGAAGATGTCGCGTTGAGAAAGTGGGACATTCGCGTCTGGATGCCCAGTTCAACCAACGCATCGGAATAGCGCAGAATGCGAGCGGCGTGCCGGAGACTTCGCAGTACCACATAGCTCCAATCTGAGCGGGGTTGAAACATATATCATGTATTCCGGATCTTTGCAGCCTGCAGATATCCTGTCCAGAGTCGTGGCCGACGGCGTCGAACTTCTCCATATCGCCCAGACATATCCCACCAGTCGCAGTATGAGAATCGGAAACTGGAGAGTATAGACGGGATTAATGATTTTTGATGACTCGAACAGTCTCATCGTATTGGGGGAGCTGGACTGGTGTTGACTGGGGAAGTAAACAGCGAAAAACGCCCTGAGGCTCTGGATGTGTACCCGAGAGGTAAGGGTTGGTCGAGGGATGAATCGCTTCCTACGAAGACGAATAACTCTGCGCTGTTATGCTTTCAAATGTTGACCAGGAGTGAAGAACCGGTGCAAAGGTGGCTTCCAGAAGCTGATGGCTATGAGGGGCTCAAGAATGGCGACGGCGACTCCGTTGATGGCCGCGATTTACCGCTGAACGTACAGCGAGTTTCGGATCCGAATTTGAAGTCGCCTGTGCAAAACATGATATCCTGGCTTTCGGGTGTATTGCTATGAAAATGCCTCGTAGCAAGTTGGGATAATTTCCTAACCCTGAAAAGCAGCTATTGACAGTTTTCTGATGGGATTTTCAGATTGACTTACGATCATGTTCCACGATACACCTGCGTGCTTTTCAATCCTCTTTAATGTTGAAATCCGCTTTGCGAGGAAAGTGATTGACGACGCTGTACAGGAAGTGGACGCCAAAATCAAGAAGCAGGAACAAGACACGTCATCCCTCACGGGACCAAGCCACGCATTCTTCGCACTTTATTCATTCCCACCATTCATTCTTCATCAGCACGCACAATATTTGCATTCTTGCCGCTGTCTCTTCCGTTTCAATCCAGTCGAGTCATCAATATCCGGTTCTCGGGCTGCACCTGTCTGGAACTGCCCACATCGCGAAACACGTGTCCCGCGCATCGCTTTGGCGCGCACTCGGGAATACGTCGTTCTGGGGGGCATATATATACTGCATCACGTCTCTGTCGTCTCTTTACACCTCATCTGCTTGCTTTCAACTGCGTGACGTTGACTAGCTGTCGAAATCGTCGTGATGGATACTGGTCACCTTCGCGCCTATGGAAGCATCATCGCGTCTGCCGTCGTGTGCATCGTCTGTGGAAGCTTCTCCTCACTCCGCGTTCGTGGTTTCCCCATTCCAATCCTGGTCATCGTAGACGTGACGCTATCCCACAGACTCCCAAAGCAGCTAAAGAACGAGCGGCTAAAAGCTCCCCCGAACGTGTGGCTCAGATAGAAGAGGAAGAAGAAGAAGTCGCAGCTCTCACGTCGGCCGACGCGTGGCTTTTCCCCATTCTTGGCAGCATCTCTCTTGTTACTCTGTTCCTAGTTCTACGATACTTCGACCCGAAGTGGATCAACTGGTTTCTGGGGTGGTATTTCACATTGTTGGGCTTTGGCTCGGTTTGGAAGGTCTGCGTCCCCCCTTCAGTGCTGGGAGTGAAATTCATGTAGTTTATAGTCATCATCGTCGCTGGTCAAGACTGTTCTCGGAACGCGCAGATGGCATAATCTGACTCAATACACCCTCAGTTTGACGGGTGGGAAAGACGGTAACTCCCGTCTTACCCACGTCTTTCATAATTCTCAGTTGTCTACAGAGATGTTCAAGCTCCAAGCCCGCCTTCCTACGATCTTGCTCTCCGTCCCTTCTGCACTCATTTGCTTTTACTACGGCATGAGCGAAGACAAACCCTGGGTATTGACTAACGTCATCTCGCTCTCCCTGGGCTGCAATGCGATCGCTGTTCTGAAGCTGGACAACTTCTGCACTGCCGCAATCCTGCTGGGAGGATTGTTCATCTACGACATATGGTGGGTGTTCGGAACGAATGTGGTATGTCAGGTTTCATCAAGTCCGTAGTCTGAGGTTGATGACAAGAAAACAGATGGTGACAGTGGCCAAGGGACTAGACGTGCCGATCAAAGTACTCTGGCCCAAGACAGACTTGTCCGACCCGTCTCCTCAACTCGCTCTGCTGGGCTTAGGCGACATCGTCGTTCCCGGGCTCTTCATCGCCCTCTCACTCAGATACGACCTATCCCTCGCAGCAAACGCCCCGCTGCCGCCGTATAACCCATTCTCTAAATTCCGCAAGTCGTATTTCTGGGCAACTTTGATCGCCTACTTCGCGGGGCTGTCCGTCACGATCGGGGTTATGGAGATATTCCAGGCCGCGCAGCCGGCGTTGCTTTACCTCTGGTACATGTCTATACTTGCCCTAAGCCACATATGCTAACATCATCTAACAGCCCTGCATGCATATCCGCGTGGCTGTTGACAGCTCTGTCCCGCGGGGAAGTCGCCGCAGCGTGGGCATGGCGCGAAGAGACAGAGGAGAAGCCTGATTCTGGTAGTCCGGCTTCTAGCGGTGCGGCGTCGACCTCGGCGTTGATAGCTAAATCAGATTGAGAGATGAACTATAAATGTATCGTATATGCTATAAATTAATGTAAACTGAATCTCAACTCGAGCTCGTTTGCCAAGTTTGGAGGATACACAAGTTAGGTCTCGCATAAGATTAACCAGAAGTATTCCGCATCCACCATGCGGGATGTATGATGGAGGAAATCACCTTCGATAAGAATGATATGTGTTTCGTACATCAGAATTAGAACAGTCTACGCCCTATACAGTTACTCCTGAGACACTCGGAACGCTCGACACCGCGGCGTTGTGCGCAGGGTCTGCAGACTTCGACCACACATCACCTGGTTATACGAACATGTCCTTCTCGCGGTTATCCAGCTTCCAAGTGTGCAGAAGGCTGAATTTGCATCATTTACGGCGGAGATGCGCTGACAGAATTGCGCGGATAACCAAGGAGTCACAGCCTAATGGACCCGACTTATATCGAGCGTTCATCGGATCTCAGTCTGCCAGGCCATGACCTCCTCGATCACTTAACCGCACGCGCATTCTTCATCACTTCTATCAATATCGCTGACCGAAGGTGCATCGTCCTCTAGGCAGATAGCAGTAATGGACTATGGTATCCCGCCTTTGCCGCCAAACACCTCGCTCGCAAGTCGCTCGTTCCTCATCACCGGCGCCACCTCGGGTTTGGGGTATGCAACCGCTCTGATGGCCCTCCAGCTTGGCGCCTCTCCCGTGTACATCACCGCACGCGACGTGTCCAAAGGCACATCGACCCGCGACTCGCTCCTCGCCGACCCGGTCGTGAAGGAGAACAACCCGAACGCCAAGGTCGAGGTCTACGCTCTCGACATGGCGCGGTGGGAGGGTGTGCTAGGATTCGCCGATAAGTTCATCGATGATCGTACTGCGAGCGGCGAGGGACTGGATATTGCTATCCTAAATGCGGGGATGTTCTCGATCGAATATGAGCTTGCACCGACAGGGAACGAGATGAGCATCCAGGTGAATCACCTGAGCACGTCCTTGCTCGCTCTGCTTCTCTTGCCGCTTTTGGAGAAGAGCTCCACCCCGGACCACACGTCTCGACTGACGTTCATCACCTCGGTCCAGCACATGACCAAGTACGGCAGACTGACTGCTTGTCCGCCGGATAACGTCAACTACCTGGAGTCGCTCAACGACAAAGCGACGTTCGACCGGACACAGCGGTATGGGGTGTCGAAGACCCTGCTAATCTATATCGTGCAGCATCTCGCCACCCACGTGTCGCCTGACAAGGTCATCATCAACAACTTGTGCCCTGGTGCGATCTACACGTCAATCAATAGAAACATGCCGATACACTCATGGCCACTGCTCGCGTGGATGTGGCGACATGGAAACACACCCGAGGCTGGTGCGCGCACGTACATCCAAGCTGTCGCTGTGCTGGGGAAGGAGAGTCATGGCAAATGGTACCAGCGTGGAAAGCACAGGAAGTATGGCGACTTCGTGCGTGGCCTCGAGGGACAGAAGATGAGGGAGAAGGAGTGGAAAGAGACGATGGAGGTGTTGGAGAAAGTTCGGCCAGGCATTAGCCAGGTGGTAGCGTGATGCGCTATTGCGTCAGACTCTTTGTTTTCCTGTGCATATCCACCGCTCTACGCATTCCAAATCACTGATTCTCTCAAGTGCTGATAGGGATGGTGTGAACGCTACGATTTCCCGTGTTGAAGAAGTCGGGACTTGGACTCTGATTGGTTCGGAGTAGATCTCGCTTCCGACAAAGTGGCGGACCTCGCGGATTGTTCATGGATCTGCTTTTCAGGGTCCACTTTGCCACGCGTCTTGCTTCCTCCCAGTACTCCCAGGTCCCTGACATGAAATCCGGAATTCAAATGCCGGATGCCGGATTCCGGATTCTGGATTCTGGCCAGGGACCCTTATTTTATTCCTGCCTTAAGCAGCTTACTCTATTATTAATGAAATACAGTTCAACTCCATGTGATACTTACTCCCAGCTCATCTTTACTTTGTGAAATTTCCAAAGTCTTATATCCCTCAACTACTATGGACCTCTATCAACTTATTAACCAGCTCTCCAGCATGCAGCAACACCTTCAAGGAATATCTGCAGAGCAATTTCTTTTGTTTCTTGCACTAGCTTGGTGCCTGCAAACTCGGATTGCATGGCAGGAAGTATGCACCCTCACAGCAGCAGCATCTCCCCCCCCAATCACACTGTTCTTGCTTTTCTTTCTACTGCTCTCAGTATACAAGACCATCAAACAATGGCACTATGAGAAGCATCTCACACCCTACTGTGGAATCCCACTTGGGATGTTATTGGCATAAACAATCATTTCCTGATGATGTCACCCCCTTCCAGATGTATGCCCACCTCACAGAGCTTTGTTAGTAGTATATAGCACCTCTAATGCAATAAAAGCTGAATAATATATCCCCTTAGCTGCTGAAGAGTTATACCCACCTACCCGCATTTGCACAAATTTCTCCTGCCCACACTTTATTGAAACTGGACATCAAGCAGCTCTTTATGATCCACAACAATATACTGCTGCACTGTACACTCTCAACAATGGGGCTTACCCAGTCTCTGTGACATATCTCAAATGCCAGTCTTGTAATAGTCATTATCATTTAAACTACACTTGACAAGAAGGCAGAAATCATGAATACATTCGAGTTTACTATACCCAGATGCCAACAGTGTTACAGTCTGAAAAGCATATCCTCTTTGAGGATAAGCTATGCTGATTGTTTTGGTCTTACACTGTTCTCTCCCAGTATGGTGCTTTACCACTGTTAATACCTGTACTCTGTTAGGGCAACACAGGCTGACTAAGTCTGCTCACCTAAGAGTGCCAAGAGTCTAAGCAGGCAACAAGGAAGTGGAGTAGACCTGATGACTAAGACCTATCTACAGTATAGGTACCTGTGGATGATCCTAAGAGACCAAGTCTGAAGAGACAGTCCCCAGGCAGAGTAGGCCTTATATTTATACCTCTGTGGTGGAACCTGCTAGAACATCTTGCTTACTCAGCCTAGTCAGGTGATCAGGTCATATGAGGTCATGCACAGCCATGCACAGCAGGTCACCTGACCATCCAATCCTTCCAGCAGGTTCCAGCACATGCCAAGGTATACCAGCTACTTCCATGTCATAAAGGCTTAGTCATGTCTCTTGACCAAGCAATGAGCTGGTGCCCTGACAGTGGGCAAGAACAGGATAGGAAGACTGACAACTTACTCCATGAACATCACAAAGTATGCAAGCAAAAGACTCATGCAAAACATATGCATGGAGGCATGCATGATGCAAGACCTCCATCATGCCCAAGGAGATGGCCAATTGAGGTTGATCTGGGCTTGTGGCAAGGTATCCGCATTCAAGAACATGTGCAAGGAGACTGTTGCCATCATATTGGCAATGAAAGGTATGGCTTGAACC